ATATATTTTATATGATAGAAGAAACAATATATCTCACAATTTTTCCCGTATTGCACAGAGAAGTCCAACTTTTAGTTTCCACTTCATTGTTTCAGAAGTACATATTATGTCTATGCTTGGAAACAAGTTCTCAAAGAAATTTTGTATAGTTATGTAGAAAACTACCTTATTTGTTTTTGATTGATTTGTATATAAATAAAAATGAAATTATGTTGGTAAGCGCCTCACTTGAAAACGGCTAGATCAATTTGGCTACTTTCTTTATTTTAAATGTTCTTATAAGTGAGAATAAGGTTTATAGGGAAAAAATTAAGAAAGTCGCCAGAAAAATTGATAAATGGAAAATTATCAAAAGGGTTTTTATTCTATGAACTCAAATATCATAAACATAAAACAAAATTGAAGCTTTGAAAGGACGTGTCGGGTCATGTTGTTTCATAAAAATAAGTTTGAGCAGTTGTAGCGTTAAATTAAGACGAACAGATAAACACAATTACATTAAAAAAATAAATTAAGAATTAGTTTAAATATCTAACTACCCCGCAGTCTCTAAAACATATATATTATAATATTATAGATAATAATATTTTTTATTAATTAAAGGAGCAACTTCTTTTAAAATAATTTAAAATGCTGCGTAAAGCCATAGCTAAAAGTTAGTAAGTAATAAAAATCTCTAACGACTTAGAAATGCCTAAGTTTTAATAAAGATGCGTGATAACAGCGATCGCTCTATCACGTGACACGTAGCGTCGTGCCTGCGATGGGCCATTTTGATATCTTTACATATAACAGTAAAATATGTACTAAGTAGGTACAATAATATAAAAAAAATAGCATTAAAATATATTTTCATGGAGACGCTTTTTTTATTTTGGGAAACGCTTTTACACATATCACCTGAAGACATTGAGTAAAGTCTTCACCGTCCACTCTGCTATCAGAGAAGTACCAGGAACAACCCCCATGGTAGCTGAAATGGGTCACCTCCCAGTCTTTTGGTTTCAGGTCCAACTGGATTGCCGGACGCTATTGAACTTCCCCACCACAACAAGGTGAACAAAAATGAAGAGGGGGAGGGGGGGGGGTGTCTAATGGAGATGCTAGCATATCTAGATCTAAGTACTTTGCGACTTTCTTTTTGACTTCGAACTAATTCGATTCATTATGTTAAAAAGCTTTGTTCAGCTAATCCCATAGTATTCTAGCACCTTATACTAACCAGTTCTTGTCAACAACTTTTTCGTATATCGAATCTAGTAAAACTTATTAAATTTTCTAAATTCGCTAAGGCCAGTGCACGAATTTTTGTACAATAATTTATGCTTACAAATCCTGTGTTTTAGTCTGTCCACTGTTTGTTAGTTAGTGAAATTAATATTTTTATTAAGTTTTAACTGTACTTATTTAGAACAAGACAGTGGTAGTCCAGTGGTAACGCACTCGCTTAGGAAAGCGAGTGAAGCGGGCTTAAATTCTGGATCTCGTACCTCTGTAATCTGTTTTTTTCATGTGCGAATCATTTTTAACATGATAACCACGTGCCTTACGGTAAAGGAAAAGTTCGTGAGGAAAATTACATCAAATATATCGATTCAGGTAAAAAAAAATACAAAAGTTCAAAAAAATTACATTAATATCGGTTCAGCCGTAAAGATGTCCCCAAACACACAATACTCAATAACATTTAAAGTACTTAGGGATCGCAGAAAATATTTTATGAATGCTTTTTAAAAGTTTGCTCATTTATGCATTACACATCGCGGGACAATGGGTCGGTTTCCGCGTGCGATAATATTATTATGCCATATTCCAATCAGATGACGCACGGTCATTGGCGGTTTGTGAAATCACGTCCTTAGGTCTGAGGTTATATTAATGTACACATTTTATATCTTCTGCATTTTTTGGCAACCATTTTCCTCTGACTATTTGTGTATAAGAAGCGTCTATCCCCATAGTTTTCTATTCCCCATGATAAAAGAGGTCATTTTAGACCATATTCTCTACCAGCCAATAAAACTCTGGTTAAAGTCGGTTGATGTGTTTATAAAAAAACACCTTTTCGGATTTATTTGCGGATTTATTTCTAAATTTTAGGTTCCCGATATTTTGTCACGAGAACTGAAAAAATAGTTTTATAGCTAATGTTAAATATCCGCGTAAATCTAAGAAAGTATATTGATTTGTTTTTCTTCCATCCTCATTCGGTACTATTTCCCATTAACTAGACCTTCACGCTTGAATACTCTATCCGTCTGTAAAAGTTGCCTCAATATGGGAGAGCTTTACAAATAGCAATATAAAATGAAATACATACTTAATTGTATAAGTTCTGAAAATATTTTTTATATTTTTTTCTATACATACATATAAAACATTTTTTTTGGAATCTTCATCATTTTTTTATTACAAAATTATCCTGCGATTCAAAAAAACTGACTAACGAATCTGACCTTTTTCATATATAAAGTTAATAAAGTTTTCCGGTGTCAATTTTATAATTTTAAATAAGTATATGTATGTAAATAAAGGACATTGAACATCATCCGGCACGTGAAGTGATGACTGACAAATCGATCTCATCTTGTTATTTAATACGTACTTATAGGTTGAATTTTGCTAAGATCATACCTTCTTGTTTATATATATATATATATAATAAAGCGACTCACCCTCGCTTCACTCGGTTTCGTCCCTATCTTGCTTCTCAATACAACGTTTCATCCCCATTTTCGCCGCCTTAAGGGATGAGTTCCGGGATATAAAGTATCCTACGTCCTTCGCAAGGTCTCAAACTATCTTTTTACCAAATTTCATCTAAATCGGTTCAGTAGATCCAGAGATTACCCCTACAACCTCACAAACTCATAAACTTTACCTCTTTATAATATTAGTATAGATAAGGGTAAAGGATTGATATGTAGTATGAACGCGCCTTACGCCTATGTAAAATTATAATAATGATGCCCCCTTATTCGATTCCGGCCACGGCGGCCAATCTCATTGAGACTAGCCAACTGCACAGGAGATATTATAGTGCACAAGTGTACGCGCAGACACAACGTGCACTCTCTATTCCTGTTATTTTCAAATTTCGATAAGACGATAATTCAATACTACCAGTGAGAGATAAGGCGCAGGACCGACAGCTTTACGTGCTTTCCGAGGAACGAAGGTGAACTGATTACTAACACTTGGTCTGACCCGGAATTCGAACTCAAGACTTCCGGATGTGCAGCCACGCTAGCCACTACACAATCGAGGCAGTTAAAATTAAAATAATAAATGTGCAAAGCAATCAAAACTGTAATTTTTAATTTTTTTTAATTTATTGTATAATTTTTGTATAGAGACCCCAGCGGGACTCGAACCCACGACCGCAGGCACTGCAAGTAGGGTCACTAAAAACTGAGCCAAACGAAGACTGTGAATGTTGCCAAAAAAACCGAATTTTAATAGAGATAATTTAATATTATAATTATAATTCTTCAAAAAACTTAACAGCTTTCTAAATGAAAGTTTTCCAATTAGTAGTAATAAGAGCTAGCGTTCGTTTTCAGTGTCTTTCAGTCTACTATATTAATGAAAAGTTTGTACATGTGTTGGTGCTAACACAATATTTGCTATTTCCTCTCGCTAAATAGGCTGCACAGATTTGGATAAAAATTTAGTACATAGATAGATAGCCCAGTAGATAGCTCATGTTCAATTCTTAATTGAAATTAAAACTTACTAGATACTCTATTGAGGCTTTTAGAAGTAATTTTTAACCGATTTCCAAAAACGAGGAGGGTTTATATTTTTTTTAAGTTCAAACTAAACAAATGGCGCAAGAATCAAACATATATCTGTCGACGATAAAAGCCGCATTCCGGAGACTTATGCCCGATTTCACCAACAATCTATAAGCTACCACCTACGTATGGGATCCCTAGCTTAAAAGTCCCCTAAACTAGCCCCTAAAATAAATTTCGTTTTACGATCGTCTTTAAGCCCATATTTTGAGCACCTAAATTTTGGGGGCCTTTTAATATTTAGGTGACCCCTAACTGTCGGTGAAACAGAAACTGTCCCCTAACTGCCCCCTAACCATGCTTAGGGGATCCCTTAAACTTAGGTGACGTTGGTGAAATCGGGCGTTAGCCTAACAATTTTTTTTACAATCGCTCTCTCTCTCTCTCAGAAAACTAAAAAAACATAATATTAAATATCTATATAGAACTTATTCATCCAAGTCACGTTAGAATATGATGTTATTTATATTACTTTAGCTATTATCGATAATGATTTAATAATAAATGTGCAATGCTCTAACTAATCGTTCACTGGCTCTCAGACTACAACAGTTAATTAAACAGCAATTAGTATAAATATCGGAATGTAGCAGTAAAAGCCGCAATGCAGTCTACACTCTAGACTTTACTAACTCATATACTAAGCTAGGGTATTGAAAGTTGTAAAAGGGTAAAAATTGTACATATTTGTCTTTATGTTACACCATACCTTTACCGAAGTGGATCGATTTTAATATGATTTCGCTCGCGCTAAAACACAAAAAAAACTAAAAAGGTAGGTTTCATACAAATTTTCATCCCCTAGTTTAAACGCGGGATGAATTTCGAAAAATGCTAAAACACGTATTTATGAGATTGTATTAAAGAGTATTAATAGTTACCAAGTTTCAAGTAATTCTGATCATAAATATTTTTGGGTTTTATATAACGTGTTTTCCTGTGGGAAAGAGATAATTTCCCGCGGTAAAAAGTATGTCACTCTCCAGCCCTCCACACAAAAAATCACGCTAATCCGTCACTCAGTTTCGACGTGAAAGAAAGACAAACAAACAAACACACTTTCACATTTATTTTTTACAAAAAAATATATTAAAAACGCGCTCAAATGTACAAATGAAATGAGTGAAAGATGTGTTTGATTAACTATATTATGTGGTATATAAAAATAATGCAAATATATAAAAATTATAAGGTTTATAAACAATGAAGAGTTCTAATATCAACCTCCTGACTCTATCATCAGATCAGCTTGTTGGTAATAAATTAAAAATAAATATGTTGAGACATACTCGTAGACACACATCACCATCTAGTTCCATGGTAAGTTACGAGGTTACCAGATAGTTGATACACTATACTTATATTTAAATACATACATATTATAAACATAAACACTGGAGTACAAACATTCGTGTTCATCACACAAATGAATGCCTCAGCGGGACTCGAACCCGCGACCGCTACCAAAGCAAGTAGGGTCACTACAAACTGAGCCAAATGTGTCGTCGTGTGTGTAATAAATTATTATCCAAAATTGTTAGTATAATTTTAAATCGATACGATAAATAAACGTGAGTAAAATCAAATGAAAAGATTAAATTATTCTCTTTCTAATAAGGAGCCTATTATATAAGTTAAGTAAAAAAAGTATTTTGTTAAAAAATAAATATATGTCTGTGTTTAATTATTCATAATAATAAAAAATAGAGTGATTTGTTCAAACCATTAGTAGGTACCTATTGCCTCATTTCTGTTTTGCTATTACTTATCTGACATCAGAGCGCAGCAAAACATCCTGTGATTAGTCGAATATACCTATAGTTATTGGTGCTGGGAATATTCTATAATCTAATATATTTAAACGAGCAATTATTGTATATTTATTTATTTATTTATTTATACCGGTGATCTCGGAAACAGCTCTATCGATTTTGCTGAAATTTGGTTTGGGGGTGTTTTCGGGGGCGAAAAGTCGATCTAGATTAGCCTTATGTCATGGAAAACGCGTGTTTTCGAGTTTTCATGCGCTTTTCTTGCGCATTATATGGAGAGCAGCAAATTGTAAATAATATTTTTATTTTATTTATTTTTTATTTTATTTAATTCAGAAATTCACCGATATAGCGCTAGCGTAGCAGGTAGATGTGATGTGAATCTAGCAGTTTTAAGCGGAGTGAAGTGTGCTGAATTATAATAACTTGAAAATATTAAGTAATTATATTCTATATCGGTGTTTGCCTATGTTAGAACTATTTTGAAAAGTGCGTCACAACAAGGCGGAAATCTTTCTTTCCTTGTTTAATTCACCATCTTACTCTTATGGCTTTTGGCGCTATGTTTTAAATTCATCTACTTGTTCTATGGCACCACCAATTTGATACTTGTCAGCGGTAACTTTTTATATGTGTGATAGTTCTCCTTAGTTCTACCGACTGCCCTTCATAATTTTAATGTAATCAATACATACATCTACTGACATCCGATGACATTTAATTAAACTAAATTTCATTTGTTCTGAAATTCCATGATACAAATTAAAACAGTAGCAATGTTTCCATCGAAATTACTTATTATATTGTTTATCGTTAATTACTTCTGTCTTGTGTGTGTTTTTAATTGTATAGTTATTCACACTTAGTTAATTTTACCATTGAGTGGACACTAACGTTAAATTATTAAAACAGTAAAAAAAGCATATTTTGCTATATTATATCCTTCAAGATAAAACATGACAATAAACCGTAAAATGGAATATTCCATTAAACCGTAAGCTGGAACGTGTTACAATCACAATTTTGAAGTTCCTTGACATTGACAAGTGACAGAAGATTGTTGAATGAAATTTATAGTAAAACTCGACGTCTTTCTTTTTGTTTTGATTTAGAGGTTTAAATTAGAAAGTTTGTTGCTTTGTTAATTATTATTCGGTAGTTAGCTTTCTATTGTGCTATGTGAAGTGAGTCTGGAAGTTGGTAAGTAAATTAATTTATAATTAAAATTGGACTTAAAATTTTTTTTTGTGTACAATGTTTTTATAAAAACGCCCCCTAATTTTATTTATATTTTAATAATTTTAACGATCACTATCACATATTCCGGTTTTTTAATATTCCTCAGTGCTATTTATATTTCGTAAATGTTTCAGATTATATTTAAATAAATCAAAGATCTATTTTTTTATGAAATAAAAAGTATTTTATATAATATTAAACAGTATTCTTTTAACTTAATAAATATGACAATAATATAAAGGTATTAAATACTGCTATTACCATGGAATGTTAAGTTAAGCAGTTCTTTAAGTTCATGAATTAATTAAAAACTGGTTTTTAGATATTTTTATTAAGGTTAATTCAATAGTTACTAGTAATCTGGTATGAACATACTGCTATTTAAAATCACTATTATAAATAGATACAGTGTTAAAGCTTTATTACGAAAGTTAAGGGATTGAGCTTTTTGTTTTATGGAGTTTTCCTTATGTAGAGTAAAGAGTGTGTAAATGAATGGGTTTTAAGGTAAGTCCTTGAAGTCATTGTAAATATTAGAAGAAGTTTTTAGTTTAAACAAATGAGATTATAAAGAGTTTATACTTTCCACAAAAAAGATTTGAAAAGATTTACTTATTTGAAAGTTTTGACTGAATTTCTATTATTAACACCATTCTGCTAAATTTTTTGGAATATATAAAATAGTATATTTATGTGATTCCTATTAAGTGAAATATATATATATATATATGTGTGATAAAATTGAGAATATAATAAATGTATTTTTGTAGGACAACAATGGAGGCTGACACTTTGTCGCTCCGTAAGGCAGCACCACAATGGTCATTAGCGGGAGACAAACAGTTACTTGGCATGTTAGAAAAGATACATCAGGTAATATTAGTATTATATTTGACTTTTTTATATTTTCAGAGGTATGTAGGAATTAACTAAGACCATCAGAAATGTAAATAAATATTAAGTTGCCCTTATTGTTTCTGATTTAACACATTAAAAAAAATATAAAAAAATGTGCAATCTAAACCAAAGGATTATAAATCTATGCCAAACGATAAAGAATAAATATGAATAAGTATATGTAAGAATAGGTTAAAAAAAGTTAATTCATTAGGACGGGAAAGAGATATTAATTACTGAAAAATATCACTAAAACAAGAGATACATCATAAAACTGGCATTGCTTGAGATAATTATACATACATATATATTTATAATTTACATATTAGATTAAGTTTTGCTACATATTTTTCACCACTGGCTGCTACAATTTCAAGACTGGGTCAAATATGCACAATCTCCTTATTAGTAATTCATAAATGATTTGGTTGGAAATAAGTCAGTGGTAACCCAGTAATGAGGCAGTGGTAGCCAAATGGTAACATTCTCGCTTTGGAAACCGAGTGAAGCGGGTTAAAATCCCGAGTCTCACACCCCTGATATTTTCAAGAGCAAATCATTTCCAACATGATTACCACTTGCCTTACGGTGAAGGAAAACATTGTGGGGAAGCCTGCATATTTGATAGAGCCTAGCAGAGCAAGTTTTCGAAAGACATGTGCAGTCCACCGCTTTAGTCAACACCAAGGCCAGCGTGGTTGACTATGGCCTGATGTCCCTTGTATTGAATGGAGGCCTGTGACCAGCAGTGGGACATTAAAAAGGACTAAATACAAAAGATTTGGTGTAACATTGTTTTTTTAAATTATGTAGTTTATTATTTGAAACTAGCAAAATGACAATATTTAATTTCAAATAATTTACACTTAGTTCTAGTATCATAAAAAACTTTGCATAACAAAATTCTAACATTTTATATGGATAATGTTAAGAAATATTTATATTTATTAGTTTAATAAAATTTTCAGACAATAGTAACAAAATGTCAAGATACGAATGCCCAATTGGAAGCCATGGTGGATGCGCTAGACAATGCCAGTGTAGATCTACAAAATGTAAACAACAAGTGAGTATCAAATATTTTTTTGTTAAAATTTAACAATGTTTAAAATTTTCTATAAAATAAAAGTATCAAGGGCTTAATAGATATACTTAATTAGATATTCAAAACAAATGTACACTCAATTATTACTGTAAAAGTCATGTCTGTATGGAATTGTGGGCAATAGGGGTAGCTGTATTCCCCTGTTGAATGGCAATGACGATTATTTGGGCGAAAAACTAGTAAGGTCTCCTGTCTTCTTTATGGAATTGTTAAATTTAGACTTATCGCTTGAATATAATCCACTAAAATTGGGAAAAACAAAATATTTTAAGTTAATTAAAATACCAATATTTTTTTAAGTATTAAGAATTTATTTTATAATGGTAATACTTTTCAGATTTATGGCACTAAGCAACAGTCAGTTTGTTGAGAGTAGAGTGTATGATGATGATGTCGATGTTGCCGTTGAAAATATTCAAAAGGTATTTTTTTTATATTGCTATTATAAAAATAGTATAATAATTACTTTTTTTAGTATAATATTTTAATGTACTAAGGTTATATTTAGAATATTATTAAAAAGAAATAAATATTCGATTTTTTTCCTCATCTGTTAGTGGATGGATGTTTGTCATTAAATCACGTCCGAACAGCTGAACAGATCATAGTCTGGAATAGCACATAGGTTACTTTTATCCCGAAAAAATGTAGGGTTCCCGTGGGATAGATTTGTAGGTATTTGTTTTTCACTAGACACGAACCCGAGCGAAATGATGGTGAGCTGTTAGTACAGAATAAATTAAAATATCTAAGTTTGTTAGTGCAATAGCCATACATATCAACATAAAGTCAGAAAAAATATTTTTTTTTGTTATTCACAGCAAGAACCACCAAAAGTACCGACAACAGAAAACAATACGGAAAAAATAAAACTAGCGCTACAGAAGCTGGAATTGATGCACGAACCAGTGCATATTCTGGACAGCGACAGCTCCGACGACGAAGAGGAAACAAGGTCAGTATTTGTTATCTATACATATAAATAAAATTGAAGTGTCTATCTGTGATTACAAAATAAGTATGTTTTCTCCAGTACATAGTTATTTATATACTACCAGTACCTAAACAAATCTTTTTAAAATTTTTGCCGGTCTGTCTTTCTCTTTGTCTGGGGTAATCTTTGGAACAGCTTAACCGATTATAATGAGACAGACTGTCTGTTAAATATAGAGGAGTTTGTAGGGCTATTAGGGTGTATTTTATTCGGGAAATATTTAGGGTTCCAGCGCGAAAATCGTAAATTCTTAGAAATACGCAGTATTATTATAATTTAAGATATATTTATATAATAATATATTCTGTTATATTGATATAATTTTTTTACGCGGAACCTTAATTCTTTTGCTAAAATAGATGTATCCTAAGTTACTCTGTATAACATCAGCTAACTGCCAGTAAAAGTCCCGTCAAAATCGGTCCATCCATTTCGGAGATTAGTCGGAACGAACTGACACGCAAACAGACAAACACTTAAAATTATTTTTTCTTATTATTGCCATTTTTACGTCCATATTATTTTGATATTACAAACAGACACTTCAATTGTATTTATCTGTACAGATGAGAAATTAAAATATTTAAATAAAATACCGTGTTGCTCCTATATTCATATTTATTTATAATTTTTCAGGATGGTGCTAAAACCAAAAGACATGTACTCTCACCGACCACTACCATATATTATTGGATCCTTCGCTTGGAAAAGCAAATGGCATGCGGGTAAGATGTTCACTATTAGGATAGTAATTTATTATAATCTATATATAAATATTATAAATGTGAAAGTTTGTGAGTATGTATGGATGTTTGTTACTCTTTCACGCCAGAACGGCTGAACGGATCTGGATAAAATTTGGCACAGGGATAGATTATAGTCTGGAATAACCTAGTAACTAATAAAATAATTTAATGACTTTCAAAGTTACTTTAACTGGTAATTATTTCACCGTTAGTGGATGTTTTTTCTTAAAATTGTATGAGGCCTGTTAATTAATAAAATATATATCCAAATATTTTTTTCTCTTTTTAATCTGTATGTATTTGTTCTATGGCTACTTAGGTTATGTCTTCGAAAATATTTTACCGTATTTTATATTTTATTTAAACAGGCTCTCATTAAAAAGGGATAGTAGATAATTTTAAACGCTTATATTTTTTTTTATTAAAACAAAAAGCAAAAAAAAATGCTTAAAAAGTATATAGTTACAAATTACAATTTCTTTCTTTGATAACATCTAGAAAAGTTATAAAAAAATATTTATCTAACTTAAAAAAGGTACAGATAATATATTATATATTAAGAAATTAAAAAAAAAACAATTCAATTCTCTCGCATTGTTTTTTTTAAATGTCATCATAAAAGTAATTTAATGCTGAATAAAATATTTTCCGGCATGTAATAACTATACCGGCGTGGTTTTTAATTAACTTAAAAATGACAAAGGTCTGCTACCGGAGGAGAGTGACAGCGACAGCTCGGCGTCGCGTGACGGCGGCGAGGAGCAGTACTCCGCCTCCGAGCCGGAGCCGGAGCCCGACGCGCCGCAACAGCAGACTGTGAGTATACTTACTGACTACCGCCGTGGGTGCGGGTTCGATTCTCCTGCATGTGCATTGTGTTTGTTAATTTTTAGAGATAGCCTAGCGGTTTATTTTTTTGAGCGGAACTCTAATTCTTTTCCTAATATATAAGTAGCCTAAGTTACTCCTTATAACGTCAGCTATCTGCCACTGAAAGTCCCGTCAAAATCTATCCAACCGTTTCGGAGATTAGCCGGAACAAACAGACAGACAAACAGACAAAAATGTGTTTTTCGTATAAGTACCGTAAATAATTTCATATACATTTAGTAAAAAGCTGTTATTTTGACATTACAAACAGACACTTTAATTTTATTTATCTTTATAGATTTTATTATTGGCTCTCAGCAGTTCTTATTTAATTGTATTAACACTTTCTTAGATTTATGCGAATATTTTACATTCTTAATCAAACTACATTTTCGTTTTTTTTGGCACACTCTGTATATACAAATTGTTATTTGTAAATCTTTTTAAAACATTATTATTTGCCTTCATGTTTAGTTCTATGACATTGTCTTGATTATTCCTTATTCTGAGAAAATTTAGTATTTATATATCTAGGTAATAGTTCATAGAGTAAGTCATAAATTAGCTTAGGTACTTAGTATACCTGTAAAATACCTGAAAAAATTAAATATGATTTGAAAAGCCCTAAAAAATTAAATATGATTTTTTGTCCGCAGATATCGTCATCATCATCATCATCATCTCTGCTATCAGAGGAGCCGTCGGTGGTGAAGCAGAAGCCAGCAGATATCGCTGCAGAAATTTCCAGAAGATTGGCCGGACCACCCGTGAAGGTTGTTTTTTTTTTTTAATTTAATTCAAGTATTTTTTTATTTTGAAGTTATACTTCTTTTGGGACGTTTGCAAAAAATTATGAGTGTAGAATTTTTACGATGAGCACGCACACTGACAGCCAAAAAGCGATATGATGTGTCGTTGATCTAGAAAAAGGATACTTTTTGCTATAATATAAAAAAAAGTAAAGATATTTTTTAAGGGAAATAAAATGTTCATTCGATGAAAAAAATATGAATTCAGCTGTTTTCGTGAAAATGAGTGTTTATGTTAAATTTATAATTAATGTTTTAGGTACCAACATCTCCGCTTGAAGCTGTGGTCGGAGAACAGCCGGCTCCGGCCGCGGGGAAAGTGTACAGAATGGACGTGCCTACAACAGGTATTTATATATACAGGGTGGTCCAAGAAGTGACGTCATACACTTTTTTTTAGATTTCTCACATCTGGGTGTATCCGAAAATACCTCATGTATTTTCCACGATTTTTCGTAGTTTATAAGTTATGATTGTTTTAATGTGTATTTGCGAATTTTCTACCGGAGCAAATTAAAAAAATCATGACTTGTTTAATAGTAAAAAAAATTTGGTTTCTTTTTCTGCAACATGATCTTCTTGAATCACTCTTTCATATGTTATAATCAACTACACAACGTTCTTCATTATAAGTTACCAAAAAAAGGGTTGAAAGTGAAAATTTTAGGTTTGAGTTGGACGGAGTTAAATTTTCAAAATTCTCGTAACAATACAAAATAGAAGTTTCATAGGTTCAAAGTACTTTTAAAAACTTCTGCAACTTATCAGCTTACCAAATAATAAAAATGAGGTTGTTCCTAATAGGCGATTTTACGATGAAATCGGCTTCCGAAATTTGTTAGGTGAATATGCGTAAAGAATAAATTTGTCCCAAAAAAATATTTTAGCTATTTTTTTCAATCTATATATATGTAATTTGACATAGTGACCAACATTTTTTTTTCAGCCACAATCTTCCCAGACGAACCTCCCCCGATAGACAATGTGGAATCTGACTATTCGGATGATGATATTTTCGCTGAACTGCACAAAAAGCCACATCAAAATAAGCCCAGCCAATACAAAGCGGACATAATGGATGATCTCTTCGGGAACAACATAAGCGATGATGTTGGAAATGTTGAAGGTTATATGAAGGTGAGACTCGGGTTTTGTAACTTATGACATTAAAAGTCATTTAACTTTTTTTTGTTTTAATGACAATATCGATATATTTTTTGGCGAGTTTGTTTTGTCAATTCTGAATCGATTTTAATAATTTCTAACATAAATTTCCCTCTAGAGAAAGTATGGTTATCCGTAAGAGATTGTTGTCAATATTTCTGTACGTCCATGTGAACGTCTTACTCTATCCATTAATAGTTTTAATTTATTAATATTAGTAATCTGTACTAATCAATAAAATTGATGTATGTGTCAAAATAACAGCTTTTTACTAATTGCATTGATATAATACTTGATAGTATATATTCGTACAGTACTTATAAGAAAAAAAAAACATTTTTTAATATTTTTGTCTGTCTGTTTATTCCGGCTAATCTCCGGAACGGCTGGATCGATTTTGACAGGACCTTTATTGGCAGATAGCTGATGTAATAAGAAGTAACTTAGTTACTTTCATTTCGGAAAAAGAATTAGGGTTTCGCGCAAAATAATTAAATCCCTAGAAATTGTGAACATGTATGGTTTACGAAGGAATAATTCGAAGACTTTGATTTTCAAAGGTGCTTAGACAAGATGTTATTATTTAACAATTGTTGAAAAAAATAAAAAATTATTAAAAACAGTATCGAAATATCATATTATAGAATCGTAATATTTTATTCTCATATAATATATTCCGTTTACTTTCTTAAAGCATTCTAGAATATAAAAAAAGATACGTACAGACGAATGTAGAACCTCCTCCGTTTTGCTTGTCGGTTAAAAACTCCCTAATATATTCGTGTTTTTTCAAATTCTTATATTATTATTTTAAATAAAACTGTCTTTTCGGATTTTGTTTTTGTTTCCTAACGTTTCGAATGCTTTACAACAATCATGATTACGGGAGAGTCTGTCCTGTGATCATGATTGTTGTAAAGCATTCCGAAAAGATAGTTTGATTTAAAATGTCAAATATTTGCGTAAATCTAAAAAAGTATTATTATATATTAATTTTCTCTGTTGTAGTCCACGACTGTACGTGACAAGTCGCCTATTTTCGATGATATTTCGGAATCAAGACCAATCACAGAAATTCCAACACATAAGCCAATTTCAGATACCGAAAGTAATTTAAAGGTATTCAAATATATATTTTTAATTATTTTTGTACTGTAATTTCAAAAAAATGAGCATCCTTTAAATAATCCCTGTCGCCAATTTTTAAAAAGTTAAAGGAATGGCTAATGTAGACTTTTTTTTCTAAATAATAATTATTTATGTCATTAATAAAGATGCGAAATATACATTTGTACAATATTTTCAGAAACCTGTCGGAGGCATTTCATTATTTGGAACAAATAAAGGTGCCGAGAGCATCGGTGCCGCCATTTTAAAACGAAACCAACGTAAATCTTCTTCAGAAGAAGAAACTGATGTCACAGATAATAAACATATTGAAAAGGCACAAGGCGAAAAGCCAAAAGAACCTCTTTCAGATAGTAAAAAGATAATTGAAGATCTATTCGCTAAACCTGTGAAGAAAAATGAAAAAGATTTTAAAAGTAAAAAGCCTGTTGTAAATCAGGTTATAAATAAAGAACCTGCACTCGTACAAAGTGTTAAAACCACAGATAAAATAGATTTGTTTAGTGATAATCTGTTTGATGATATAGATGATATTTTCACAACGAACGTCATTTCAAAACCGAAAGTGGATAAAAACACGAAATCTATTTTTGATGACGACGATCTTTTCTCAGAAATTACAGAAAAATCTGAGAAACCAATCAAAAAAGATACTAAAAGCATATTTGATAGTGACGATGATCTGTTCACTGAAAACGATAAAGTTGCAACGAAAGCTAGTTCTAAACCTGCCACAGCTACCACATCTTCACATAAAATAAGTGAAGAAGCTAACAAAAAAGTAAAGAATATATTTGATGATGATAGTGATGATGGTCTGTTTTCCGATGTTAAAGTGACCAAAAGTATTAATACAAAATCTTTAAGTAGTAAAATACAAAGTGATAATACAAATACTAAAACAAATAAAAATGATGAAGAAATTGTTCACAATAAAGAAAACAGATTGGAAACAGATAAAGATGTATTGAGTTTTAATATTCCTGAAACAAAACAATTCCAAAGTGCAAGTTTATTCGATGATGAAGATGATGAATTATTCAATACCACAAAAAATATTGATCAAAATATTAATAGACCAGAAAGTTCTAGCAAAGTCTTTGATACTGATGACAGTTACAAAACTGCAAACAAAGCTAAAGATGACGCTAAATCACAATCTAATAACAATTTAGAAAGTAAAGAAGCCTCGAATGTCACACAGATGAAAACTAGCGATACATTTGAAAATAAACAGCAGATTTCAGTAAAAGAAATAAGCAAAGAAAATACAACTGATTATGATTCTAATATACAAGATAATGAAGTCGTGCAAGTCAATGAAGCTAATGACGAAAATATGTCCACGCCAGAGCAAAATAAAGAGAAAGAGGAATGTAATGATATATTTAAAGATAATATTTTAAAAGATGAACCTAATTTGAACAGATTAACAAATGTATCCAACACACAGCAACAGTCGCAAGACTTACTCTCTGAATCTAAAGAACCAGACCTGTTCACTGATATTTTCGCGGATTTACCTCCAGCTTTTGAAAAACCAAGTGAACCAAAAAAAAGTAAAAATGTCAACGCATTGTTCGATGATGATTCTGATGATGAGACATTATTTTTCAAAAAAGATGATGTTATTAGTGATGAGAAACCAGAGATAAACTTTGACAATGATAGGTTTACAATATTTCATGACGAACCTCCAGATATTGATGTAGATTTTTCTCAAAAACCGTTAAAGACATCACACGATATGCTCAAAGATAATATATTCAATGAAGATAATTTTAAAGATGAAGACGATGATAAACCTATGGAATACGTACTACCTCAAGACTTAGACGATACAATCACTAAAAGTGATAGCAATACCGAAGCAGTGCATAGTTCAAACACAAAAGAAGAAATCAAAAAGGAAAATATAGATATTTTAAAACTTTTAGAAGATGAAAAGGCTGATGGTGATAGTGACAAATTAAAACATAACATTTTTCAAGATGATATTAAAATAGAGAGAAAAGAAACACAATCAAATGAAGATAATTTAGATTCTTCAGGAGAATACGAAACTAAAAAACCAATAGGGAAACTTAAACCTATGAACTTCAACATTAATGTCAGTACCTTATTACCAGGCGCTTCGCCTAAAAAATCTAAAGCAAATGAAGAAATAGACGGACAAAGTGTATCGACCAAGAGTAATGAAGAATTAAATATACACAGCCCATCAAGAGACTCGAAAAGTGAGTCTTTAGACTCTAAAATGGTGAAATCAGTTAGTTTTGATGGAGATCCAGATTCGGAAGTTTTAGATAACAAATTGTCTAAAGAAAGAGCTAAAATCCAGGTTAAAAGACGTCCCTCAACACGAAGAGCCAGATTAGAAGCTGTTAGAAAATCTAGAATAGATCTAGGATCTGATTCGACAGATAATTCAGGTTCTTTTGATGAGTCTATGCCTAGAAAAAATGATATGGATGAAATTGACAGCAGTTTAGAAACATATAAAAGTAAAAACAGATCAGAGGAAAATAGTGTTTCAATGCACACAGAATTTAGAAATGTAGATAATAAAAACACAACAGTTAACAAAAATCTAGATACTAAAACAGAAGTTAAGTCAAAAATCGTGTATATATTAAACGATGAAGATATATTTTCTAATACTGCAAATAAACAAGTAACCGATGATGAGCCAAATAAAAAAGTATTAAACATCGTCGATGACGATGATGAAGATTTATTTAAACCAACAAAAAGTAGTTCTCAAAAAGAAAAAGATCGTAATTTAGCAGTAATTGGTGCATCTAGTTTGAAAGATACTGGAACGGAAAGTACAAAAGAGCAGTTTAACTCTGATAAGTCGTTATTTTCTAATCCTACAGATAAAGAAGTGATCAATGATAAACCAAATAAGAAAATCTTAAACATCGATGATGATGATGATGAAAATTTATTTAAAGCAACCAATAATAATTCTCAAAAAAATAAAGAAAAAGACTTAAAAAGAATAGAAGCAAACAATACGTTAAGTTTGAAAGATACAGAAAATGTTACCAAAAAAGACGTAATTCAACATAAAAAATCGCTTTTCGATGATTCTGACGATGATGAAGAGCTTTTTAAAAACAATAAAATAGATAAAGTAAAAAAAGCTAAAATTTTCGATTCGGATAGTGAAAACGAATTATTCGCAAATCAAAAGAAAATTGAAAAGAAAGAAATACGAAAAGGTCCCTTGTTTGATGATGAAAGTGACGACGATCTGTTTGGAACAAAAACCGCGAAAGTCTTTGGTAAGGATTTTTTTAATCTATAATCATTATTTATCTGTATTCTGAAATACTGAACTGATTCCTATAGTTTAATGTGAATCTATGATAAAAAACATTCATATAAAGTAAATGTCACATTTTTTTCTAGTATAAACTAAAATATTTTTCAAATTTCGTGTACTAAAAAAAATGTTCGTGCACTATATAGCTCGCAAATATATGGCTACTCTATTACTGATTATTGACATTTTAAATAAAACTATCTTTTGCATTTAAAGCAAGTCGGGAACTAAAAATAAAACCGCGAAAAAATCCGAACAGATAGTTTTATTTAGTATAAGCCATTTACTATCAACATACCCAAGCGAATACGAGAAGTAAATAGAATAATAAAATATATTTTTGTCTTTAGATACAAAAACGCAACCATCAAAACCCAAAGAAACAAAAAGTAAGTCAACGGAACCTGTGTTCGAAGACCCCTTGTCTATGTTAGAAGATGACAGCTAACTTATACAAACAAACTTACAAATAAATAGTTTAATTTTATTACTACTTGGAAATTAGATAGCAACTAAATAAAATCGACAAGACCGTGAGGTACCTGACCAAGAGGCAACAAATTCTTATTTTATCAAGAATTAATTTAAAACACATTATTAAGAGAAGTATGAATTAACTTAAAGATAATTAATTTTTAGTAACATTAATGTTTTTAAATTAAAAAATAAAAGGGTGGCAACACCAGCTTTAAAGTAACTTTTGTTGCTTTACGAACAAAATTATGAACTAAAGTTAGTGATGGCAAAGTTGTAGTATATTTTATTTAATGTAAAATATTATTTATAACTTGAAATTAAAAATTAATGCATTGAAATTAAATATTTAAATGAATATCGATGTGCGGGGAACAACGTTAAAACTTAGTTTTGTAGCAAATTTTGAATTTGGATAGAATATTTTTATGTAAAAAAAACGTGTGTGTGTACTTATGTACGCATGTAAGAAATTATACTTCTTTGGCGTAACAGAACAAAAATAGCTAAAGATTTCATCCCGTATGTCACAACTCTCTGTTTGTAAAAGGTATGCAGCTAACTTCATTTTGTCGCTATTTGGCTGTCGGTGTGCGCGCGCATCGTAAATATACCACTCTCATAACTTTTTCCAAACGTACCAAAAGTAGTATAACTTCAAAACAATTTCTATTTTTCAAATTATTTCAAAACAGAGTTACAATGCTGTTCTTTGCATTTGCTATTTGTTTCTATATAATTTGCAGCCAAAGCAAATTGGCAAGACAAAGAAACTGCGACAACTGTTACTATTTTAATTATCAAAGATTTATATAATGAAAAAAAAATATATTTGTATTTATGTTTTAATTATATTGCATTGGCAAGTATCTAGAATGACAATAATTCTGCACCATCTTTGGTGAAACTTAAAGAACTATTACTGTCAAAATAAAATTTTGTGAATATTATTTTTTATGAGGGGTCATTCATTAATTACGTGAGCACAAAATTCATCTGCTTTGCAGCTCATTTAAACTGATGGGAACATCATGGAAAATCTCACGTTATCTTGAAAATAATAATATATATTTAATATACTGATGATGATGATGTTCTCCTAGCCGATTCCGGCCACGGCGGCCAATGTCATTGAGACTAGGCAACTGCGCAGGAGATATTATAGTGCAGCGCGTGTACGCGCAGACACAACGTGCACTCTACTCCTGTCACTCTCATACTCCGGTGGGACGGCTTTACGTGTTCTCCGAGGCACGGGGGTGAAACACCGCCAACTTCCCAACTTCGTGCTGTTACTGAGACTTACTATACAGAAAGACTCAATAACTAAACTTGGCCCGACCCGGGACTCGAACCCAGGACCTCCGAGTGTTCAGCCGGTACATGCTAGCCACTACACCACCGAGGCAGTTAATTTAATATAGTATACAGATAATAAATGGATAGGGGTCCCCACCAAATCTTACTTATACTAAAAGGGAAGGGACAAAAATGGGGAGTCTGAATTGAAAAAAAAAACAGCTCACGTTCTTTAAAGGATGCCCCGCATCGATCAAAAAAGTACTAGATACACAATCCCATGCAAAAGTTCTCTTAAATCTGTCAACTATTGTGTTTCGGTAATTAGAATGAGTTAAATAAATATACAACATTGTAAATGGAACTTTAAACGCAATGCTTAAAGTAGTTTTCAATAAAAGAAAGCAGTCATGAGGACTGCCGACTGAAGTGGAAAACTTAAAACTATAAACTAACAGTTGTTATTTTTGGATATTCAAATTAATTGTTTGATCTTAAATTAACATTGGTAAGTAAAACTGGTTTTGACATCTATCGGCATTCTGAGTGGTTTAGCGTTAGCACGTCACGTGACCATGTCGATGACGATTTACATGAATTTACTCCCCATACAAACAAACCTGCCTATAGAAGTTTTAACTTCAAAAAAAAAATTGAAAGAGCGCTCAAATGTTCAAATGAGCGGTCATTCAGTGAGGACATTTTTTGTCACTGATTGTGTATCTAGTACTTTTTTGATCAATGATACCCCCTAACAAAGGCATAAAATGAGCATTCCTAAAGCCACATAGTCCTGTCAAGTTAAGAATTCGAGGTATGAGCGAGACAAAGCGAAGAAGTGGCCAGTAGCTGTCTCTTTCTACTTTAGACTGATTTGATTGATATTTACTTGCTTTGTTGCCTAAGAGATACATTATTTATATTCTATTTGCTTTGTACTCCAGGGAATCGACTTTGTGAATAATCTATATATCTACATAATATTTATATCTATGCTTTTTGTTCATAAATCATATTACATATAATGGATATAGATAAAAATTATATGTCGATGCAATATCATTCCACACTAATTTGTAAATATAGTAAGTATACAATAATTTATTTTTTATTAATATATCAAACAAATCGAATTAACTTCTGATGTATCGAAATAATATATTTTTTCTTATATTTAGAAACATTGTTTGTAAAGTGTAAAGAAAATAAATCTGTTAAAAATTGGCAGCGACGAATTTATAATTTACGAATTGTTATATTTTGTAAGTGCATTTAGTTGAAATTGTAACTCAGTGCCTAATTATTGAATTATAATAAGTCTGTTAAGTAATAAATAAATGGATTATAATTATTACAACTGTTATATCATTTATTTGTATGGTAAGAGTTAAAAAAAAAAATTAAATGAACCTATGTTTACTTAAATATATTTACATCTATACATATGATAAAATTCAAAAAAAACTGAATCTGTACATTATATTTTTTTTTGAAAATCTTATTGATATAGACTTTAGTATCAATATAGAGGCCGGATCTATAGTTTTTAGAATTTTTGTCTGTCTGTCTGTCCGTCTGTTACTGCATCACGGAAAAACCACTGGAGGGATTTTAATGAAATTTGGTATGATGATAGCTAGTTATCCGGGCCAACATATTGGATACTTTTTATTGCGGAAAAATATCTCATTTATGAGAAATCTATACTAAACATTAAAACGTAAGTAGGGACGAACCCGAGCGGAACGAGGGTGAGTCGCTAGTATTTTATATAGTAACAACATACCTTTACTGATTTTATCTCACATACGTATATTTTCAAACCTATAATTTAATTCTCAAAACCCACATTATTTCATTAATATTTGTCTTATTAATAATAAATGTATATACATACCATACCTATATCAGAAAATCACGATTTTTTACGAAACTTTTTTTTAGAAGATATTTTTATAAGCTGGCTACTTTGAAGTTTGACTTTATGTCATAATCGACAAGTGTCAAGCGTGGATAGCACGATTTTTTGACTTAAATAAAATATAAATTAATTATTTGTATTAAAAAACATGAAACTCCCCGATAAAAACAAATCTAAAAAACAAAAAATTAAAAAGAAGCCCATAACAAAACCTAAAAAAGAAAAAGTTTTGGTTGTCGCGCAAGAATTCAAATTTGCGCGTTTACTTTCTGGAAATGAAAAGAAAACTAGAGATCGTGTTTTAAAGACGTTTAAAAAGTGGCTTTTAAATTGTTTTGAAAAAGGATACGGTAAGTTCAATTTAATTTTCTTTTAAAATCTAATAAATTAGTGAATTATGGATATAACATGCGTACATTGTAACATAACCTCAAAATAAAAACAAAATATTGCAATGTGAGCTTATTAATCAATTTTTGAATTTACCTTATTTATAATTAAAAATAAACTCTAAATTTCATTTATCATAAATACGATGTACTTCTGATTAAATTTTTATTTTGTATTCCTAAATATTTGTAGAATTTAAGGAAGATGACTTCGTAAGAGTATGGAAGGGTCTATTTTACGCTGTATGGATGTCTGACAAGCCATTGGTGCAGGTATTAAGTATATTTTGAAATTTGCATTTCTCGTTTAATTTCTGTTTAACAAAATCTTAAAAATACAAATTAACTTTCAGGAAGACTTATGCGAAAGTATTTCCGAGATTTTGGATTTATTTCCTGCAAATCAGTTTCAGTACGCTGTGATGATGATGAAAGCAGGTTTTAAAGTACTGGCTACAGAGTGGTATGGAATAGACCAACATAGAATGGATAAGTTTCTTATGGTATGATTAATATGGAAGCTTATTTTTTATAAATTTATTTGATTTTATAAAGAATCTAACTGGTGTTACACCAGCTTAGTAGTTATACTAAGCTTTATAATAACTTACTATATAGTATTATGATAATAAATTATAAACTGATTATGATAATCATGTATTATTACGTATATTATATTTATGTACTAGAGACTCACCCTCACTCTGCTCGGATTCACCCCTAGGTGCATTTTAACGGTTAATATAGATTTTTCAGCGATGAGATATTTTTCCACCATAAAAAGTACAAAAATTCTAAAAGCTAATTCTGCCTCTGTGTCGATAATAATGACTTAATAAGTTTTTCAATAAATATTTTATGTACGGATTCAATTCAGTTAGAATTCTATTATAAGTATGTATGATAGAATGTTATATTTGCATGATTAGGTTGTAGGTATGTGTGTAATTATTTAAATTTATTTTATAATATATTTTAAAAACAGTCAATAAAAAATGGATGTGCACTGTACTGTTGTTAGTTGTTTCAAAATAGTACCTACAAGTAAAAGTAAACTGTAATATTTTAATACAAGTTAGTCGCAAATTGTGTGTTAAAATTAATATCATTGAAGTTAACGGTTGTTTAAACATATTAAATACATTTGTTTTTTTTTCTAGCTGGTTCGTCGCTACCTTAGAGGTAGTTTTCGTTGTTTACGAAGGTGTAAATGGAGCATTGAAAGTTGCAAATTATTTTCCGATATGTTATGTACGGAGGATGGTGAGATATATTTTATATACATTAAAAAAAATGCTTTTTCTGACTTATCAACAACAAGATCAAACTGGACCTTGAAAAGCAGAAATGATGATTCTGTTTTTCTTTAAGAACATAGGTTGCCGCTAAAACAAAAAAATCTGTAGTTGAACTTCTAGATGGATATAAAACAATGGTGTATGGAAAACAACATTTTTCAAGTCAAAGTAAAAAAATTAAAATAAAGCTAGAGTGGTTTCCTAGTATTACTACATTTTCTACTTATTTCCTTAGATCACATAATATTTTATACGCAACATACATATAACTAACTTTGATACATACTAGGATTGTCCACGGATCTGCCTGAAACAAAAACTATAAACCTCTATTGATCAGATCACTACCAAACTTCACTTGATCATGTGCTGGGCTAATGTAAAGATTGCCTGAAAATTTCATCAAAATGACATAGCCGTTTTGGAGTCCATAGGAAACATACATACACACATTTCTATATATGTTTAGAAGATATCAATACTATTTTAGACATTTGACATAAAGTCATATATTATTTGCATTGATCGTTTTTTAGGTCTTCTAGCAATAAAAACACCTCAGTATGCCAGAAATGCCACATCCATGGTTTTGCACGTCATTGACTGTTATTTAGAAGAACTTTCAAAGGTAACCTAAAGTTTTTAATAATTATACAATATGTTGTTATGATTTGATTTCTAATGCAATTACTTTTATTAAAAAGCTTTATATATTTGAAACCTTAACATAGGTAATATACAAAAATAATAATAATATGGCTATAATAGGGGAAATGTGTGTGATTTAAATAAAGGTGAAATATATATTTTTTTTAATTTTTATTGCTTTGGAATTAAGCCTATATCAATATTTTCTAATGTAATTTATTTTTGATTAAGAAAATAATAATTAAAAAGTGCAAATATATGCGAGAAATTCAAATTATAACTAAAATAGTCACGCGTATTCCCTATTACTTGAATTTTTTTATCGGTGCCAAAGACATTTTTAACATAGATAATGCTATTTTTCAGATATCGAAAGGACAAATCCCAGATGAAAGCCTGACAGTACTAATGTACCCCTTCTCACAGCAAGTGTGTTTGGGGGATGGTGTCATCAGTATATCGTCTCGGAGGCTGTTGACTGCTTTGATAAAACAGAGTGATCTGGGGTTGGAATATGAGAGTGTTACGAGGGTGTGGCAGAAGGTATGTAATATGATGATTATAAATTTTGAATTAGTCATACTGATATCGAATTATAAAAATCAAATACCAGGGATGTCAAAAAATATTCATTTTCATGGCGAAAGGTTTTGGAGTTAAAGCTCTGTATGTCTGTCTTGTGGTAAGTTACTTTTATATCCGTCAACCCTTAAGCATAAAAGTATTTATGCCAGTCAGGAGCGCCTCCACGTGTCTCGCCGGGTCTCCCCGCTCTGTCTGGACGCCTTCGTTAGACGAGTGTAGGGTTTCAGTACAGCGGTTCCAATTTTTTTTTTCGCACAGAAATAACAAATCATGTATGAGAAATAATATTTATTGTACCAAAAATATAACCTAACTATTTAATGTGATGAATGAATTTTTTTCACATATTTATTTATAACAGCACTAAAATTAGGCTTCATATCTGAAAACCTTTTATGTAACTCTCGAATGGAACTCCTTAAAGCAATAAAAGAAGAAAAAAAAAAGAAACAATATCTAATATGAGAAAAAAAAAACAAATAACAACACAAGTTTAGAACAATAGTACTGAGATAATGATATATTTGGTTTATTGTAGATGGGCTGTCCCCCCGGCGGCCCGGAGGCGCTGGAGGCCGAGTCTGATGATGAAGAGGATCAGCCTGAGGACATGGATGATGATGAGATGGGGAATGGGTTCGTTTACTCTATTACTGTTATGTTTGGATATTAATTGAATATACAACTTTCTTCAAATGCCTTTTCAAAAAGTGGTTTGATATTCAAACAAATCCCTAATCCTATCTAAGTCCTACTCAATCCCTTGCTATGTAAACAGGGGACTGAGTTATATTGTAAATTTTTTTTTCTCTCTTTGCTAGATTTATTTTAATTTTTGTTCCCGAATTTTTAATCTCTCCCGTGACCATGATCGCTGGAAAGCAAGTAAAGGTCTGCAAAAAAAGCTGAAAAGATATGTTTAGAAAGAGTTTAAAGATTAAAGTACTTTAAAGATGTTTAGAATTATTCGTACAGTATTTTATTCGGTTAATATATTTTTTTGTGAGGATTAGGATTATTCGTTAGTGCAAATGCGTGTCGAGTGTGAGACTTAAACGTCCAAAATTGTATATATATTTAATTATAATGACACATAATTGGACATAGTTATGCAAAACGGGTTCAACGAAAACGAAAACCTTTTTTGAGATACTGTCATAAATGGCACCTACATATCAACTTGCATAAAGAAAGTGGATAAATAACTTAATATTTAAGAGGAATTAAAAAAAACTACGGTCTTGTTATATTGATATACCAATTTTACTAAAACTCCCTATTTTCTCAAAACTAAGTTTTTGTGGTTGGATCTATTTTGCATAACTACATCCAATTTATTTCATAGTATTACTAACACAATATATACTTTTACTGCCACTACAAGAATTAAACACCTCTTCTATCTCCTCTTCTGTAGGGAGGAGGTTCTGGACCCTCGAGCTGGTCGCGTGGACGTGACCCTGGAGCCTCTCCCCGTGCCCTCTCCCCTCTTGGCGGAGCAGCTCCGGGGGCTGATGGCCGCCTCCGCTTCCAGGGCTTTCAAGAGAGCAAAGTTGTGCTTGGAACGGTACGTTCAGGTGGACGATGGTATATGGATTTGGCATGGTTTTTGACTTTGATATGTGGTTTGAATAAATAGTTTTTAGTTTATATCGTACAAGGTGACTTCATGAATCTTTCAATAAAAAATTCAATCTATAAATAATGTATAAATATTTTCCATTTGATTTGATACTTAAGTGTAAATAAACATGAGTGGTGTAAATTGTTTGAAATATTACCTGAATTATTTGGGACATTAATATTTAATTCCATTTTAGTGAGATTTCTCTTTCTTCTGACATATTTCTTTCAAAATGAATTTAATTATCAATTTATCTTAAAAACACACACACACAATAATAAAATGATCATCGCTATTAGTGATATGATAACAAAGTTGGGCTTATTACAACAATTATAACTCGAGAACTGCTCGACCGATTTCTATGATCTTTATTTTGTTGGATTTGTCTTTACCCCGAATAGCAGGATAACTATTAAAACATGGGAAAAATTCAGGAAAAAAATCTATTCCATACTAACCGTCAAAACGTACCTAGAGACGAAACTGAGTGTTAAATACAAATACAACCCCCCAGTTTCGAGGAGCTGTCCCGCAACAGCTACCCCCTGAAGGTGCCGGCGCCGTTCACCGCGGGGCTGGAACCGCCCCTGGCTGCTGCGGAGCCGATGCAGGCCGCCTCCAGGCTCAGCAAGCTGGAGAAGACTCTCGTCAACTCGTCTGATGAACTGGCTTTGAGGGGTAAGTGTTGGTCGCACTAAGGTCTACTTAAGTACTGACTACTTTTGTTGTTTGTTCGAATAAATAATTATTTGTCCTTCTTTCTTTGTAAGATGATTTGTCCTCTATTTTTTGTATACACATAGTTGAAGGGCTGGAGAGTCACATAAATAAAATAAAAAATCCGTAATTAATATTATAAATGTAAAGTGTGTTTGTTTATTTGTTTTTCTTTCTTTCACGTCGAAACGGCTTGGCGGATTGGCGTGGTTTTTGTGTAGAGATAGTGGGAGGGCTGGAGAGTGACATAGGCTACTTTTTACTTCGGGAGATTATCTCATTCCCACGGGAAAACACGTTATAATACAATCCAAAAAAATATTTATGATCAAAATTAGTTGAAACTTGGTATTAATGCTCTTCAATACAATAAATAAATACGTGTTTCAGCATTTTTCGAAATTCATCCCATAAGGGGGTAAAATAGGGAATGAAAGTTTGTGTGAAACCTACTTTTTTTGAGTTTTTTTGTAGTGTTAGCGCGAGCGAAGCCTATTGAAAGCCTAGAAGGTTCTGCTAGTTATATATAAATAAAAATGTACAAAATTTATTCCTAAATGTGTGTCTGTGTGTTGCAGGTCTGAGCCGCAAGCACCGCAAGCGCCTGCTCGCGCGGACCCGCGCCGGCCTCAGCATCGTGGACGACGCGAACGACAACACAGACTCCACTGTGAGTATGGCTTTTATATTTTGTTAAATGCTTTTGATACTAAAAACTAAAGTATAATGCTTCGGTGGTCTAGTGATCCGAGGTTCTGGGTTTGAGTTCTGAGTCAAGCCAAGTATGGTTATATTCTTATATACAGCCTTTTTTAATATTCTCACTTCGATATGGGGATGTAGCCATAGTAGTGTTGGACGGTTCGTAAACTTCACATATTTTTTTGAAAACTTACTATGTTTAAAGTAATATTAATTGAGTTGAAATTTTCGTAATTCCCACGGGATTGTAAAGAGACCCCGTGTACTATCCCGTGGGATTGGTTTTACTACTACTATTTTCAATTTTATCTTAATATGTCAAATTTAACTAAAATAGAAATTGCGGTTTTAGAGATATTTATTAAACATTTGTTTTGTATCATAGAATGGTGACTGGCTAGTTGAGACAACAAAAGAAAATAAAAATAACGATACAAATAAAGAAAATAAAAACAAAAAGAAGAACAGAAAGAGGAAACACCAAAAAGAAGATGGTGAAGGGGAAAATAATAAAAAACCTAAAACAAATGAAAGTAATCAAGAAAGTAGTAAAAAAAAGAAAAAAGAATCAAAGAATAGTGAAAAGAAAACGGAAGTAAACAATGTTAAACAAAAAACACCTGAAAATAATGTAAATAAAACAAAAAATGTAAATAAAAGTAACGAGAATAAGGATAAATTAACAAATGGTCCAAATAAGCAAGGTTTATCTGCAAATAATAAGGAAAACAAGAAAAACAATAAAGAAAAGAAAAAGGAAAACAAAGAAGCACAAGAGAAGAAACAAACGGACAAACAGCCGAAATTTCTAGTGACTAAAGTCAAGAATTATCAAAAACAAGTGAGCCCAAAGAAGGAGAGTCCGAAGAAAATGAAAAAAGATAATCAAAACAAGCAAATGATGATGGATACGCCCAAAAAGGTGAAGTTTGTGTTAAAAAATAACAGCATGCAAGGAACTATAGATTATTACAAGAGTGTCAGACAAAGCCCAAGCATTCCCTTCGACAGTACAAAAAAACCCTCAAAAACTAACCTCAAACCCTCGACACCCTCCCCTATTAACCCCTTTTTCAAGAAAAAATTAAGAATGAAGAAATAATATATATTTTAATTTAAATGCAATAATGTTAGCTAGAAATGTTTTTTTATTTCAATTTAGTGTGTATTTTTATATTGAAATCATTTTTAACACCATTTTTGTACTAAATTATGTGCAGGAATCATTTAATGAAGAATTGTTTATATAAAGTTAGTTATATAGCCTTCCTTCTGCAAAGATATCGTAAGTTTGATTCCCGCGAAAAGTTGCCCGAAAGATTTTCGGTTGCTTTAAAATAAAGAAGGTTCTTATTTTAGAAATTAGTTTATAATTTATAGAATCAATGGTTTAGTTCATTTCTTCGATTCTGTGTTTATTAAAGCTGTCCCTACAATTGTAAGATATTTGTATTTCCATTGCAATTATAAAAAAATAATAGTATGATGAATTTTTTCGGTGAGTTTTTTTTAAAATTTTGTTTGAGTCAAAGAAGTTTTACCTATAAAATCTTTTTAAGTGTTATTTATTAAGAAGTTATGACCGTGTAAAAGTTCAAGCTCAAACTAAGTTGAGTTGAGAACTCTAAATAAGAAAATTGATTTGAACTTAAACCTATGAGTTATTAAGTTTTCAGATAAAATGTTTCCTTTTTTTGTACTAAAGTACATTAATTAATATTTGAGTTATTTTTATAGTAACTCAGTACAACTAACTGTTAAATATATTTCATTATATAATGCTAAAAGGACTGACAAATCAATAATGTATTATTTTTTGTTATCAATGGATGAACTTTTAAATTTCAATTTTTTAAGCGGTCTAACTTTTACGTATTTTATGTTAAACTCAACATATTATATTTGTTGCATATACGTTTGTATTTGTCGTTTAACAAACTGTGCCATCTGTTTGTAAAAGTTTGTTGTTATGTAAAATTACTAAGCCAAATTGTATAACGTTTTGTAAAGTATAGCACCGTGGGTAATAAGAATTTCTCTTTCTAGGTCCAAGAAAAAAAGATCTAACGAGAAGACTAAGAGATGAATTTAACATAACGCAATGTCTAAAATAACACCACGTAACCAGCTGTTTTATAAAATGGCTGATTCCACAATCACGGAATTTATTCAAAATAACGGTTAATTATTTCTACAAAAAGCCTTTGCAAACAGCCAGTACGGTTTATAATTGTCGAATTATACAACGACATACAATTATTCTATTCAATATATAAAAAAAATTAAATACAATACTTTTTCTTTTGATTTCTGTTAGTCCTACGGTATTTGTATGAAGGTGCTCGGAACTCGCGGCTGGAAGCTGTTTAGTGAAATTTGTTATTCCCTAAGTGTATTAAATAAAATGAATGTTTTTACTCGATTTTGTATTTTATTTCTATCATTGGATCGTAAATAACAATACTGTACAAGTACTGTACACAGATGCCCCATCTCGTAGAAAGATAATGTTAATGAAAATATGATATGGATCGTTAAGTTTAATGTGGTTGTTTATACCATATTTAAGTCAATGGAAGAATCATAATATAGATCAAACTAATGTGAAAAAATGTTTAGAAATCTAATAATAATTAAAATTAAAAAAATAATTAAGTTCAGGTCGTGTGACGTAACGGAATTATTCTTACAAGCGCAACTTTAAAGATTCATAACTTTTTTTATTTATTGAGATATTTTAATAATCTCATGATCTAATGATTACCTCCTACAACGTCAAAAACTCACAAACTTTACCTCTTTACATTATTAGTATAGATAAAATTGTAGAGAATAAAATTCTCCCTATACATTTGATAGACTAATCCCCAGGTCAGCTGAGCCGAGGTGATGCAAGGTCGGGGGACAGCCGGCTTCATTACTCAGGAGTTCTGTGTCTCGGCAGGCTGTGGGCGTTTTCCAATTACAGCATTAAAGCGCATTATACGGCATAACGCTCAACTTCGAATTTTTCAACTACAGCAATGCTCCTCACAATCGTGCACTTTGAAAAGTACTGCTTTGGCGTGATGCGTGCAACGGATACAGTAGCAGAAAATATAAGTTTTTTTTATCGCGTTGTTCGTGGTTGTGTGAAAAAGTGCGGCATTATGCACGTAATTGGAAAACAGAGTATTTGTTGCGAGGGACGTCGTCTTCAGTCTCAGATATTGGATTAAATTTGATTTTAATACTTGGCTTGCTATGAGTGTTCGTCTGTTTATTTTTCTAATTTAACACCTGATGGCGCCATTATTATTAGCGTTTGGTCACGACTTTTACTTACTGTGCATTGAGTGTGATTTTTCTAAATAAAATCTTTTTGTTGAGTTTAGACTTAGTCTTGTTTATTCAATCAATCAATTAGGGATAGTCCTGTTGGGTTTTAGTGGGTAGAACTGGCTTCTTTAGCCGGTGAGTCCAACATAACCGGTGGTTTGCGTAAATGTATTTTCCAACGTCAAAAAAAAAGAAAAAAATGGTTGGACTCGCACTTGGCTAATTTAACTAATTCTAAGAATAAAATACAACACTTTAGTGGTTTATTTATATTTATTGACAATACAATAATTAAGTATACACACACAAGTAATAGCATCATTACATAAGCACAGTATCACAGCCTCTTTACAGCTTAAAGACGAGCCTGATTATATCAGCTGTGGATTGTCGTACAAAGGAATTTAAAATATATTAAAAATTCATAATTTTCAGTAATTTCGGGTAATATTGGCCACTTATGGGTACCAAAACGTAAGCTATTTTTTTTTGAGTGCTAGTTTGTTTATAAAATATTGCCTCTATTAATTTCTTAACTAAATTTATTTAAAGAATATAGCTTTTTGTCAAATAGAAATGGCCACCACACAAATGATAATATTTACCACGTTCTCTGTATTCTGTAGAAATTTATTTTTCATTTGATCAGTGGCAAGTGGCAACAATCTTCAAGTATACAATATTATGCAAATGTTCTTAATATCTGGCAACACGAGGCTACCCATTAAGACGTTAAAAACGGTTAGAAAATATCCCAAGAGTGATACAAAATTACCCAACTGTCAATTACTGAATTTTGTCAAATGACAATTACTATAAAAAATATAAATATTGTTAATTTTTTTGGTAAGTTCAAACAACGTGTATAATGTTTAATTAAAGTTTATTTCTAAAATGTATTTCTGTTTTCTTTTTTTTAAATAATAGAACCTTTAATAGTGCTTAGCAATAAATATCCAAATTACTAAGTAGTTGCTTAAAATACCATAGAAAACAAATTATATATTTTTTTAAAATAAATTCAACACTAAAACCGAGTGACTAAAAATATAAATTTGTATAATAGTGTTGTAAGTTTAAGCACCTTTCAATTATAATTATCTTTCCGTACAAAAAAATATTTTCAATGCTGACAATACTTAGATAACATATAAAAATGACTTTCACATATATACTAGTAAAATTTTTTTATAGAAAATTAATTTTATCGATTAGATAAATATTCATCCAAACCCAACCATTACAGTGTGAAGGAGTAACAAACATACATACATACATCCTTTTTTTTAATATATAACGTAGATTTTCACTAACATTATAAATATACGACACAAATGATCTTGTTAGGGGAATACTTTTACTTATAGAAAACCATCGATCAAAAAACTACTAGATACACAATAGCTTACAAAAGTTTTCTTAAAACTGTCACCAATTGTGTTTAGGTAATTGTTCTAGTTGAAATAAATATAAAACAATGTAAATTGAACCTTAAATGCAATGATTAAAGTTGTTTTCACAAAAAAAAATTAAAAGCGCGCTTAAATGTTCAAATGAGCGCTCATTCGGTGAGAACATTTTTTGTCGCTGATTGTGTATCTAGTACTTATTTGATCGGTGTAGAAAACCGTTGTATCGACAAGTGTTATAGGTTTCTTTACACTTTCAGAATATGAATATGAATAAAGATAACATATTAATTACGTTCATAAGAAAATAAAATAAATAACTAAATTACAAAAGAACAAATGAATAAAACTATCTTTATGGATATTTTCGCGGATATATTTTGATTTTTGGATTCCAGACGTTTCGAACGCTTTACAGCAATCGTGGTCCCGGGAGGGATTTAGGTTTTAATAAGTCTAAAATCCGAAAAGATAGTTTTATTTAAAATGTCAAATATTCGCGTAAATCTGAGAAAGTATTATGAGAACACATGAAGTACTAAATAAATCTTTAATATATTAGCAAATTTTTTATATAAATACTCTGTTTCGGGAAATAAAATAAAAAAAAAACTTTTCAACAGATAATAAATTAAATTATTTTATCGATTAAATAATGATGAAAAACGGTGTGAAAATGGTAATATTACAAAATTTTTATTATCTCCATATACGTCATGCTTACACAAACATACATATAATTAGAGATATATGATACAGTATCCTTAAAATTAAATAAACAGACAGACAAAAAAAATCTTTTTCTACATTGAGCATTTTTCAACAAAATATGAAAAAAATGAGTTGTTTTACTTTATGGTAGATTTTTCCACATTTTTACTTTAAAAGTAATTAAATATGATATGCGAAATCCCGATTAATTATTATGTTAAAGACATTATAACTAGTGAAGTTTTTGAAGGTATACTTCTTTTGGGACGTTTGGAAAAAAAATATGAGAGTAAAATTTTTACGATGCGCGCGCACACCGACAGCCAAAAAGCGACATGATGAAGTTATGCGTTCCTTTAACAAACAGACAGTTGTGACATACGGGATGAAATATTTTGCAATTTTTGTTCTGTTACGCTAAAGAAGTATAACTTCTTACACACATACGTTTTTTTTTTTAATTTTTTCTACTTTGGCGAAATGTAACTATACAAATTCATTTTAGTTTAAGGTCCATTTCAGACCAACAATTTTGAGTTGAGTCGGATCAGTAACAAAGTCCAAAAGTACTCGTAGGATTATGACTCAAATTAGTCAAATTTGTCATATCTTACTGTAACCTTTAAACAGTTTTAAATAATTTGAATATAAAATAACATCTCGGGATACGTTGAAAAAATTCCAACCTAACATATTATGTCTCAAAGTCGGAATATCACACTCTCAAAACTCATCACTCACTACTAAAAATAACTTGACTATGTTTATTTAGGAATATGTATACAAAACGCACGAAATACTATTATAGTGCTAATAATAAAAATCCATATTCTGTGAAAAACTCTATAAGGACGACTGACTGACTGACTAATTGTTGAGTTGTAAGAAGCTTAATACGGAATATGGATGACTTTTTTTATTTTTTATACAATAGCTAACATGGTTGTTATATAATTTTAAAAAACGAGATCTAGCACCAAAAAACTAAAATTTAGTTTAATTTTTTTTTAAATATCATACCGTTACGGGTATTTTAAGCTCCCGCCATTTGCGCGCTCGGTGTGACGTCACCATATCATATACAAACGACGACTCAATTTGTAGCGACAAAATTGCTAATCGCTCTGTTATGATATACTCTGACGTCATCATATTTGGTCTGACTAATGGCGTGCGTTTCAACTACTTTGAATTTCCCATCAGTTTTTTGGACTTTTTAATAAGTATTTTCTAAATCAAAAATTACATTAAAAAGTATTGATATTGGGTTAATTCAGCAGCAATAACGATTATAAAAAAAATCGGATATGAAATGCCGGGGGGTGTCGGAGGAGAGGGGGGGGGAGGGGTCTAGAACTTGGATGAGATGCCGGGGGGTGTTTAGAAGACGGGTATGAGGTGCCGCGGGGTGTCAGCGAGGGGGTCGTCGATGATGAGCAGCAAGTTGAAAGAGAAGAAGATAGCGGCGGCGGAGGCGAGGTGCCACAGGTCGTGCGAGTCGAACACGCGCAGCGCGGTGCACGGCGCGTTGTGCGTGCGCGAGCGCGCCGCCGTCTCCGACCACTTGGTGCGGGAGTCCAGGAAGAAGGCGGCGGCGGCGGCCCACGCGGCCGGCGCCAGCGCCAGCCACAGCCACGCGGCCGGCGGCAGGCGCTCGCCGTGCCGCAGCTTCAGCGCCACGTAGCAGCACGTGTGCAGCAGCGTGTTGCCGAGCAGCACGGCCAGCAGGTGGCGCGCGAAGTCGCCGTTGTGCTCGTACATGCCGTACGCGGCCAGCGCCCAGTTGCACACGTTGACGACGGCCAGCAGCAGCGCGCGCGCCGGCCGCGCGGGGCGCAGCGCGGCGCGCCCGCGCGCACGCAGCGCCGCCACCGCGCGCCGCGCCAGCGACGCGCCTTCGTGGCCACAACGACACTCATTTACATACAGTAACACGGCAAACATACCCACGTAATATGCTATACAGATAAATAAAATTGAAGTGTCTGTTTGTAATGTCAAAATAACAGCGTTTTACTAAATGCATAGGAAATAATTATACACGGTACTTATAAGAAAAACACAATTTTTAAAATTTTTGTCTGTTTGTTCCGGATAAGCTGCGAAACGGCTCGACTGATTTTGACGTGACTTTCACTGGAAAATAGCTGATATTAAGGGAGTAACATAGGCTACTTTTATTTTATAAAAAGAAATAGGATTAGACTCAAAAAAATTAAAATGTACCTAGGAACGAACCCGAGCGAAGCGAGGGTGAGTTGCTAGTCATATAATAACTTTTGAGACGCCTATAATCTTAGTCTCTCCCGTAATCGAGATTGCTTTAAAGCATTCGAAACGTCGCGTCGGGAACCAAAAATCAAAATGAATCCGCGAAATAATTTTATTTAAATTATCAAATATCCGCGTAAATCTAAGAAAGTATTAAAAAAAATAATATTTTTAATGTAAAATTACCTGATCTACAACTTGTAATTATATATTTATTTAGAACAAAAAACTAAATTCTACTTTGACCTTGATATCAATTTTATGTGTTGTATGTAATATTATATAATACTAGCAGTACCCGCGGCTTCACCCGCGTTTAAACTACTAAAAAACCCAAACACTTGAAACACCGACTGCAGCACCGCCTACCTAGCAAGGACCCACTCGAACATACAAAAAAAAATCTCATTAAAATCATCCCTGCCGTTTAGGAGATCAGTGACATACCGACAGCAGCGCCACTTACCGGGTCCAATTGTATTTTCAAACTATCCAGGAGCCCATTGAAATATACACACAACATTTCAACCAAATCGGACAAGCTCCTTTAGGAGAAGTAAGGTGACAAACACACATACAGAAGAATTATATATATATTAAGAAGATTACATGGTCGAAGTTACCATGTTAAATTAAAAATTAAAGCTTAAAATCGTAATACAAAAAGTTTAAAAAATAATCAAACATGACTTCGTAATTTAATTTTTTTTGTATCAAAATTACTTGACCCACTATTACTTTTTTAAAACTTAAAATTAGCTTAAAACTAAAATCCAGCTTTTTATTAAAAAAATATATTGTGGCACTCGGAGACTGCCGCGGTAAAGCTATTGCATAGCATTTTTTATCAACTTATGCAATTATAATTATTTATTTATTTTATTAGTATTTCACGCCATCTAGTTCCATGGTAAGCTACGAGGCCTGTGTTATGGATACCAGATAGTTGATACACTACACATATATAACTTTAAATACATACATATTATAAATATAAACACCCATGACTGGAGTACAAACATTTGACAACACACAAATGAATGCCCCCAGCGGGACTCGAACCTGCGACCACTGGCACAGAAAATAGGGTCACTACAAACTGAGCCAAGCGTGTCGTCAAACGTGACTTAAAACATAAATATCAAACTACTATTTTGTTTTGTTGCGCCATCTAGTGACCATATTCTTATAGCTGTGAATAAAAGTAGCGTAAGACAGCTAGTTCGTAATTTTTATACAAGATGGCACTAGCTCATAAAAAAAATAAACTTTCTCACAAACAGCTGATTACGGTAGTTTTCCAATACAACCAATGCCACCTAAAGGCGGGTTGCTGAACTAAAGAGACAAGCGTGATATTTCAAAAAGTCATTAAAAGTTCTGGTATTTATCGATAGATGGAAAAACTAAAAAGTATCACCGCTGTGCCGGTCGGAGTAGGGGGTGTCAGGTTTTTTTCGTTACGGAATTTCTGGATTCGGTCCCCACGCTCAAGGCCCGCGATAGAAGCTATGCAATAGCTTAAAAAAATCAGTACTTTTTCGAATGGACTAAAACAGACACGCTTAACTCAAAAAAAAAAAAACTAAATATTGACATTTAAATTTCTACACAATATTAAATACATATAAGGTAAGCTAAACAAAAATAGATCAAACTTACGCATTTTGAACTTGCCCACGTAATATATCTTGAGAGTTAGGAAGAAGCAGATAGACAAGTGGGCGATCGTGAACACCGCCCAGAAGTACGGGTTCGGGTCCATGATGCCGATCACGCCTGCGGGCATACGGACAGACAACCAGACTTAAATGTTAAAACTAGTTTACGTACCATTCGCATTTTTAGGGTTCCGTACCCGAAGGGTGCCAACGGAACCCTATTACTGAGCTTTCACTGTCCGTCCGTCTGTCTGTCAGAGGACTGTGTCTCATCAACCGTAATAGCTACAGAGCTGAAATTTTCACAGAGTGTATATAGATTTTTCAATTGTATTCAGCCCTTTTTAACCACCACGCCACTAGTGCCACTGCTGGGGGTGGGCCTACCTTCAGTACGAGCGGAATCATGCCATAGTCCACCACGCTGGCCAAGTGCGGGTTGGCGAACTTCACATATCTTTCAAAAACTTGTAAAGTTCTCTTAGACATGCAGGTTTCCTCACAATGTTTTCCTTCACCGTAAGGCAAATGGTAATCATGTTAGAAATAATTCGCACATGAAAATATCAGAGGTGCGAGACCCGGGATTTGAACCCACTTCACTCGATTTCCCAAGCGATCGCGTTACCACTGGGCTACCACTGCCTTAATTCAATAATTTTATTAATTAGTAATCTTATCTTAATAATAATCGCTATAAAGCATTCGAAACGTCCGGAATCAAAAATCAAAATAAATCCGCGAAAAAATCCGAAAAGATAGTTTTATTTAAAATTCTTCGACTTAATTCAGAAATACTATCATACCGTTAGCTGATTTAGTCAAAATGTTTTTAAATTACAGCATGTTATCTCATAGCACGTTATTTACAATAAATCTTTGAAAAATAATATATGGAGTATTTCAATTAGATTTGTTTTAAGTTTCATCTCAATTGCTCTGTTTTTTATTCGCGTCCAATTTCTGATTCCTAAAAGTATGTTTATAATATTAAGTCAAAAATAATCTTGGCACACTTAAGAACTCCTAGTTATTGGTGTTGGGGGTGTTATGGGTGCGAGGAGTTTGGAGTGGTGTGAGGATGGTGAGGAGTGGCAGACCAGCACCGACCGATGGCCATGACGAAGGCGAGCAGCAGGAAGGTGGTGTTGGCGGAGGCGTTGACGTCGGGGTGGCGGCTCTGGTACAGCTTCACCATGCACAGCACCGCCGTCACGTACATGAACGACGAGTCTGGGGAATACACGTGTATATTTATTGTTAGAGTTACAGATATAGAGGAGAAAATTCTACTTTCTGAGATTTACGCGAATATTTGACATTTTAAAACAAAAACTATCTATTCGGATTTTTTCGCGGATTTAGAGTAGTTTGGTAAAAATCAAAATAAGTCCACGGAAAAATCCGAAAAGATAGTTTTATTTAAAAGAAGAACATTCCTCAAATGGGTAAAAAGAAATTACAGAATAAATGTCACAGAACAAAAATCATTGTAAATAAGTCGTTAAATAAAATAATGTGATTAATAAAATATTTGTATACAACAAATTAATTAAAAATATATATTAGAAAAATCAATAAATAACAAACGTTTATAATGTCACTTTATCATTTTACGTATGTTAAATATATTTTTTTCTTTTGTATACATAAAAATCAAATAGCAATAACAAAGTGCCAATATGATTTTATGGAACCATACCATCACATTGGTCTTGTGTGTATGTTTGTATGTGTGACTCACCAAACTGGAAGTTCATTTTGTTGGGGCAGAGATGGTAGCAGGCGGACAGTACACCCTCCATCACCAGCGCCAGCCCCATGGAGTACAGTAGCCCCGGGTGCTCCGGGATGCCCACATCCTGGCACTGAGAAGACATGTCTATATATAAACTACCCACCACTTGGAATAATTTTTGCAAAACACATCACTGAACGAACACACACTTCACAAGTGCCGTAAAAATCAACATAAATCCGCGAAAAAATCCGAAAAGATAGTTTTATTTGAAATGTCAAATATTTGCGTAAATCTAAGAAAGTATTTCAGGAAATTAACGAGTAAGAAAAAGCAAAAAAAAAACAAATTTAATTCAATAAATATTTCATCATGTAATCAAAAAATCAAAACGTGGAATACTTATTGTGTGATGTTATATATAAAAATACAAGTAATGGTCAATTTGGAATCAATAACTCCCTAAACACCATGGGGCTTAAAGTGCATATAAATTACTCAGTACTCATGCTTTTTTTGCATTACAGTGAAAGTGGAGTATATAACAGCTTTTCACTAAAAGTATATGGAATTATATACGGTATTTATAAGAATAATACATTTTTAAAATTTTTGTCTGTCTGTCTGTTTGTTCCGGCTATTCTCCGAAACGGCTGGGCCGATTTTGACGGGACTTTCACCGGCAAGTAGTTGATGTTATATGGAGTAACTTAGGCTACTTTTATTTCAATAAAAGAATTAAAATGTACCTAAGTGTGCTAGTACAAAAATATATATGATTAGCATCCCCTCACCCCTCGGTACGGCGCCGCGGCCCGCCGCGCCTGCCGCCAGCGCACCTGCAGCATGAAGGCGGCGCCCAGCAGCACGTAGCCCGCGTTGGAGGCCACGTGGTTGCCGTCGGACAGCGCGCCCAGCGGCAGCGCGCACAGGAAGTTGTAGTAGCACACGTCCTGGTCGCCGGACTGCCGCACGCGCTGCCCGCGCCCGCGTACACACATCGACATTTATAGCTCATTCGCGTTAACAAAATAGTGAGTCATCGGTGTCCACCGGCCTGGCCACGCCCCCCAATAGGGTATATAGGGACCAATAGGGTTGCTTATAAAGTCGACTTAAATAATATTAATATTACAGCAGACCTACCGCTTGGTAGGTGGCGAGCAGCTGCACCACCGGCAGCGCGTACACCACCGCCACCGTCAGCGAGCTCGTGAAGTACCTGGGGGAGAGGGACATAAGATGTGACTTTTTAAATTTTTGCATTCCAAAATAATTTTATAATAATGACACTACCATTGCCACTTGCTACTCACGAATTAATTTTAAATACCGTATTATCATTATTATACAAGAGATAGGTGAACTTATATAATATTATTACGTCTTATTAGTTATTATGAAGCAGTGCGTGTGCGTGCGTCACCTGTAGGAGCGGCGCGAGTGCGCCTGCGGGCGCGCGCGGCTGAGGCCGGCCAGCGTCAGCGGCGCGGCCGCAGCCTCCGCCTCCGACTCCACCTCCGATTCGAACTCTGTGTGTGATTACTTTTAAATATGGAAGGTTGCCATATATCATACTAGCGGCTCACCCTCGCTTCGCTCGGGTTCACCTCTAGGAAAACAAAAACAAATCTATCCCTCAGGAACAGTATATTTTCCGGGATGAAAGTAGCCTATGTGTTATTCCAGACCAAAACCTATCTCTGTGCCAAATTTCATTCAGATCCGTTCAGCCGTTCTGATGTGAAAAAGTAACAAACATCCATACTTACACACATGAATACATACTCACACACTTTCACATTTATAATATTTATATATACATAATATACAGATTTAATATCAACTTACCGTCACTGTGCCGTGACACGATAGGCGTGTCGTCAGCTATGCCCGCCACGTCGCGCGAGCTCGACGGGACCGGCTCATTTTCTATTATTATTACAGTCTCATCTGTAATTACAAATACGTATAACCTTTTGTAAAAATTATTAAAATTAAAAAAAAAAAATATTCCAAAGAAATTTCACTTCAAGGAGGATCGTATACAAAACAAAGGTAGTAATTCCGAATATTTATCCGTGTGTGTGTGTGCGCGTGTGCGTGCGTGTGTGTGTGTGTGTGTGTGCAAACAATTTGATTTTTTTTCTATGTATAAATATAAACTAAAAAGTATTTTTATATTAGAAATGCCAAGGTGCATGTCTAAGAGAACTTAACAAGCTGTCTGTAGACATAGTCAGTCCGCCCGCACTCGGCCAGCGTGGTGGACTATGGTCTGATCCCCCTCGTATCTCCCGGCAGGGGAACGATAAAGAAAGGACCGATTACAGCACAGAGTTATTAATTCTAAATGTCTATCCGTGTGTGTGTGTGTGTGCTCACGCGAGGCGCAGGAGAGCGCGTGCGCGAGCGGCGCCAGCAGCGCCACGAGCAGCACGAGCGCCAGCGCGGCCAGCGCGCCCGCCGCGTACTCCGCCGCCGACACGCTCGCCGCCGCCTCGAACCTACACCCGTGCGTATCCACTATATTTATTTATTAGATAAGCCACCGTGACATATATGTAAGTAAAAAAATCTACATTTAAAACATATAGAAACAAATATTTCATAGTAATCATCACACTTACAGGCTTGCTCGATATGATTAAAATGAACGTGCAAGCAACTGAGCGAGGCCAGGGAAACTCGCTAGTTTTCCCAATATCATCAAATTATATATTGAACAATTAGTAAAAAAATCCATCGGATATCCAGCACCCGAGCTTCAAGTAATCAAACTACTATTAATTATAAAAAATATATGTATGTATATCTTTGTCAGTCTTTCTCACCAAAATGACGGAACGGATTCAGCTGAAATTCAGTACACAGATAGGTCATGATCTGGAATAGCACATAGGCTACACAATTAAACAATCAAAGACATAGAACAATGCTAACTAAAACATAAATAGCTAACTAAAACACTAGCTGCAGCAGTACCGGAAAGTCTTGCGGCGGTCGTGCGCGCGCGCCGCCACGCCCGAGCAGCGCTCGTCGCTCTCCATCACTATGAACACCACGTAGAAGCCGCGCGGGAACATCGATTGCTACGGTCGTGGGAAATATATACAAATTACATATTTATACGTGATCAAACGGTCCATTTGACTGACAAAAACAGTTATAGGTGTAAAAATTAAAAAAAAAAACTATTTTGTGAAACAAAATCTAAATAAATCCGCGAAATAATCCGAAAAGATACGTTTTATTCTAAAATGTCAAATATTCGCGTAAATCTAAGAAAGCATTAAATATTTTTTGGAAAATCTTATTAAATTGGTCATTATTATCGATACAGAGATCGAATCTATAATTTTTAGAATTTTTGTCATCTACCTGAGAACGCATCACGAAAAATCATTAGACAGTTTTTGATGAAATTTTGTATGATGATAGCTGGTTATCCGGGTCAACATATAGGATACTTTTTACTGCGATAAAATATCTCATCTCTGAGACATCTATATTAACCATTAAAACGTACCAAGAAACGAGCGTAGCGAGAGTGAGTCGTTAGTATAGGTATTAATAAATTTGTTAAAATTAAAACTGTCCCGTAAATTTTTAAATCTTTTAAATTATTTTTTTGTTGTCTATACTAATATCATAAAAAGGAAAGATTTGTTTGTTTGTACCGAACAGACTCTGAAACTACTAAACCGATTTAAATAAAATTTGGTAAGAAGATAGTTTTTATCCCGGAAATCATCCTTTAAGGGGGGTGAAAATGGGGATAAAAGTTTATATGGGAAATCAAAGTAATTTAAAAAAAATTCAAATACCGTGACGGTGATGCCGCCCTTGCGGGTCATGGTGAAGTGGTAGCCGCGGTACGTCACGTCGCGCTCGTTGTCGAACACCGGACACTGGAATGGACAGTGTCAATTTTTTTTAATATTTACTGCGTTTAAAATATAAATAAAATAAAAAAATATATTGGGACATTACATACATTACATTACAGCACCATCTAGTTCCATGGTAAGCTACGAGGCCTGTGTTATGGATACCAGATAGTTGATACACTACACATATATAACCTTAATTACATACATATTATAAATATAAACACCCATGACTGGAGTACACACATTCGTGCTCATCGCATAAATGAATGCCCCCAGCGAGACTCGAACCCGCGACCGCTGGCACAGCAAGTAGGGTCACTACAAACTGAGCCAAACGTGTCGTCATAATTAAACAAATATATTGTACAAACTAAAGGTTGTTACCGAGTTAGACTGTATGGAGACGATGGCGCACACGTCGTCGTCCGAGTCGATGGTGAGCAGCACGCTTTTCGGTATCGTGTAGTTGAACCTGGAATATAACCTCTTTTGATATCATTTCTAAATGAAAAAAAAATTTTAAAAAAGCCATATCTCAAAAATGTATTTATAACGAAAATCACAAACAGATTTCTCCCACGGGAATCATTCATTTTTCCGGGATAAAAAATAACCTGTTGTTTGACCGGCAATATAAGATATCAGCATGCCAAATACTAAATTAGGTGCATAAGTTGTTGTGTACTAAGCTGTATAAATTACTATAGTTTTTTAACTTTCCCACGGGAACTATTTAGTTTTCCGATATGAAAAGTATCTAAAATGTTGACCGGGGATAGAAGGTACCACAATGCAAAATTTTATATAAATCGGTAGAACAGTTTCGGAGATTAGTAGATAGTAGATCCGTACAAACAGACAAACAGAGATAGTAGATCCGTACAAACAGACAAACAGACAGTGAAGCAAAAAAATTGAAAAAAATCTGGATTTCTTCTATTTCTCTTCTTACATCCATCTGACTCGGTTATTAGCAAAAAAAAACCTATGTACAGACATTCGATCTCTACAGTTTTATTATACATATATATTATAAACCAACAACATTTCCAAGAGTTGACTCACTTGGGGAATAACAGATGAGAACGCTGTGAGTGAGGCAGGTTCAAGGGGTCGCGGTCGAACGAGAAATAGTAGTACTTGGGTGTGCTTGGAGTCACGTTTAAAGTTACTTCCTGGAAATTATAATTATATATATATTTAAAAAAAAATGGGTGCGTGTAACCTTTACGCGCGATTGAAGTAAAACTTCTTTGGCAAATATAGCAATTAAATTAAAACAAATCAATTATTATATTAGGCATATTATAATCATATATTTATAGAATATCATATACGGAAAGAATATAATATTATATAAATCATTTGTCAGACAAATAACAACGGTTACCATGGCAATAATTAATAATGTATTCTATCTCATTCTCTCGCCGGCTTATCCTTTATATTTATGTGTTTGTCTCTTTCTAGTGTCGCATTTCCGTTTCAATTTTAAGAAAATCAGAAGGATAAACTCGGATCCACCCGAGTCGTCCAAAATTCGATTGCACCATTAGTTACAAGTGAAACTAACAAAAGTGTTGTTCCGTTGTTCGGTCCAAAGGTTGATACCGAACACCTAAACAATAATGCTTAGTAGGTGTCTTATAAATACATAGAAACACTCCTGAAAAAGTTAGTAAAACGATCGATGTATTTAAAAGTTTTACATCAGTCTACTCATTCATACAGTCTGTCAAATTAGTTTAGTTGTCATAGTTTGTCAATAGATGGCGTTACGGGTAAGTTAAATCGCGCTATTAAAGACGGACATCGATATTATGACCCGAGTCAATAGATTATTGTTTTTTGAGTTTATTTTCAGAAGATAACAATACAGTGGTTAGTGTTACAGTGCTAGTGAGTATTTTATTTGTGTTGGATCCCGACAGTGATCTATTTTTACACAGTCACCTAATAAAACTAAGGAGTACAGACAGAGCGGAGAGACGCAGGGAAGGGCTCCCGATTGGCATACTTACTTATATATGACAGTCGGGAAACGGCTATAGAGTTGACGTATGATTGACGTACTTGCCACGAGATGACACTACAAAACTTTAAGTTTAACAAGTAAGTTACGCACAACGGACCAACTTAAGAGTTCAAGTGCGGAAAATGAGTACACCCTACAAAACTTTAAGTTCGTAACCGTACGCCATGAAAATTAGATATTTTTTGACAACCCTTGCATTTCCATCAAAATCAATTTGCAAAGTAAGTACAAATCGTGTATATATGTCCACAAACATTCGACTTAGACTTTAGACTACTCTTATAATACCTTATTCACTTCCAAATAGAAGTCCTGGACGCGTCGCACCTTGATCTTCACAGTCACGTTGTTGGGGCTACTCGTGGACAGCGTCATCGACGGCCGCCCCTGGGCCGTGATATCTGATGACGGACCACGATAGTGTTATGAGTGCGATTAAATGTGTGTTTCCTGTACGTTTTGACGACACGTTTGGCTCAGTTTGTAGCGACCCTACTTGTTCTACCAGCCACCAACGGTCGCGGGTTCGAGTCCCGCTGGGAACATTCATTTGTGTGAAGAGCACGAATGTTTGTACTCCAGTCATGGGTGTTTATATTTATGATATTTATGTATTTATTTGTAAATGAAATATTTGAATTCCGTCCAAAAATGTATAAAAAGTTGAAAGACCAGGGCTTGTCGATATAAATTTCCTAAGCACAGAATATTAGGTACACCACGTGCCAGAATGCAGTTCTGTGAGAGAGAGAGGAAGCGAAACCAGACAGTCGCTGTTGTATAATTTTCCATTTATTTAAAAAATTCTGGCACAAATATAAACCGATTCATGATTCTTTTGAAGAGTTTATATCATAGGCATATTTTTCAGGAAAAAAACCCACTTCTAAGCATGAAATGAGTTTTTTTGGAGTATTTTGAAATGATTACTATATATCTATTACTAGCGACTCGGGTTCGTCCCTAGCTGGCTTCCCAATACAAACTTTCATCCCCATTTTCACCCCCTTAAGGGATGATTTCCGGGATGAAAAGTATCCTATGTCCTTCCCAGGGTTTCAAACTATCTTCTTACCAAATTTCATCTATCCAGAGATTACCCCCTACAACCTCACAAACTCACAAACTTTACCTCTTTATAATATCTAATATCTAATAGTAATATAGATACTCACTCGGCCCCGCGTCGTGCGGACACAACGTCCGAGCCATGTCGTTGAAGTACAACACTTTGTTTTTTGTATTGATTACCAGAGGCAGATCCCATGATGATATACCTGTTGTCAATAAAAAAATAAAAATAATACAGAAAGTTATTAATAATACAAAAATAATATAAAACCTCATTTTAAACTTTGATAGAATCAATATCAAACACGAGAAGCTAAGTTGATATAAATTTTAACAAACGCACAGACAAACAGACAAAAATTCTAAAAATAATTGTTTTGCGTTCTATTGCGTAAATAAAGATCCCCAATTATAGTTTTTCTCAAATATCTTTCATGTACAGACAGCTTCTTTACATAATAAAAAAGATTGAAAAACCTTTTTGCTGTGACGCTGTGACAAGCAATGGGTAATCGACACTAATACTGTCATTGGTTCCAACATGCACTCGTGTTGGATAAACTGAGAGTATGTCTGAATCCTGTGAAATAAACAAATTAAAAATATAGTATCCTGCAAAAACTTTATTAAAAGAATGTTAAGTAAGACTTCCAAGTTCCAATTCAGGACTCGAAGCCAGGACCTCAGGATCAGCTGCTGTGCATGCTATACATTAGACCAATGAGCTTTCAATGCATGCATCTGTAGAATAGATAGACACAAGACAATCACTGGTCAGTTAATACTCATTACCTATTCTATGTTTGGTGACAAGTTTGAAAAGATTCTTACATTCGATTCTTGTCAAATGTTTATTTAACTTAGTCTGTTAAATTTGAAAATTTAAGATACCATGTCATTTAAAAACAGAGGTTTAAAAGATATAATCTTATTTTTGATCAACTTCAACAAGGAAGTAGTGGTTTTTGATTAATTTCATGTATATTTATAATTTATTTTCACCAATTGTGAACCAATTATCATAATTTTTTATTCGATAGAATGTACCTCAAGGTTGGTTGAAAACAAATTGCAAAACAAAGCCTTCTATCCACCATTTAAGAATTTGTAATATTTATTAATATATTCATTTTCAAAGTGATTTTAAAATGTACTCTTGATAAATATACATAAAGTAACAAATTAGTTCAGACACCAATAGTTTTAATTTTTGATCTCACAAAAGACCCACATTTATCACTTCTGGGAACTAGACATAATGTACTGAGTGACAGAGACACTTTACAAAATCGAAATTAGCCTATATTCTCCCTCTTTAGCTCAATGTACATTATTCAGCGCCGGTTACTGTACTTACCTCTTCAAAGTCAAGAATGTGCATGACTGTCTTATTTACTGTCAAGTCTATTAACTCATCATATTTATATCTGAAATAAAAACATAATATTAATAAAAAAAAATCGAAATTTTATATTTTTTATTAGAGATATAATGTTTTTAATGATTTAGTTGTATAAAATTATGGTTATTATTCTAATACATAGGATTTTAAAATACATATACAAAAGTAAAAAAACAAATAAAAACATAGATTCCAAGTAACAAAACAAATATTACTTAGTTTAAGAACTAATTTAAAAGAGTTTGTATCACTTAGCACAGTTATGTATTTTATATATTTTTGGTTATAATAATATATAAACATATATAATAATAAAATTTGTATATAAAGATAATAAATACAAAGGATAATATTCTAAAAACTCTTAGAGTATTATCATATTTTTGATTACTTTACTAAATTACATTAAAAGTTACTAGGGGAAAACCCTAATAGTAATATCAAATATGGTATTTAAATTTCAATATACCATACATGTATGTTATAAAGTTTAGTTTTATTAACAACAAATATTACTATTATCATATAAAAACATTTTTTCATAACAAAGTTAATAGATAATGGTTTTGTTATCATTAACATACAGAATAAATATTTAACAATAATAACTTGTTAAAGGTAATAAACTTACGTATTATGTATAAAAGTCTCATTGAGGGTAGGGTTAACAATTAAACTAAACACATTTTCAGTTAATATAAGACTTAAAATTAATATTTTCAACATTTTATAAATATTTACGCGTATTTGCGAATTTCGTTCAATGTTATCGAGCTGTCAAAATAAAACTGTCATTTATGATAATGTGTCAAAGTAATGTGCAGTTGAAGATTGGGGATTGACCTTTTGGCACATATATAGGCCAATAATAAGAAAATTAAAAAAAAAACACAACGAATGACCACAGTTTAGAGTATTATGGTGTCCTTTACCACAGCCAGTGATTAAAATAAAAAAATAGATTAAGTTCTGTAACAAATTCTGCAACTTATTTAGACGATTTAAAATAATCTGATTCTGGTGATGATGCAGATACATGCTAATACCAACTCCGATCTTCCCAACTCCGAGCTATTACTGAGAATATCTTAACAGTAAAACTCGGTAATGAAACTTTGACCGACTCGGGACTCGAACCCAGGATCTCCGGATCTGCAACCGTACATACTAGCCACTAGATCCCCGAGGCAGATACTAAAGTACACATTAAGTATACATGCAAAATGCAAATCTCTATTCCTTTCACTCTCAAACTTGAATAGGACGAAAATTCACTACGACCGGTCATGGACAGCCACAGTGCGGCTTTACGTGTTCTCCAAGGTACGGGGATGTACAAAATGCCAATTTGAATTTCTGAACTAAAGGCTGTTACTAAGAATTTCTTGATAGAAATACTCAATAATTAAACTAGTTCTGACTTGGGATTCGAAACCAAAACCTCCGGGTCTGTACTTACTACTTACTAGCCCCTAGACAACCAAGGCAGATATGTGTAGTTATGTACGATTAAAATGTATTATCATGTTATGATATGCCATTTCAAGACCGCCGTCCGCCACTATCTCTATTACTTAATTCATAACGGCATTTTAAATATCATTACAAAATGTACATGTCGTTAAGTTAATTACATTGTTACACGAACGTTATTTGTAAGAGACCAGAAAGAAAAACATCAGGAATCAGTTTGGTTTTAAAGCGAAATAAATAAATACTATTATTGAATAAATCTATTTTATCGGATTTCTTTCGCGGTCTTTTTTAATGATGGTATTTGAATGTACACACAACTTTAAATTAGCGGTAATTACCCTTTACATATTATATGTACATTGTACATGCAAGGAAGCTATAATAGTAAATAAAATTTTAATGAATTTGCTAAAGTGTATGTTACAGACAGATTAAATGAGGGCTAAATTATTACATGTTATGCATAAATCTTTAATCTAATTTATATTACGGATAGCATTATCAACAGATGAGAACCAAGATAAAAAGAAGATAATATGATAATAATATTTGGCATTATTAAAGTGTATGAGAAACTTTATCAGTAATCTGTGGAACGCAAGAGGTACGATAACGTCAAACTATTAGTGGCCAATCGCAGGCCTGCATTGCTTTGACATCATTCGCGCTCGACCAATAGGAAAGAAGAAATACTCGACGGACCAATATTGATATCCAAAGGGAACAAACCAGTAAATAAATCGAAAATGGCGTCGTTTAGCCGATTAGATGAATCAAAGAATAATTTATTGTGATGTCCTGTTATAATTAAGCAAATATATTATTATATATATTATCCCCACATACGATATATTTTTGGGAGTTATTGTTGTGTGTTGTGTTTTAGTGAAATTTTCGCGTAAAGCGAAATGGTGTTCTATATAGTGGCGTGATATAAAAGTGTTTACATGAATTCCGCGCGGGGGCTCCGGTCAACATGCTGCCCACTGTGGAGGAGAGCCGGGGTTATGATTTCCAGGACCCGGCGAATTCGGAGAAATGGCGCGGCCTTTTCGTCAACCCTCTGCGAAAGGTTTGTGTACCAATATGTCATGGCTCTCAAAACATACTATCTTGTGTAACAATTTCACTATTTGTGTATAATATTTACTATTTATTATATAGATAAACATGTATTTAGCTATTGTTTTTGAAATTTAAAAGATTTTATTTAATAATTATGAGCTGAACCTAGTTTTGTGTGAGATAAAGGATTGTGGGCCAAGTTCATGAAATACATTCATAATTTTCTATAGAGCGGCATAAATTTATGTATTGCATGTAAATTGAGGTCACGATCGACAGCTAGATGGGTCAAGGATACGCTTTTGCATTTTTTAATTTAAATTTATACCAAAATCTTATAAATCAATGTAATTGCTGCAAAGCCAAACAAAATGTTTATATTTAATGACTTTTGTTCTTACCACTTTCATATACTTAAAAAAAAATGCAGTATTTCCTAAACAATTTCTCATTCTAGCTCCTTTAACTATACTAGTTAACATTTGTGTGGTATATTGATGAGAATAAATCCCTTCTAATGTGACCATGGTGATAAGGATCTTACTTTTTATAAATGAAATTCTTATTGTCATAATTTAAAAGATAAATAATTGTATATTATAGAATTATCATAATATTATAACAGTTTGCTCTAAATATTAGTCACTTTTGTGCTTAATATTTTTAAATTACAGACAATAATAATGGATATCAAATAAATAAATCAATTGATAAAAATATTACATATTCAGTTAAATATTTACATTGATCTATAAATTACTTGTGAATTTATGATTTAATTGCAAGAATTTTTGTTTATTGAGGTTGTTCATTATTCTATGAATTAAAACATAATGATAATATAATAATTAACTATAACTACTTTGCTTCTCAATACAAACTTTCATACCCATTTTTACTCCCTTAAGATGATGATGATGTCCAGGATAAAAAGTATCCTATGTCCTTCCCAGGGTCTCAAACTATCTTCTTACCAAATTTCATCTAAATCGGTTCAGTAGATCCAGAGATTACCCCCTACAACGTCACGAACTTACAAACTTTACCTCTTTATAATATTAAGTATAGATAACAAATATTTAAATGTAACCAAAAAAATGTACCGTCTGATTACATGTTTACATAATTAAGAGACTGAATAATTAAATTTTTTTGTTCTTGTGTCATTATTACATGTAATTATGCTTATATTTACTTTGACATCGCTCTTTTGTTTGTAATTTACAATTTGCAATTCTTATTAAGCAATTTGTATGTTTTTGTTGTGTAAAACATCTGTTTAAGAGTTTTAATTTCATATAATAATATCTATACATATAATAAAATCGTAACTAAGCCGAATCTGTACATTAAATATTTTTTGGAATATCTTATTGAAATAAACATTATTATCGATACAGAGGCCCAATCTATAGTTTTTAGAATTTTTGTCTGTCTGTCTGTTACCACATCACAGAAAAACCACTGGAGGGATTTTGATGAAATTTGGTATGGTGATAGCTGGTTATTCGGGTCACATATAGGATACTTTTTACTGCGGGAAATTGTCTTATTTCTGTTAAAAGATACAAAAATTGCATTGTAAGATTGTGGTAATATGTAAAACCTAAGAATTTGGTTTTGGCCATCTGAATGCGGGCTGAGCCTTGGGCAATGCTAGTTTACAATAATATGTATTATTAATGTAGGCAGTACAATGTTACATATTACAAAGATTTATGGGAGTTTGCAATATTTTTAAATGATTTTTTCGGATTTGGACAATGCACTATGTTCTTTAAAACAAAATTTAATATTTAAGAAATTTTATCACATTTTAAACTCTAGATGTTTAATTTTACTTAAACTTTTGTTTGTCCCTTAATTTACTTAAAACCTTTATCCCTTATTTTGAAGGGTCACTGCTTCAAAAATGGGCTTGACCCAATGACAAAAAATTAACATGCATATTTGAATAATTTTAAAGACTAGTTCTAGAGTGAATGCGAGAAGCCTGATTCTCATATACGCAGTAAGACAGCACAAACGACCAGATTAACATGTGATTGCTCCACAAGTGTGTTTGTTGATATACAGTGATGTGAAAGTAAAATATGTAGACACAACATTTATATGAATACATGTATGTCTGATATAATTAATTAGTTTTAATCTATACACATGAATAAAATTAAAGTGTCTGTTTGTAATGTCTAAAGAACAGCTTATTAGTAAATGCATATGAAATTATATATGGTAGTATAAGAAAAACACAATTTTTAAATTTTTTGTCTCTCTGTTTGTCTGTGTTTGTTCCGGCTAATTCCGAAACGGCTGGATAGATTTTCACGGGACTTTCACTGGCAGATAACTGATGTTATGAGGAGTAACTTAGGCTTCTCTTATTATAGACTTGAATATGTTTGAATGCTAAAGAATCATCTATTTTGTACATAATATAATACTAGTGACTTGTTTGTGTCAGGTAAGTCCCTAACAGTAGGCAGGCACCTCCAGTTCATAGACTAAATTTCATCCAATTCCGTCCAGCTGTTTCAGTGTAAGGATTAAGGAGTAAGAAATAAACACATATACATACAAAGTTTCGCATTTATAACTGTAGTCCAATAAAATAATATATTAAAATGCTATTAAATATTCTCATCTCTTTTATCTCTTACTTCGCCAGGTCCTCCAGAACGTGCATCCGACTCTGAACGCGGAGCAGAGTGCGCTGGAGTTCGTTGAGTCGCTCTGTCTGCGGCTCCTTGCCATGCTCTGTGCAGTGCCCTCGCCACTCACTGTGCAGGTACACACACACACGCGCGCGCACGCACGCCCACGCGCACCCACGCGCGCGCACGCACGCCCACGCGCACACACGCGCACGCAAGCGCACGCACACACGCGCACGCAAGCGCACGCACACACGCACAGACACGCGCACACACGCACACACATATCGTTAACTAGTACATAGTAGTCACTATAGTAAAGTAAACATATCTCATTTTAAAACTATCTTTTCGGATTATTTCGCGGATTTATTTTGATTTTCGGTTTCTGTCATTTTGAATGTTTTACAACAATCATGGTCACGGGAGAGACTTAAAGTTTTAGACATCTACTTGTTACAGACGCTGCCTACCCACAATTTTACAAAATGATTTCAAAAATACAAATATATATATAAGATAAGATAGAGATGTATAATATAAGAAAAAAAAGATAGTTTTATTTAAAATGTCAACTATTCGCTTAAATCTAAGAAAGTATTATTAAAATGTCTCGTTTATTTGTTGAGTGTCTGTTAGGGCGTGCACACGACGGCTTTTTAACGCGCTATTGACACGCGTTTGTTGATCGATACGAACACAAACAATCTGTGTTTTTTTAATTTATCAGCACAGAATATGAGCAGATGACGTAGGTTCATGATATGCGCGTCGTCGGCTAGTTCATGATCGTGGTGTACATAGACCCTTTTTAGTTTACTACCACAGAATACGCGCTGACGACATCGACGTTGAGACGTGTCTGCGCGTTTATGAAACGTGGTGTACAAATTGGTCCTTAACAGACCTTTTGATTTACTAACATGGTCGAGTTAATAAAACTTATCACTAGCTGACTGACTGACTCACTAAATTACAGACCATTCACAGCTTAAACCTCTAGCTCTAGAAACATGGTATTTTATTGCAGAAAGGTTGTTTATGTATTACAAATTTAACAATTTTTAAGATATTAAATTTTAAATAGTTGATGAAAGCTTGTAAGATAGTTTGTCATTGTATGTCTCTTTCAGGTTCATAACAGCTTCTGTATAAAATAGGTTGTTTTGTTTCTCCATTACCATTTGAGAGGCCAAACTACACACTTACGTTAGCAGCAACTTCATCCGTTTCCACGAATATTTTCTTCGCATGAGAATCGAACCCGCCTTTTGTATCGTTCTCGATATTGCTGGTCAGATGATTACACGCTATGTTAAACGATCATAATATGTACATGTAGAATTTCAAGCTATATGCCTTAAATAGAAGTAAGTGAGAATGGAGTGCGAAGTGCTACGATTTATTCATACTTCTTTCGCCACAGGTCATTCAAACGATTATCATGTTATAATGTACTATAGAATCAGCGTTTATATCGATAAAAATGACTATTTCAATAAAAATTTCAAAATATAAAGTTACAAAAGTTTATTTAAAGATTTATGAAATTTTAATCTGTGTTAAAATCTATATATAAAATATTTATATGTAACATTAAAAGTGAAATTCGAAAAAGAGATAACCCAATACCCATCGTAGATTATGGAACAAAAGCTACTTTTAATAGACACAGCATCTACTAACAACCATATTAGAACCACAATAAAAATCTATAGTTCATAGAATTGAAATGAGTCAAATCATTTTTATACATTTTCTTTATTTAATACTTAATGTTTAATATAATGTACTATAATGGTAGGGGAGCCTAAGAGGGGAATTTTGGACTTACTCAAGCGCGCTAGATTAACTTATGGGGAGATGCCTCGCACTCTGTTGAGTACCTCCACCTTAATATAAGTCCTCTATATAAGGGCGCGCGTCTAGGTCAGCCTAACAGAATATTAAAATATATTTTAATAAGGTAGAAATATGCTACTTCTACTTATATTTTAAAGATTTAAAGATTTAAAGATTTTTATTGAACATAATAACATACATATTAAAACATTTAGATCGTAAGTAGCTGCATTAGTATAAACTGTGTCGCAGCTATTTACGCCCACCTCGGGACAATAAGGACAGCTATGTTCTAAGGTTAGTACAAATATATTATTAGGGTGTGTTAACAGAATTAGTTACTATTGTAATGATATTAATTTAGTTTAAGCTTATATTTATAAATTATACGAATCCTTAGGAGATGAAGATAGAACAATCAGGTTGGTAAGTTTTATAGTAGCGTAAGTACTACACTGTATATATACCTGTTTTATTTACGTACAGAGCTTATAAATAATAATTCACAAAATTATCTTATAAATATACAATTAACTTATGTTCATTAGTTATCGTAAACAAGTGATTCAGTCTCTTTATAATTGAGATTTTGCAAAAACTTAGTTACTTTATTTTTACATTGCCAGTAAGACAGAGGATGGATGTTTATCAATGCATTCAATTTGTTATAGATTTTAGCCGAGAGATAGACATAATGATTTCTAACAAGAGCAATACGAGTAGGTTTCATATTGCAAATGCGGCCAGCCCGTCGCTTTATAGCATTTTTAACAAAAGGTAGCTCAAGGTGTTTGCGTAATACCGTTTTTAAGACAAACAATTGCCTAACCGTTAAGACTTTAGCTATTATATACAATTCAGAAGTAGCAAAACGGATTGGTTTGCAAAGCATAACTTTAAGAACGGCTCTTTGGGCTCTCTCCAAACGGAGGAATCTAGTTTTCCCTGTCCCACCCCAGGCTGATAAACAATAAGTCAAAACAGACTGTGCCAGCGAGAAATATACGATCTTCAGGGTTTGTTGATCAGCAATATTTCTAAGGGTCTTGAAAATATACATTAATTTTCTAATTCGACCGATAGCCGCCTCAACCTGGTCATTCCAAGTCATTAGAGAGTCAATAAGAACGCCAAGATATTTAACACAGGAAGACTGCGTTAGCTCAGTGCAGCGGCAAAAATCGTCATTTGGGTTACAATTGTGGGCGTGGATAGACAAAGTAGACGGGGGCAGAGACAAGGCTTTGGGAGCAAAAGCTATAAAAGTCGTTTTGCTAACATTAACTGTCAATAAGTTCTTAGCGAACCATTGCATTACTATCCTTAACGTAGTCTCAGCGAGGAGTCGAGCTTCCTCCCATGTTGGTGCCTCAATGAGAAGGGCAGTGTCATCAGCATAAGCGTAAACTTTAACATTATTGAGAGCTAGATTGCATAAATCATTAACATATATTAGGAATAATGTTGGTCCGAGGACACTACCCTGAGGCACGCCGAACGATAGAGTCACTTCATCACTGATATGATTGCCTATGCGAACTTGCTGTGTGCGATTACTGAGGTAACTTTTAAATATATCAAGTACGAGTCCTCTCACGCCAATACACTCTAGTTTCCCCACGAGAATTGGGACAGAGACAGTGTCAAAAGCTTTGGATAAGTCAAGGAAAAGACCAATGGTTTTGTGTTTACAGTTAAAATTGTCAATAATAGAATTTGTGAGAGCCAGTACAGCATCCTCTGTAGATTTCCCACTTCGAAAGCCAAATTGATTATCAGAAAGTATCGAATATGCATCAAGGTATTTTATTAAGCGAGAATTTAGAATTTTTTCAAAGATTTTAGAAAGTGTTGTTAAGACGGAAATAGGCCTGTAATTGTTGACACTGTCTCTGTCACCGCTTTTATAAATAGGATGTACAAGGGCTTTCTTGAATACCCGAGGGAATGTCCCCGACGACAAACAGAGATTATAAATATGTGTCATTATTGGCACAAGAACGGAACGCGCGGCCTTAAGCAGTGACGCTGGTATGCCATCCCACCCCACGGCACAATTTCGTAGTCCCATAGTAATTCGTTCGACTTCCTCATTGTCAGTTTCAATTAACGCCATAGAATTTACATGGTTACAATTTTGAGGTATCGCAAAATGATTAGACTGTCCGGTAAACTGCGTGGCGAGGGTTTTCCCGATATTACTAAAATACTCATTGACCAAATTAACTGCCGCTTTCGGATTTTCGCTTAACGACAAGAGGCTATCTGCTTCGGAAGAATTTTGATCGAGGTTGGTTATATTTTTAATAAGCTTCCAAGTAGCCTTAGGATTATTTTTCGCTTTATGGAACTCTGACCGTTCATAAGCTCGTTTAATATTTTTAAGTAAATTTATACAAAAATTTCTATAACGCGTGTATGTCAGTTTTGCCAAATGATTATTAGGATCTTTTTTACTTAATTTATATAGTCGATCACGATTTCTAACACAGCGTAACAGACCAGGTGTCATCCAAGGCTTGATAGTTCGCATTTTGCTACTTATATGAACAGTCCTAGAATGAGTCTTAATAATGTCTATTAATGTACTAACAAACAAATATGCAGCTTTTTCGGCATCAGTAATAGACATAATAAATGAAAAATCCTTTTTTTCAATTTCTTTGACACAAGAACTTTCGTCAAATATAATTTTGTTACGCGCTACTTTAGTTAGTTTCTTTTTTCGACTGCAGCAAAGTACAACTGGAGAATGGTCAGTAATAAGTGAATCTATGATTAATGTAACAGATGTTGTATTTGTTTTAAGAAGCACGTGATCCAAGCAACTACTTTTTCTTGTGGGAAACACGTGTGCAGGCAACATCGCATTTGCTGCCGCCAAGGTGAGGTAGGGATCCGCATTAGGATCACTACTCCCGGGTACTATATTAATATTGATGTCTCCAACTAGGGCGACAGTCTTAAACGTATTTAGAGAAGTCAGCGTATCCTCAAGAGACTCAAGAAAACTACCAATATTCCTTGTTGACGGTGAACGATAAACAGCTACTAAAGCAATTTCATTAGCAAACTTAAGCACAAGGCAATTGGCATCATTAAAGGTTCTCTTAACAACTGTACAAGCCAAATCTGTTTTAACATAGGCCACTATGCCATCATTTTGGTTAGCGAAGTTTGATTTAAATGATGAATATCCCGGCAAGTTTGGTAAATACGGGCATTTGCTTAGCCAGCATTCACTCAGCACCAGAACATCAAACACAATATTTATCCTTTTTAAAAGTATCTGAAGCTGACTGAAATTACAGCCAATGCTTCTTATATTCAGATGCAAAACTGTAAGCGATTCATTAATATCAGGAAGAAGCCCTAAACTATTTTCTGGTGTACAGACATAAGATTTCGAAACGGCAATATTTTCTAAGTCATTAGTAATTTCTAGCGTATTGATCATGGTGAAACCAATCTTTTAACAAGTATCATATTGGAAGCGATAGGCGCCGAGGATAAAAAGACAAGCAACATGCGGAAATAGAAGGGCTGCGAATGCTCTCTTGTATATTTACTTTTGTTACAGGCTAGGTATTTTACACAATATATACAAAGATTAAGAGGAATGCATAATAGAATATTATAATTTATATGTAGAAAAAACGACGAACTGGCAACACAGAAACCATTCTTAAAAACAGTCGACAATGCTAAATGTGTTAGGTAGGGGTTAGTAGACATAAAATAGAGACGACTAAATAGCAGTACAATAAACCAATAAACAAACAGTACTAGACAGGATGTTAAGGAGACTAGTCATTTAACGTTATTAGAATTATCTAAGTTCTTTAAATCTTGCTCGTTGTTGATGAGAATTAAGCCTGTTCCTTCTTGCTTACGTAGAAATATTTTGCCATTTGTGACCCAACAGTACTTGAAACCGTTTGACTTGGCGAAGTCCTTCGTGATATAATGTAGCCGTTTCATTTGAGGGGATAAATTTTCTGATATAAACACGGGGCTGCGTGCGCCAGTGATACCCAGAGTCTCCGTGTTTAGTTTACAAGTACTGTTTGCTTTATTATAATCCCTATATTTTCGTAACAGAAGTTCCTTTGTGAGTACACTGTTGAATTCTATAATAATGGTTTTGTTAGTGGGATCTCTAGTGTTAATACGAAAAATATCCTTAACATACTGGGGGTCTATTGATGTGTTTAAGGCGTTTGCTAAGCGTTCCAGTTGGCTAAGGAGGGATAGCTTAGTTTCGCCTTTACTATGTGGTATATTTCTAATTTCTACACAAGTAGACCTTCTGTGGCGTTCGAGGTTTTCTAATTTCTGTTCCAAGACCTGAATATATTGGAGGGTTTCGTTCCGGTCAGATTCAAGTTTGTTAATTTGAGATTGAATTGATTCAAATTTGCTAGCAACGAACTCTACCGAGCTCTGCATTGCAAGGTTTTGGGCTTTTATTTCGTCCATTGCAGAGGAAATCTTTTCCAATTTTGAGTCTTGAGAGCTTTGGTGGGCTCTAAATTCAGCAAACATATTTTTCATTTCCGCCATCATCTCGGATAGTTGTTCACTATTGCTTTCACGCTTTCTCTTAAGGCGTTGGGTAACATGGCATGCTCCTTGTCTCAGTTCATCCATAGATTTCGTTAGTAGCTCCGGGTCCGATTCAGAGAGATGCCGCGTTAGTTTAGTTGCAGGATGCGGTATAGTTATCGATTCGTCCGCCGGAGCTGCGGTGCTGGACGAGGGCGGCGTGCGTTGAAGGGGCATGTTACCGAGTCCACTGTTCATTACCAGGGCGACAGAAAACAGCCGAAGCTAATAAATACTTAGCGTAGATACAACTCGAGCGTTATCAGTTGTGGGTCAACGTTGACTGGGCGGTCGCGACGCTTTCATACAAAATCACTTTCCGTCCACTGTATCTTGACCTCCCGTAGAAATGAATGAGAAATATGTATTACTCACTGCCGTAGTATACTGCCATTGCAACCTCCACTGTGACACTGCGCTCCTAGTATTCTCTCGTATGTTATTTTTGAAATAAATTCAATAAAATATGAATAAAAAACACGCGTGACTTTATGTGTTACACGTCTGATCGCCTCAGATGTCCGGAGGGAAGGGGGAAATATACTACTTATACATTTTTCAGTTTAGCAATCATGTACATATGTATGTTTATGTATATATTCATTTATATGTACATATATATTTATATATTTTTTTATGTATTAGATAACATGTTTATATTATATATTTATAATTGTATTTATGTATTTACTTATATAATAAGTATTAAATTGAAATGTGTATATATAAATTTAAGTTTTATTTATGTTTTTGTAAGTTTACAATTTTTCTCTGCACTTTCTCTTTGTGTCCCGTTACTTAACACTATTTCCCACATACATGGGTTGACTGGAAGAGATCTCTTATAGAGATTCTTTGTTCACGTCTCTTTCAATGTATTTTTTTTTATGACTACTTTTTTTGTGCAATAAAGAATATATATATATAAATACCTGAAATCGTCAGATTAAGGTATGGTGGGCTAATTACATTCTGAAAAGTGTGCAATTCAATAATCTACCGATTTGCACAACCCGAAAAGGCAAAAATCTACTATAAAGTTTATGTTGATATTTCTTTTGGACTCCCCTACTATAAGGTCTGGCAAGATCTACAACTGCATGTCCTAAATGTCTTAAAATGTCCGGTTTACATCATATCTCATGACCATGGTATGACGTGTGATATGGTCCCTCAGGATGTAGAAGAGCGCGTGGCGCGCACGTTCCCCACGCCGCTGGACCGGTGGGCGTTGATAGACGCGCGCGACGTGGCCACCGCGCGCCGCAAAAAGTCGCTGCTGCTGCCGCTCGATAAGCTGCACCAGCTACTACAGAAGGTCAGTTCGGTTTGTTGGTGGTGGGTATGCTGGGTTTGTTGGTGGTACAGTACGTTTAGTTAGTGAACAGGGAATATGAAGAAATTTTAATTTTTAGTCGGTGTGCGTGCTTATTTGGTTAACAAGTAGGGAACTAGAAAAAATCCAAAAGCTATTCTCGTTTAGTTAGTACGTAAGGAACTAAAGAAAAGGGCAAAAGGTATGCTCGTTTAAACTATTTAAATATTCGATAATTATTCTGCAAATTGACCTAATATTCGGCTGAATATGAATATAAAAAATATGATGAATATTTATATTTGTAAATTAAACGGGTGTATTCTCAGGAGGTGCTTCTGTACAAAATCGACACATCGGTATCTCTGTGCATGACCGCCATCTTGGAGTACGTGAGCGCGGACATCTTAAGGCTGGCGGGCAATTTCGTCAAGCAGATCCCGCAGAAGAGCGGCTACCATGTCATCACCTGTACCGACATAAAGACTGCCATGTGTGCTGATAAGGTACGTTGTGGTACATTGTGGGTTTTTGTAACATCCCATTATACCTTGGCGATAGGGTAACGCTGGTGGTTTTAGTGAGTAAGATTCGTAAAGTCCCTATAAAGAGTTTCCCCGGCGACATAAAAGAATGAGATATTACATTTTTTTTTTGAAAGCGTTATCATATTTCGTAATACTAATCGCAAAGGTAATCGCAAGAGTACGTTTTTCAATATATTTTTTTTCCATATATGTATATTTATAGGGTTTATTTAGAATGGCTAAAATTTATGAAAATAAACTAACAGTATGATGATATTTGTGAATTAAGTCAGAAAAATCCTTTCTGAGAGCTTCCTAATAAGATAATAAAAGCGCAGGGCATTTGGGTTCGGCTTTCTTTCCAGTAGACTTTAATTTATATGATAATGATAATATATGATAATTTATAAATGATGTAGATGAAATTCTAAGACATGTGAGTGGGATGATTTTAATGATTTGTAAACTAAGTTGGAAGCGCCCCATCATTCCCTTCTGAAAGCTTCCGTATAATGTACTAGAGACTCGCTCTCGCTTCGCTCTGGTTCGTCCCTAGGTAAGTTTTAACGGTTAGTATGGAATAGATAGACTATATATTATATGATTTATAGCCTACAGCCTTCCTCAATAAACGTACTATTTAATGCAAAAAGAATTTTTCAAATCGAATTAGTAGTTCCTGAGATTAACGCGTTCAAACAAACTTGCACTTTGCAGGTGCTGATGGACATGTTCTACCAGGAGTCGGAGCTGGCCGGCGCGCTGGCCACGCAGGGCGAGCGGCGGCGGCGCGCCTCGCTGTCCTACGGCGAGCTGGTGCGCGAGCTGATGGCCGACGTGCGCACCTTCCTGCGCGACCTCAACCTCATCATACGCGTCTTCAAGGACGAGCTCGAGAAGATACTCGACGGCGATATTAGGGTGAGTCCCCAGAACGATCACTTTTCAACTATCAATTGGACCCAGTTATGCAAAAAACAGCCATGTGCGTAAAAGTACCAACAGAATTATAAGCATTTTATTATAAAAAATAAAATAATTATAAAAAAATATACAATATTTATATAAATATTGTTCAATTTTAAAATAACAAGAAAAACAAAATATAACCCAAGTGCAACTATCGACAGAAAAATGCTTATAACTTTGTTGGTATTTTTACGCAAATGGTTGTTTTTTGCATAACTGGGTCCAATTTTGAGTTCACGCTGTGGCGAAAGACTGAATGATAATATATGCGTCTTATGTCGGAGCAATGACTGATTTACGCACATATCCACGTGATTTTATTGTTAGCTTCATTGAAGCTTTATCCTGTGGCTCCAAATCATCGTTAGAACGGTAACGGTGAACAAATGTAGGGTTCAAATTAGGCTTCGCTTTTTAAGTTTTATTTATAGGGCTTTTTTCTGAAAAAGCCTTTTTTTAAATTAAGAGTTATATTAAAGAGTTGAGTGTCTTGCAAATTCTAGGTGACGGTACTGAATCAGGGCTAGATTATCAGGCCATATCATTGTAATACTCAAAGTTAGGGGATACCAAGTTTCGAATGTATGTGATCTGTGGAAATTATTCATATCTTTTTATCATCTAGGATGGAACTGATTATCTGTAAATCTCTTGATTTAATAATTAGGTGCACTCTTGATTAAGCCACTTTTCAAACACAAAAATCTAAATTAAAATCAGTTCATCCGTTTGGACATCATTGGGCATTGTAGCTACAGAAAGACATACAGATACACAAACACACAGATACGTTATACTTATAACCGAAAACGTATCCCCTCTTTTTGCGTCGGGAGTTAGAAATAATAATAATATGTTGTTGGGACAATTAGCACACAGCGCCATCTAGTTCCATGATAAGCTACGAGGCTTGTGATATGGATACCAGATAGTTGATACACTACACATGTATAACTTTAAATACTTACATATTACAAATATAAACACCCATGACTGGAGTACAAACATTCGTGCTCAACACACAAATGAATGCCCCCAGCGGGATTTGAACCGGTGACCACTGGCACAGAAAGTAGGGTCACTACAAACTGAGCCAAAAGTGTCGTTAATATACTGCAGAGATTGTGTTTAGGCCCATTGATATGTACTTCTATAGGCAGGTTTGGATGGGGAGTAAATTCATGTGAGTCGTCATCGACATGGTCACGTGACGAGTTAACGCTAACACTCAGAGTGCCGATAGATGTCAAAAGTAGATAAATCTAAATAGTTTTAATTTACAAATTTTAATTTAAGATCAAACAATTAATTTGAATATCCAAAAGTAACAACTGTTTGTTTATAGTTTTAAGTTTTCACTTCTGTCGTTGTCTAGTCCTCGGTACTACTTTGTTTCTGTTTATTTAATTTTTAAATTTATTATATCTGTGTGTTTGTGTGTTCCAGGCAATAACGTTAATATTCGGCAACATAGTAGACATATACGAGTTGACGGTGACGCTGCTCGGCAACCTGGAGGATGCCATGGAGATGTCGCAGGACTCGCCCACGCCGTACATCGGCAGTTGCTTTGAAGGTATACATTGTTAAGGAGTCTGTCCACTTCACCCTCTATGAACCATGACCGTGCTATGAACGTATCAGGCACGGAAACGAGCATGACACGGACTACTATGCCCACTAGACCGTATTAACAGGTTATCATACCCGTACATAACGGTTTTAGCGCTGCGTGCGCTCACCATTGCGCCGCCCGCGCGCGCCGGCCCCGCTGCGTCTCGTGCCAGGCACGGAGCGTACCGCATGGCACGCGCCGGGGCGCCGTATGGACGGTCTAGTGGCCAGAGTGTCATACATTTCTATACAAAGAATATTTTTTTGCCTGATACGGTCCTAGCACGGTCATGGCATGAGACGGTGTAGTGGGCAGACTCCTTTACTGTTACTATCGTCCTCCCGTGGACATAGTGACAGTAAAGGAGTATGTCTGTAAATTCATTAAAATAGTAGATTATATTTATAATTTGTAGCCTAAGTGCCTAAAAGGAAGACCAAAAGAGAGATAATTAATTATGTTTTAACTAAATAAAGGTTATTGACGCTCACTGAAAAAATAATGAATATGGATGGTTCCTTGAAGTTTGAGGATCATTTCCTTTTATCTTTTTCCTTTTTAAAAAGTAACACAAATCGTTATACAATACTCTATTTCATATGTTTTTTTTTCTAGAATTGGCCGAAGTGGAAGAATTTAGAGCATACGTGCGATACGCCAATATTGTGACGAGAAAAGAGTCGAGGGATGCCTTACAAAATATCGTCGATGATCCTTTGGTACGATCTTCCATACATATAATAAAATTCTGAGTCGAGTCATTATTATCGGTACAGAGGTCGAATCTATAGTTTTTAGAATTTTTGTCTGTCTGTCTGTGACCGTATTACGAGAAAATCACTGGACAGATTTTGATAAAATTTGGTATGATGATAGCTGGTTATCTGGGTCAACATATAGGATAATTTTTACTGTAGGAAATTACCTCATCTCTGAGAAATCTCTACTATACCTTAAAACGAAAGTAGGGGCGAACCCGAGCAGAGCGAGGGTGAGTTGCTAGTTTTAAATATAAATACTAAGAAATATCCAGGGTTTTTTGCTCAGTTTTAAGTCAGATAAGATGCTTTTTAGTTTTTTTCTTTAGAAGATTTTTAACGGTATGATTTTTTATTAGTATTTATTCTTATCTGACAACATGCTTGGCTCAGTTTCTAGTGATCTTGCTTGCTGTGTTAGCAGTCGCGGGTTCGAGTCCCGCTGGGGGCATTCATTTGTGTGATGAGCACGAATGTTTGTACTCCATTCATGGATGTTTATATTTATAATATGTATGTATTTAAAAGTTATATATGTGTAGTGTATCAACTATCTGGTATCCATAACACAAGCCTCATAGCTTACCATGGAACTAGATGGTGATGTGTGTTAATGTCCCAACATGTTTATTTTTCGGTTGCTAGAATGGTATTCTAGATTGTCAAATATAATATAGTATATGGTATGACGGTGCCTTTTATGTTAAAATTAATATATATTTTTTATATTTTTACAAGCCGAACTAAAAATTTCACTAATTAAAGAAAACAAATTCCAATTGTTTGAACTGTCTTATACATTGTATCGATGAATGGACTTTCGAGCTGGATCTTGGTCCGAAGTTAAGTAACGAATGGTCCTTCGAGCCGGATCCTGGTGTTACGTTAGTAACCGAATGGACCTTTCGAGCCGGATCGCGTCTGTGATAGTGTGTGTGTGTGTGCACAGCTGTCGGAGCGGCTGCACACGGGCGGGCACGGCTTCCGGCTGGCGGTGAAGTACTGCCTGCCGCGGCTGCTGCTGGCGCCCGTGGGCCACGTGCTGCTCTACCACGGGTACGTGTGCGAGCTGCTGCGCGCCGCGCCCGCCTCCGACGACCGGGAGAGCTTCAAGCAGGTATGTCACCAACCATCTTTGGGTAATTCGCTTTGGGGTACTCGGTGGTGGAACACGGCTGAATCTCTTAAAGGGACTCTGCGTGTTGTACTGTGTCCGTATGTAAGCCTTCCAAAGAATCGGGTACCTTCGCGCTCGTACAATTCGAAGAGATACAAATAACTAATTTCTTATTTAATTTGGCTCAAAATTTTTATCGCCGAATGAGAGCTCATTTGGACATTTGAGCGTGCTTTTAAATTTTTTTTGTGAAAACAACTTAAGCATTGCATTTAAGGTTCAATTTACATTGTTGTATATTTATTTCAACTAGAACAATTACCTAAACACAATTGGTGACAGTTTTAATAGAACTTTTACATGGGATTATGTATCTAGTACTTTTTTGTTCGATGATATTTATATGTATGACCGAATTTGTATGATGATTTGGATTTTTCTCCGTTACAGGTGGAATGCAACCTTCTTTTAATAAAGAATTTAATAGTGAAAACATTAGGCAATGGACCAAAGTTGTAAGTAATGTTTATTGACTTGTATGATATCCTCTTTTAAATATTTTTTCTAATATATTGTTTTTATTATCATTTTTTATCTTATATGTTTTTAAGCAGTGAGTTATAAAAAACTTGTGTTCAATGTTTTATTTCGGTGGAGGAGGCTTGGTCCGTTACTTCTTTGTTTCTATTCTTCTTTTGTGTAATATAAGAAAATATTCGTATTAGCCAAAATGTATGTAAGACTTGGTTTATATTTATAAGTAAATTTCCAATCCATTTTGTTTTTGGTAAATTAACAAAATATTTCTTTAAGTTCGCGAGACACTTTGTCTATAAATATAGTTCTCTTCTATTCTGTCAATTATGTTTTGGCAATATGACTTAGCATTGACTCGGTCTGTCTGTCTGGGGGCAGGGAGGGCGCCGTGCGGTCTGCGTCGCGCGCGCGCCGCCAGCTCGCCATCGAAAAGTGCGGCGAGCTCGCCAAGCTCGTGGACAACTGGGACGCGCGCGACCTGCCGCAGTGCTGCAACGAGTTCATACGAGGTGACGCCCGCACACACACACATACACATGCACGCATGCGTACAAAGACACGTATACATACGCACACACTCAAGTACACACACGCACACTCACGCACGTACACGTTCATACACACGCACATACGACGTTCATAATACGATAATAATAGAATTTTGTTTAGAACATGTCTATTGTTTTAAAAGTTTCCATAATATTTTCTACAATTCTATAAATAGTTATGTTATAATTTGCAGAGGACACACTGTCGAAAATCGGTCCCGGCAAGCGTATTGCAGAGCGGCGAGCTTTTTTATTCGACGGCCTGCTGCTGCTGTGTAAACCCGTCACGGGCCTTGTGAGTTATAATTAATCCATACTATATATCCTTACTAATATTATAAATGTGAAATTGTGTTTATTTGTTTATTTGTTTGTTTGCTTGATTGGCCTTCTTTCACGTCGAAATGGTGTGACGGATTTTTATGATTTTTTGTATGGAGATAGTTGGAGGGCTGGAGAGTGACATAGGCTTTTTACCGTAGAAGATTATCTCATTCCCACGGGATAACACGTTATCTATTGTAACTAAGCCGAATCTATACATTAAATATTTTTTGGAAAATCTTATTGAAATATACATTATTATCGATACAGAGGCCTAATGTACAGTTTTTTGAATTTTTGAGTGTCTGCCTGTCTGTTACCGCATCACGGAAAAACCACTGGAGGGATTTTGATGAAATTTGGTATAATGATAGCTGGTTATCCGGGTCAACATATAAGATATTAATTAACATATAAGATAGGACTTTATACTGCGGGAAAATATCTCATCTCTGAGAAATCTATACTAAACGTTAAAACGTAACTAGGGACGAACCCGAGCGGAGCGATATATATGTTTTTTGTATTTCAGGTGACAGTAAATAGTGGAGTGACGTCGGGCGGGCCGCAGCAGCTGAAGTTGAAAGAGAAACTGCACATACGAAAGTTGGAAATTGTTGATCGAACCGACGGGGAAGGTATTTTAAATATGTACCTATATTTTTATTAATCTATTCCTCCTATTGATTTTGGCCACAGCTGTCAATCTTATTGAGACTAGGAATTATGTGACTGTACAGTGCGTGTGAGAGAGAGTGCACACACTTTCTTTTTCTCTTTCTCTGTCTCTGAAAAAGATTAATATTATCACGATTCAGCATGTGCACCCCCCCGAATGCCCCGACCCCCGAGCTACATCATGTGCCGCCTTTTATAGAGTTTTAGTGGTGGGAGTTTTGCCCCTTGTACGTGCTGCTCACAATTTTAGATGGCTCGCCGTCATATATGTATGTATCGATCGCTGTGTATGTATGTGTGTTTGTGTGTGTGTAGAGGGGCGTAACCTGATGGAGCTGTGCCCGCGCGTGGGCCCGCCCGTGCTGCTGGCGGCGGCGTCGTGCGCGGAGAAGCGCAACTGGATGTGCGACCTCGTCATGCTCAACACCAAGCCTATGCTCGACCGCAGCCTCGACAGGTACACATGCGTCATGTGACGATAGTATATTGAAGTGAATATAATTATATTTATAATGTAATCTTAGAACATATCTGCTAAAGTAAATACTGCTCGCAGATTTCCTTATAAAACCAAAGAAAAGTGCTTTTGAAAACACTCTATTAATTTTAGCAAAATAAAAATGAACTTGCGTAGGTCCGAAAAAAGAATCAACATTTAAAGCTATTATATTCTATTAAGCTCGCTAGCTAGTAAGTACGCAGCCTGTTCACGCAAATCATTCGTTTCACGTTATCCTAGTATTTTGATTATTTTTTTGAAAACAAATGTGAAATAAATCAAAAGATTTCTTATTTATACTCTGTCATTTCTAATATTCATTCCTTGGCCCTTCGAGCCGGATACACCGGCCAGCCATATATACTCCATATATATTTTTTTGCCATATTGTATTCTTGTTGAGTTAGACATGTAATGATTAATGTAAAAGATATTGAGATGAGACAGAGATGAAATAATCTTGTGTGTATTGCAGTATCCTGTTGGACCTGGAGCGGCGACACCCGCTGCAGCTGCCGCCGGCCACGCTCTACCGCTTCGCGGAGCCCGACTCGCCCGATAATATAGTGCTCGAGGACCGCGCCGGCACCGCGCCACTCATCAAGGTATATATCTCTATCTATCTATAAAGAAGGTGCGTTTGGCTCAGTTTGTAGTGACCCTACTTGCTGTGCCAGCGGTCGCGGATTCGAGTCATGGTAAGCTACGAGGGCTGTGTTATGGATACCTGATAGTTGATACACTATACATATATAACATTAAATACATACACATGTGTGATATCTTTAAATGAGTAATTCTTGTATATATATATATATATATATATATATATATATATATATATATATATATATATATATATATAATTTGAATCTCGGAAAAGGCTCCAACGATTTTAATGAAATTTAGTATCCAGAGGGTTTCGGGAGTGATAAATCGATCTAGATTAGTCTTGTGTCTGGGAAAACGTGTTTTCTAATTTTCAAGCGGTTTTCTTTCGCTTTATTCCACGCAAAATATGGTCGATAATTTCGCACGCTCGGGTATAAGCGTCACGGTCAAGCGGCCAAGGCGTAAGATTGACAATGATAGGTGTCCGGGTTCGAATCCCGGTCGGACACAAAGGTATGATTTTTTTTGTATTTATTCAAGTTTTTTTTAAAGAAAATTTTATTTTCGACCAAAACCTCCGAACGACGCTCGGTGGCCCAGGTCCTTATAAATATAAATAGCCATGACTGGAGTACACATATTTGCGTTCATTACACAAATGAATGCCGCCAGCAGGGTTCGATCCTGCCACAGCTGGCACAGCAAGTAGGGTCACTAAAAACTGAACCAAACGTGTCGTCAAATTCAAATTCGAAACCGTTGGCCATAAAAATTGATGCTATTGCCAACTTCTGTGTCGGCAGGGCGCGACGCTGCTGAAGCTGGTGGAGCGGCTGACGTACCACGTGCACGCTGACCTCAACCTGGTGCGCACCTTCCTCACCACCTACCGCTCCTTCTGCGCGCCCGCCGACCTGCTCGCGCTGCTCGTCGAGCGCTTCGACATCCCCGAGCCGCACCTCGTGTACGACGCGCCGCGCGGCGGTGAGACACGCCTCCCCAAACCCCCGACCACTAAACCTTATCTTCTCTCCCTTGTCTTACTCCCTGACCGTTCCTGGCCAATTAATTCCACTCATTCATACGTACTTTTATATGACTGTTTGGAAATTGCGTATTGATAGTGGCATAATGAATGACGCTATAGGCATGTGGTCTTATCACGAACAATGATAAATTAATTCAAATAATCGTCAATAGATGGCGTTATATGTATAAAATTTAATAAAAGATATAAAATAGATCCCAAGGTGTATTGTTAGGTGCTTTAAAAAATCTGTAAGTTATTGATTATAATTTAAATTTTCCTAACGACCCGTCCATTTGGTAGCGTTTCCGACAAAACCAAAGGCCTACTGCAATGATATACAAAAACTCAAGATACGCTGTTAACGTTTCAAGAGTGCCCTCAAAAAGAAGCGCACAATTCGAAATTCATGAGCTTTTTTCAAATCTCTTTTGCTTTTTGGATGACAAAATTAAAACGCGTGTGTTTCTATGTTTTTATATATCAATGGCCTGTTTGGAATTTTATACTATACTAATACTGGAAATGATAAATTCCTAATATTTATAAATTTTGCTGACAATGTTCTCTCTATTGCGCACGCCAGTACCGAGGATCAAGACGCCCAAAAAGGACATAAGTCCGAACGCATCGCTCATGGACTTGGACCTCGATATAGGTACAATGTGTTAAGTGTTAGGGGTCAATGTTAAATGGTTCTGACATTTTTGAGTTGATGGATTGAAGATGGAAGGTTTTTTATTAATTTTTGTCTGTCTGTCTGTCTGTCTGTTTGTTTGTTTGTTTGTTTGTTTGTTTGTTTGTTTGTTACGTCATTATTTAGACATATCGACTAAAAATATCTTTTGGAGAAAAAATAATCGCTTATAGTCTAGTTTCAGAAGATTTGTGGGAAATCACAAATGTAAATAAAAACCAAATGTAAATAAATAATTATTAATTGTTATGAAACTATCTTTTTGGTTTTTGTCGCCATTGTGCTTGTGTTTTTTTTTCTCTCCCGTGATAGTTTGGCTTAAAATGTCAAATATCCATGTAAATCTAAGAAATAATAATCTACTTATCGTCGGCCTAATTCGTTAACCTGCTAAGTGTATTTCTGCATATAGTTTACAGGAGAAAGAAAAAATTGAATTATATAATTTCATTTTAAATAAAACTATCTTTTCGGATTATTACGCGGATTTATTTGGATTATTGGTTTCCGACGTTTCGAATGCTTTACAGCATTCATGGTCACGGGAGAGACTGAGGTGTTACATGTCTCGAAGGTATAGTTTTTACAGACAGTCTACCCACAATTAACAAAATGAAAATTGCACCAATTACCTCACAATATTTTTTAACTTCAAACATTAACAACAAATTATTATACTATAATTTCATTTTTAGAAATCAAAATTCTGAAAAGACCATTGGTTCCTTGATATGTTTCTAACATTTTTATATTGATATCGTCGGTATTCCTTTAACATAGTGTAAGGCGTAAGTAATCGTTTAAACTTTTTGACCGGCATTAAAAGTAAAATTGCTCAAAAACGGACATAGCAGGTTAACTTATTAGGTCGACGTTATTTTATTTTAGTTTTCGCACTTACATTTAGTTAATTATTTTTTATGGTCAATAGAAATTTTGTAACTGTTGTTTGACTTTTGTAACTAACTGCCTCGGTGGTGTAGTGGCTAGCATGTATGGCTGCACACCCGGAGATCCTGGGTTCGAGTCCCGGGTCGGGCCAAGTATTGATTGAGTCTTTCTGTATAGTAAGCCTCAGTAACAGCCCGGAGTTGGGAAGTTGGCGGTGTTTCACCCCCGTGCCTCGGAGAGCACGTAAAGCCGTCGGTCCTGCGCCGACACTCTCACCGATCGTGTCGAGCAGTCGTCCCACCGGAGTAGGAGAGTGACAGGAATAGAGAGTGCAGTTGTGTCTGCGCTCTCCCTCACACGCGCTGCACTATAATATCTCCTGCGCAGTTGGCTAGTCTCAATGAGATTGGCCGCCGTAGCCGGAATCGGTCAGGAGAACAACATCATCAGCAATTTTGTTCAAGCATAATGTACCTAATAGTTTTTTTTAAATATATAACGTTTGACGTGTGCAGAAAGCGTGGAGATATCAGTGAGCAGCGACGCGGAGAAGCTGAGCAAAAACACGGCGCGTGAGGACTGGAAGCGTTACCGCAAGGAGTTCCAGCAGCCCGTCAAGTTCCGGTAATGATACTTATTGTGACCGTACCTTAGGAGATAGACATATACTATTGCGGACTTTTCTGTAGGCTTTTTTAAGTGAAAACAAACAAATGAAACAAGAGAAATTCACTAGTAAAGAGAATGTTTGTAATGTCAAAATAACAGCGTTTTACTAAATGCATATTATAAAATTATATACGAAACTTATAAGAAAAACAAAATTTTTGAAATTTTTGTCTGTCTGTTTGTTCCGGCTTATTTTGACAGGACTTTCACTGGCAGGTAGTTGCTGTTATAAGGAGTAACTTAGGCTACTTTTATTTCAGTAAAAGAATTAGGGTTCCACTCAAAAAAATTAAAATGTACCTAGAGGCGAACCCGTGTGAAACGAGGGTGAGTCGTTAGTATTAAATAAAAAATGGACAACAAATAATAACAAATATAACGTTTAACCGCAGAGTAATAAAAATAACAAATATAACGTTTAACCGCAGAGTAATAAACGTGCTCCGGCACTGGGTGGACCAGCACTTCTACGACTTCGAGCGCGAGCCCGCGCTGCTGGAGCGCCTGCAGGCCTTCCTCGAGTCCGTCGACGGGAAGCCCATGAAGAAGTGGGTGCAGAGCGTGCTCAAGACGGTGCAGCGCAAGGTTACCACACACGACCTCCTTCATTCCTTGAGATTGTTATTCATTCGTTCAAATTGTCATTCATTCGTTCATACTGTCATTTATTCTTTCCTTTTAAGTTCTCTTTTATTCGTTCATGTTGTCACTTATTCGTTCATATTGGCATTTATTCGTTTATATTGTCATCTATTCCTTCATATTGTCATTTATTAGTTCATATTGTCATTCATTCGTTCATATTATCATTCATCCGTTCACTCTTATTATGCCCTTATGAACGATTTCATTTTACTGACAATGAGAAACGAGAGATCTTAGAGTGTAGTGTGAGTGCCTATACATAGTTGTTCTCATTGTTCCTGTAACTCATATTCCTCCTAGTTATTTGGGCAGTTGTTTTTTTGTCAGGAAATTCTTGACGTAGTCAAACCCGAGACTCGAACCTAGGACCTCTGTATCAGCAACCATACATGCTAGCCACTAGACCAAAAATGTGGAAAACCATTTAGGCACTCATTCCCTTATTTTGTGTAAATAATAATATTGGTGTTGTCGAAGGACATAATCATTTATTTGCATATTCTCCACTTAGACTGAAAAAACACTAACTGAAGTTTTATTTATAATATCATATGTATTAAAGACCAATTATGTAATTCCAGTGCGCCCAGAGCAACCAGGGGATGTTGGACGCGGAGAGCGTGAGCGGCAGCCTCGCCAGCATCCCGTCCAGCATCGCTGGCAGCATCGCCAGCGGCCTCAGCGTGGCCAGCAGCTTGGGCAGCGTGGGCGGGGTAGGCGGCGTGGCGCACGTGTTCGACCGCTCGCCGCCCGCGCCGCTGCGCCACGTGGCCAACCCCGAGCGCTACGGGTGGCACCCGCTGGCGCTGCACCCGCTGGAGCTGGCGCGGCAGCTCACGCTATTGGAATTTCAGCTATATAGACAGGTGAGTTCACCCATTAGGGTGGTAGGGGTTGTATGTTGAAATAATTATATATGTTGGGATACACCACCATTCAGTTCCATGGTAAGCTACGAGGCTTGTGTTATGGATACCGGATAGTTGATACATTACACATATATAACTTTAAATACATACGTATTATAAATATAAACACTCAGGAGTACAAACATTTCTGCTCGTTTGTCGGTGTATTGAGAAATATATGTGGAGAAATTGTTTAGAATGTTTTTTTATTTTCTTATTTTTGGATTGTCACTTATTAATACTGACGTCAAGATCACTTATATAATAATTATTATACAATATAACGTTATTTTTATATATATATAGAACGATGATAAATGAACTTTTTAAAAAAAAAGAAAGAGACAGAGAGATGTTTATTTTTTGTTACGCTGTTTTCAGGTGAAACCGTCGGAGCTGGTGGGTGCGGTGTGGACCAAGAAGGACAAAGAGAAGACCAGCCCCAACCTGTTGAAGATAATTAAGCACACCACTAATGTGAGACTTCTATTTAATTTTATATATTTATTTATTATTATCTGTATTTGTTAAAACTACCTTTTCAGAACTTTTCCTTAATTTTTATTTAAAATTTTCGAAAGAATTTTGGTATCTTGTCAAGCTTAGATTATTATTAAAAAAAAGCAGTCATGAGGACTGCCGACAGAAGAGAAAACTTAAAAATATAAACAAACAGTTGTTATTTTTGGATATTCAAATTAATTGTTTGATCTTAAATTAAAATTTGTAAATTAAAACTGTTTACATTTATCTAGTTTTGACATCTATCGGCACTCTGAGTGTTAGCGTTAACACGTCACGTGACCATGTCGATGACGACTTATGTGAATTTTCTCCCCATCCAAACAAACCTGTCTATAGAAGTTTTCACTTCAAAAAAAAAATTATATTCCAGTTCACTCTCTGGATGGAGAAATGGATAGTGGAGAGTGAGAACTTAGAGGAGAGGGTGGCTGTGGTGTGCAGGTTCCTGGAAGTTGCGTTGGCGCTACGCGACCTCAACAACTTCAACGGCGTGCTGGCCGTGGTGGCGGCTTGCGGCTCTGCCTCCGTGCACCGGCTGAGGCATACCTTTCAGGTATGCCCGTTTGTTTTTAGAGTTCTGTACCTCATAAGGGAAAAAGGATTTTTTATAGCAACAATTTGTGTCCGTTTGTCTGTCTGTCTGCTAAGATCCTTTTTCTCAGGAACGCGTGCAGGTATCAAGTTGAAATTAATATCAAACACTCAGGTCTGTAATCTATTGGAGCTGTGAAAGTATTAAATATCTAAGTCAACAAAATGAAATGATACGGCCGTTTATGTTGTATATTTTGACACTCGTAAGGGAATTAAAACATAATATAGTGTACTCTCCGCTGATCTAGAATTATGAAATTTGCAATGTAGTAGCAATGTAATATCTCAAATTTACGCGAATATTTGACATTTTAAATAAAACTATCTTTTCGAATTTTGCGCGAATTTATTTTGATTTTTAGTTCCCTACTGGTTTCTCCTATCTGGTTGGGAACCAAAAATCAAATAAATTCGCGTAAAAATCCGAAAAGATGGTTTTATTTAAAACCATCTCTTCGGAATTCAATTTCGGTCAGTCTTTTCGGATTTGAGAGACAATCTCTCCCGTGACCATGATTGCTGTAAAGCATTCGAACGTCGGAAACCAAAAATTAAAATAAATCCGCGAAATATTGTTTTGTTATTGAAATACAATATAAAAGCATTAAATTAATTATGTACAAGCTATATAAGTATCTGTTAAGATATTTTTATTGTATATTGGGCGTAATAAACCGTGGAAACCATTTTAATTTTATACTTTTGGTTGATTATTTGGCTTAAAGAGATTTTATTTCCATAAAAAGACACATTGCCACTTACATTCAAACATAAATTTAGGTAATGATAGGTGTCTATCATTGGTGTATGTGTGTACAGACGGTGCCGGTGCGGCTGGCGCGCGCGCTGGCGGCGCTGCGCGAGCTGAACTCGGACCACTTCCGCCGCTACCAGGAGCGCCTGCGCAGCATCAACCCGCCCTGCGTGCCCTTCCTCGGCATCTACCTCACCAACATACTGCACATCGAGGAGGGCAACCTCGGTACATACACACACACACCACCACCTACACAGACAGACAGATGTTAAGCATTTGCAATAGCGGTTCGATAGTATTAAAAAAAAACTACATTTTCAGTCTCCCACGACTGTGTGGGGTATATGATTTATTCAAAAGGTCAAAAACAATGAATTAAGTTTTTTTTAACTATTTCACTCGATAGATGTTATACTAGTTAAATTTCAGTTGTGTTTGAGATCTTTGTGTTCATATAAAATTTTACAGGAAAAAACTCTTTTTTGATTTTCCAAAATTTTGCGTATTTTTTCCACTGAAAGTTTTACTCGAATTAAATAAACATTTTAAAAAAATATATCCAACCGTTCTCTAGTAATGCCTTTACCATCGAACAGCATTTTATTTTTATGTATGCACAAAACAAATATTTTTTGTTAACTTAAGAAACTATTATATCTTATTAAGTATATAATAATATGCTCTTATATTTCCACAGATTATCTGCAAAACTCTAACTTAATAAACTTTTCAAAAAGACGTAAAGTGGCGGAGATCACGGGCGAGATACAGCAGTATCAGAACCAGCCGTACTGTCTCACCGTCGAGCCTAGGACGAGGGTGGGTTCACTTATATTTACTCTCTCTCTCTCTCTCTCTCTTATTCTTTTTTCTTATGGGATAGAGAGGGATAACGATATATCCACTCAACTCTATGCTCTCCATACATTTTGACATGTTGAAACTTTTTATCTTTATTAGACGATTCGCTTCAAAAGTTTTATATTCTAAAGAGTATCATTAAAATTCATATTATAAATACTAAATCATAAAATATCATATTTATTAATTTTAAATCATTAAGTACCATTAAAATCCACATTATTAAATTTAAATATGCATTATAAATTTTGTATTATTACCTTTTAAATAAGTACCTACATATTATATCGGAGTAACTTATTATAAAAAAACGAACTTATCAAAAAACGATACTTGATTTTATTAACGTTAATTTTCGATAGTGGCACATCACTATTTAAGAATTACGAAAAACTGGTAACCCACGTAATGTCAGTTTCGTCTCTGAGATTAAAAAACAGTTATTTTATTTATATGTACTTAAACTAACGATTATATTAATCACTAGCATTGCCCGCGGCTCCGCCCGCGTTCAGATAACCAAAAAAAATTCTTAGGTTTTACATATTAGTAAATGCTTACATTGCACTTTTAGTATTTTTTCTCAGAAATGAGATATTTTCTCGCGGTAAAAAGTATCCTATATGTTGACCCGGATAACTAGCTATCATCATACCAAATTTCATCAAAATCTGTCCACTGGTTTTCTCGTGATGCGGTAACAGATAGACAGACAGACAGACAAAAATTCTAAAAACTATAGATTCGGACTCTGTATCGATATTTAATGTACAGATTCGACTTAGTTACAATAACAATAATAATACGTTAACAATAAGAAATAAGATGTTATTTTGATAGCGATTGCAGCCGTTAGCGCAAGTTCAATTTGAACTTGTTTTTTTTTACGTTTTTCTTTTTCCCTCAAGTTCCTCTTCATTTTTTAAACATAACTTTCATTAGTAAATACATTAATATATTTTTAGAATTTTTCTTTGGCATGCTTGATGTAACAATTTAATAAGTAGCATGGTTGTTTTTTCCCGTTTTGAGTTTGATGAATACACTATATGCTTCCAGGCGTTCCTCGAGTCGCTGGAGCCATTTCCCGGCATGGACGACATCGAGGTCACCAACTATCTGTACGAGAAGAGTCTCGAGATAGAACCGCGCGGTGTCAAGCAGCTGCCCAAATTTGTAAGTTGTGCTTTGTCTATCGTTATTGCGATGGTCGTGGGTATAATTAATTGACCTGGAGTTGGGGAGTTGTGTGTGACCCGAGAAACTATTCAGTGGTCGCTGTGACTGTAACCAATTTTTATAATATCGGTTTTTATACCTATTAAAATATCGATACTTTCTATTGAGAACAAGGAAACTCTTTCATTACTGCAGTATAATTTTGAAGTAATTTAATGAATTATGTACAAAATAAAGATAAAATTAAATAATAATATATTTTTTTTATTGTATTTAGTTTATTTGATCAAAATATATTTTTAATGGTATAATTTAAGATTGTAAATAAACAGAATATACAGATATATATTATTCTATACATTTCTAGCCCCGGCGCTACCCAGAACTGTCCCTGAAGCCGGTGAAGGTGTCCCGCCGGGACGCGCAGGCCGCGCCCGGAGCGCCCGCGCCTGCCCTCGGCGACGACACGCTCAGTGAGTAATGGTGTAGGGTTTGACTCCCGTGAGGTGCATGGTGATATGGTGACACGCTCAGTGACTGCTGGTTCGGGATTCGTAGCCCAGACCGAGCGTGGGTTTCTTTAATAGTGAGACACTGAGATTCGTGATAATATCTTAAAATTTATCGAAGGCACGGGCCTCCCTTCAATACGAGGCAATCAGGCAATACACCTGTAATTTGAGCTTATTGTGTTCTGTTTCCAAAAAGAGTGAGCTTCTGGCTCGTGGCTAATACTATTTATATGTAAATTGTAATTATAGTATAACTCAAAAATTAACACACTGTAAGGTGGAGTTTTTTAATTCATTTTTTTAATAATATTTTTTTTAAAATAGTCAGTCAGTCAGTTCTCAGTGTTAATTCAATATATTTTTTTAATTTATCATCCATTTTAAATTTAAGTTACAGCGTTAGAATGTAACAAACAAACACTGACAACTGTCCGCAGGCGTGGCGCAGCTGTCGCCCACCAGCGCGTGGGACGGCGCGTCGGTGGCTTCGCTGCAGGTGCACGACCAAGGTACGTACGGAGGCTACTCCTCATCCAGGATATCTTGGATTATTTCTTCACCATCATGGTTAACATCCCCGTGAATGTTATATGAGTTTTTTTATATAGTGAGGAGATATTCAAGATGTGAAACCTCAGATTGTATTAGATTTTTTTTCTGTAATATTACAATTTTTTTTAATATTATTCATAATTAATTTAACTCTAGTAAGTATAAACTTAAATAGTATACATACATATATTAATATACGTTTATTGTCTAACTTAAACTTTGGCGTTAATGAGTGATAGAGAGTTTTTGTGTTAAAGAAGGTGCAGTGATGTCTATTTCTCTCACCATCCCTGGTTTCTTCGTCTGTGGACGCAGGTTCGAATCCTGCACATTTCTTACATCCAATAATGGAGTTAAAATATTCATTGTAATGTAATATCCAATTCGTATGGCATTATGTTATAGTGCAAAGTGTTAAAGATGCAAGTCAGTGATTTCAGTACAAATCAGTAGTTTAAGGAAGGAGTTTAGAAAGAACAATCGTGCGGCATTCTGGGGGAAGAGCAGGGAGCCGTTGCCGCTCCCTACTGACATACAAATTCTTATATGCCAGTCGGGAGACGGCGTCAGGGTTGCCTATATACCACAAAATGGCACTGAAACGTTTTAAATTCGAAATCATTTATAATTTATTTATAAGATAAAAATCGATCACCTACTAAATGTATTTTTATACTGTGTTATTAATTATTAAAATGTTTGTACAGTAAAAAAATGTAAAATGTGTGTGTCAGGGTGCCGCGAGGGGGGCGGGGGCGGAGCCCTGACGTCGCCGCGGCTGGAGCGCAGCAGCTCGAGCTCGCTGGCGGCGCTCGGGCAGCTCAGCCTCTTCGACAAGGGCATGGCGCTCTTCGACAAGAGCAAGTCCGTCGCCACGCTCAATAGGTCCGCCACACACACCCTATACACCCTCTATCTCTGTCTTCTATCTCTTTTCTTATTATCCTCACTGTCTCTTTCATCATTATTGAAGTGAAATTTCTTTAGAATCGTTGTGATTTGAAACTAGATGAAACGGAAATGCGACACTAGAAAGAGACAAACATAAATATGTATATAGGATTAAGCTGGCGAGAGAATGAGATAGAATACATTGCCGTGTTACCATGGCAACCGTTGTTATTTGTCATAGAATACAAGTGATGAATAGGAGGGAAGTGATAAATTAATATAATTAATAAATGAATAATATGTATTGTATATTTATATCAAATAAAATGTAAAATAACTTTTAAACTTAGTAAAAATATTAAAAAAAAATAGACCTTATAATTATCCTCCTGATACTAGAGTATATTCATCTCATTCTCTCGTAGGTTACTTTTCTGACGTTTCACTTCTGCCGTGTGTGAACTGCACACACATACACACACACACACATTTTTTATAGACATTGTTCCCCCTCTTTCATATGTTTCAAAGGAAATATACCAATATGTTAATCATATATCTATAGGTTTAGCAGAGATTAGTATTTTATTCGATTTAAAATAATAATAATAATTACATTACGCAATGATAATATTTAAATTATTAAAATAAATCTGAAAATATGGATGCTTTTTTTTGATAATTTAATATTTTTTTAAATTTTTACAGGAACAGTGGGTCCGCGCGTGATGAGCCTCCGTCCCCGCGTGACAACCACTCGCCGAGGTACGACGGCTCTATTATATTATATATAACGTAGTAGTTATGGTGTCTGTGTGTTTCATACATCTGATAAAAATATAAAACTTTGATTTTAAAGATTTTTATGTCTGTTTGTTTGTTCTTCATTACTCATTTCTTACATGATGATTAATAACTATAGATAGAATAACATTTATATATAAGAGATTTAATGTATGTCCTAGTGTATATACACATAGCATGTTGCATGAAACCTCAACTGGAGCAAAAGAAATAAGTTCGATTATGTCAGTTGATGACGTCATATGTATCGATTTCTGTAAAACTGGCAGAAGATAAAAAAGAGATCGAAAATTAGTATGATATTATTTAATATAAAATATTGAATTCAGCACCGTTGAATCACTGTTGGGCATGGATCTCCCTTACAAGGGATTCGGGTCGTAGTGTACCACGCTGGCTAAGTGTTTTTATTAAAATATGAAAATTTCATAAAGACCCGGGGTTCGAACCCGCTCTATTTGTGCCCTATATATAATATTATATGTAATTATATAATGTTCCAGCAAATGGAGCACATCGAGCACTATGAGCATGAGCGCGGCGGGGTCGTGGGCGGGTGCGGGCGCGGGGGCGGGGGCGGGGACGGGCGGCGGCGCGGGTGGGCGGCGCGCCGCCCTGTCGCCGCGCGGCGCCATCGTGGACGCGGAGCTGTTCTACTCGCGCAGCGCGGAGCACCTGCCGCGCCGCCGCGAGCCGCCGCCGCCGCCGCTGCTGCCGCGCGCCGCCCCCGCGCTCGCCCACGACGACGCGCCGCCCGCCCTGCCGCGCCGCCCGCCCTCGCCGCACACTGGTGAGGACATCATCCTGTCAATATTAGTGGAATACATTTTTTTTTTCTTTTTTTTTATATTCGAATAACACTTACAATAAAAAGTGAAAATACGCAACTGGCATGAGTATAGGTGGATAATTTTCTGTGAAGGTTCCCAGGGTTGAATTAGTAAAAATTCCACCATGGTTTCGAGTTTAACATCAAAATGGAGATTTTTTTGAAAAATGTATGGAAAAAGCCCTATTGTGTAATATAACGATATAGTTTAAAAATTAAAATAAGTTTTGTTTTCTTTTAAATTTAAGATGATTTTTTTCGTATTTTCATATAATTATTTTGCACTTTTTATTTGTAGAGTAATGTAATTATTATTAATTATTCTTGCCAATGGCTAATGGCATCTTTCATGCGAAAATGTTCGAAACCCATTTACATGTATAACATGTTAACATTTAAATGTCTACAGCGATAAGCGAGGTGCCCCCCGAGCCGCCCGACCGCCCGCTGCCGAGCCCCAAACATTACGACTTGTTCAAGTATGCACACTACATGTTATTCATTTAAAAAATTATATTATGAAATATGAATGCAGTCCTTTATATGTATTCAAACAAAAACAAATCTATCCCACGGGAACCGTATATTTTTACGGGATAAAAAGTAGACTATTTGTTATTTTGATGTGTGAACTATATTATTGTAAAGTTTCATTAAAATCCAATCAGTAGTTTCTGTGTACTAAGCTATATAAGTTACTATAGTTTTTTAACTATCCCACGGGAACGCTTTAATTTATCGGGATAAAAAGTATATAAAATGTTGATCGGGGATATAAGATAGCACCATGCAAAATTTCATTTAAATCGGTACAGTTTCGGTGATTAGCCCGTACAAACACACAAACAGCAGAGACACAAAAAAATTGAAAAAAATCTGGATTTGTTCTATTTCTCTTCTTACACCCCCCTGACTCGGTTTTTAGCATTTTTTTTTCTATGTACATACATTCGACCTCCACAGTTTTATTATATGTATAGATATATAGCTGATCTCCTTGAATATTTACATACTATTTAGTTATATTACATAGTTATATATATAAGAATAAATTTCTAAAGCTGTCATCGTTTTCACGCTCGGCCCTTTTATTTACACTTTTACCTATTTTAGCTTAATAACGCTATACTAGTTTTCATTAAATTAAATAATCTAAACAAGATTTTTGCCTATGACTCCGCTGGTGTGGTATATAAGACAATTTACAATCTTCTACAAAATCTATCCTAGTATATTATAAGCTTTTTTTCTGTCTACTAAGTCTTGTTGCACTGTCGGTGTATCCATATCGGTATGATATTTAAAAAAAAGTTTATACTAAAGTTTAATTTTTTGGTAATTTTTTTATAAAATTACTACCAAAACTAGCGACTTCACTCGCGCTAAGACCACACAAAAAAAAACTAAAAATGTAGGTTTCATACAAACTTTCATCCCCTATTTTACACCCTCATGGGATGAATTTCGAAAAATGCTAAAACGCATATTTATTTAATTGTATTGAAGAGAATTAATACCAAGTTTCAAGTAATTCTGATCATAAATATTTTTTGGGTTGTATTATAACGTGTTTTCGCGTGGGAATGAGATAATCTCCAGCGGTAAAAAGTAGTCCATGTCACTCTCCAGCCCCCTAACTATGTTTCAATCAGTTGATGATCTGTTTCGACGTGAAAAAAAGGACAAACAAACACACTTTCACATTTATAATATTAGTACGGATATAACGATGTATAAAAAAATATCACGCATATTTCCCTATTGCTATCTATCTCGGACATATTACATGTTAATAGTTTTGGTCGATAATCGAACATGTGTTTATAATTTTGGAAAAATTCCTAATTAATTTGTAACTTAATACCTCAATAGATAAGCCTTTTTTATCGCCTCACAATATTGTATGGGACATGTGTTTCTGTTTAGTGGCTGTATACACAGTTCTGTTGTTATCTTCGAAAGTTTCAATTGTGCTGTGAAATATAATGTAATTTTTATATTTAATTATTATTATTTATGTATACTAATATATGTATAAAGTTGAAGAGTTTGTTTGTGTTTGTTTGGACGTGATAATCTCTACAATTGCCGGTCTCATTTGATTTTGTTTGGTTTGGTTTTTGTATTTTATAGCAAAATATATTATAATATTTTATGTGCAAAACAAAATAGTGATTTGTACCGTCGGAAGATATGGCTTGATTATTTCGCGTGTCGCCATGTCGTCGTCTCAGTGCTTATTTGTGCAAACGACCAATTTACCAGAAGAGTTTTTATTACAGAATTATTCACTTTTAAATGTCAATTAATAAAACCTAAAATATGTGTTTAATTTATATATGTATTTATATATATTAAACACATATTTCAGAGAGGTTTGTTTTTAAAATATATGAAAATATTTTCTTGTATAAAGTACATCAAGTATTACATAATGTACGTGACTGTTGACATCGACATTGGTCTCGCTCTTACTAAGAACTGCCTCATTATTTATCGATATTGTATATGTTATATGTTTGTCTTCTCGTGATAGCTGTATGTGAATCGTACATATGATATATGATATAAATATATGTGTTTCAGGAGCCCCGCCATGTCGCCCAAGCGCTCGCCCGCGCCCGCGCCGCCGATCAGCCCACTCGACAGGTGACGCACACACACACATATACTCTTACACACACGCACATACACGCACACGCACACACTGTTCGTCCGAGTTCGAATCCCGGAACGAGTCTAGAATAGACATGATGCAAAGCAATGCAAACCTGATATCTATTATAGAGTATATGAGAGTGAGAGAAAAGGTGAGCGGGAGAGAGCGAGAAGAAAAAAAGAGCCGTAACTGACTGTTATAAAGACTTCGAAACTATTTTTTTTATCAAATTTACTCATTTAACTACTTTGAAATGTAAACCTTCAAAACTTTCAACAGTTAGTATGTTTAATGTGTACATATTTTGTATGGTTCGGATAGGTCTTTACGCATTCCACAAATTGTTGTTTTTATTATTATTTAACGATATTCAATGAATGTAAAAGTACATAATGTATGTATGTATCAAAACTGTTGTTATGTTTTAAATTGATTAAATCTATGTCTAGACTTTTTATTTCATTATTTAATCGCACGATGTACTTATATATCACTCGACTCACCCTCGCTTCGCTCGGGTTCGTCCCTCGGTTGATTCCCTATACATACTTTCATCTCCATTTTCACCCTTTTAAGGGATGATTTCCGGGATAAAAAGTATCCTATATTCTTCCCCGGGTCTCAAACTATCTTCTTACCGAATTTCATCTAAATTGGTTTGGTAGATCCAGAGCTTACCCCCTACAACGTCACAAACTCACAATTCACAAACTTTACCTCTTTATAATATTAGTATAGATGACACAAGCTTCGCTAATGATCAGTTATGATTGAAACAAAAAAATAATTTTATATACACTATCTCTTTCCCACAAATGTTGTCAACCTAAAGATCCTAAATAACCAACAATAATACTATATTTAAATAAAATATATATTACATTGTTTAACAAAAACAAATCAAAATATACTTTATTCATATAGACTTTTACGAGCACTTTTGATCCTTATTTTTTAAATTTAAATAAATGTCAGTATGTAAGTCCTTGAGGATTATACCACCGGCTCGGAAATCAGTTCTGCTGAGAAGAACCGGCGAGAAACTCATAAATTGCTCTTTTAAAATAATAATTGTGTACAATATTGTAATACAATAATTATCTATTTATACTACGTGAGACCCAAAAAGACATTAGTCCTACACATTGACATCTACAGAGGATTCCGAGATGGTGTAATTCAATAATTTATGTATGTACGTTGGTTACAGGGCGGCGTTCAGTTTCCCTTCCGCCACATCGCCGTCGGCGCACCTCAGCTGTAAGTATTAATTACTAGGGAAAAACAAAAACAAATTTATCCCACGGGAACCGTACAATTTTTCGGGATAAAAAGTAACCTACGTGCTATTCTAGACTATAATCTATCTCTGTGCCAAATTTTCTCCAGATCTGTTCGGACTTTATGGAGTGAAAGAGTAACAAACATCCATACATCCTCACTAAATTTCTCATTTATAATATTAGTATGGATACCTGCATAACATCGAGCATTCCACGCCAAATCGGACGGTTTCAATAAAAAGATTTTTTTTTATTTTCTTAATATTTTGGTATTTTTAGTACCCCTCAAAAGAGGCTTCCTCGTAAATTTTGAGATTTTTTGATCACTTTCAAAAATGAAAAAAAATATATTTAAATTTTGAAAAATTGAAAAAATAATTAGTAATTATAGAAGGTCCACTATCGGATTGGGCTTTAAATTTGCATGATGGATGGACGTTTAAATTGAAAATTTTCAAAAAAATCGAAGGATACACAGTTTTCAAAACACGATTGAAAACTTAAAATTTAAAGTTTCGATTAAAATATTTTTTTTATATTTTTTTATGTAAAGGTCAGCCAAAAACAAAAATTTTGAAATAAACTGAACTTCGACCATTATTAAGAAAGTTACGAGCAAAAAAAAACAAAAATGAGTGGTTTTTTTGAAAATTCGATATTTTGGAACCAGTGATGAAAAATATCTCGAAATTTACAAGGAAGCCTCTTTTGAGAAGTAATAAAAAATATTAAGAAAATCAAAAATAAAAATTTTTGTAACCTAAATTTTTGAATGCCCCATAAACTTGTGCATATAATATTTCGCAAACTTATGTACCTATAGATATAATAATAACATATTCTCTGCGCTTGCAGCGGACGGCGCGCCGCCGCCTTTGCCCCCGCGCCGTCGCCGGGACTCCGCCGCGCCGCACACGCCGCATCTGGTGAGTGCACGCACACGCACACATACACACACATATTCACACAGACACATGCATACAAATACACATACACACATACGCTCGCGCACGCGCGCACGCACACACACGCACCCGCACCCGCATTCATACACTCGCTGTGTACATAGGAAAAAACTCCCTAATACGTTGTGGTTAGAGTGTATTTGTGTATATATTTTTCTTATGTTATAGGACAAAATTTTATTTTTATTACAGTTTATTTACGTTCAATATAATTTAAATATTATTTAACATGGCAGTGTGCTGTAATAACATATTATAAACGATTTTTAATCTGTGTGTGCTATCCCAGTCGTCGTGGAGCGAATGCAGCGCGGGCGGCTCCCCGTCGAGCTCGTCCCCCGCGCCGTCCGCGCCGCCCGCCCCGCCCGCCCCCGGGGGCGCGCCGTCCGCGCCGCCCGCCCCCGCGGGCGCGCCGCCCCCGCTGCCGCCGCGGCCGCCGCCCCCGCCCGAGCTGCTGCGGCCGGCGCACTCGGCGCTGCTACAGAGGAGGCACACTGCGGCGTTAGTATACATAAAGAATAGAATATACATAAAGAATCTTTATTCTACATCTATTATTTAGACAGTGGTATGACTGAGTGTAGCGGGTTCAAATCCCGAGTCTCACACATCTGATATTTTCATGTACGAATCATTCCCAACATGATTACCGCTTGTCTTACGGTGTGCGGAAACTTTATGAGGAAAGCTGCGTGTCTAAGCAAAACTAGCAAGTTTTTGAAAGACGTATTCAGTCCGCACGCGCTTGGCCAGCGCCAATACGTCTAAGAAAATTTTTTAGGAAAAGTCAGGTTACCGCTAAATAATACTATATGTGTGTATGTTTGTTGTTCCTTAAAAAAACGCTAGAACGTGTGGATGGGTTTGTTTATAATTTTTCTGTTTCTTTACATTTTTGTTTCTTTTTTAGTAGCTTCAATTTAGTTTTATTTAATATTTTAATTCAATTAATTTCACTTATTATTTTTGTAAGCATACTTATTTAGCATCCGTCACTTTTGATGACAAATCAGTTCATTTGTAATAATTTAGGGTAATATATAGGTCTAATTGTATTCTTACTGTTTTAGATTTTTTGTATACGACTGTATTTACCTGAATAAATAAATAAAAAATAATTTTAGACACCAATAGATTATAGCTTGGAGTAACACATACGCTACCATTAGCCACCTTGGGACCAGCATTAAATAAATAATAAAAATTAATATATATTTAAGCCGAAAATAAAATATATAATTATATAAATATTAAGGTCGAGCGTCAAAAAAAGTTTTTTTTTATTAGCTTGGGGGTAGATATTGTAGCATTTTTTTTTGAAATAAAAAAAAATACTTTATTCGACATTTAAAGGTGACCTACAGATTTTTAAAATAATTAAAATTTTTAGTTCGAATGGAATTTATTTTTAACTGATAATCTTTGAAAGCATTCAAGAATTAACGAATATAGCCATTTTCTACCCAATTTTTACTTTCACAGGCTAGCACCGAAGCTGCCCCCGAAGCCGGCCGCGGCCGCCGTGGCGCCCCGCACGTAGCCCGTGGCGCCTCACACCATGCACACCATACCACGCACCATACACTATGTTATATATAACTACCATCAACGTGACATGTCATTTGAGATTAGACACAAGATGGCGCTACTTGTTTTAAACATTCCGCGGGATTAATGTTCTGGGATTAAAAATGTCATGCAATGCCAACTCTATCTCTCTATTGATACACAAAATAAATTGTTCCTAAGTTGAAACAAGATGGCGTTAGTTTTGTTATGTTATGTCCCGCGGGATTAGTGTTCCAGGATGAAAAGTAGCCCGTGTTACTCTCTCTGTGTAAAAAATACATCGATCGGTATTGGTCGTTTTTTTTGTCAAATTAAAGAAAAATATATTATTCCTATTTATTATATAAATTAGAAACTTAAATCATCAGCGCCATCTTAGGTCAACTTACGTGACGCGTCACGTAACTACAAGCTAAATAGACGCCATCTTGGTTTTACGTACGTTTTACGTGTTAACGTCTAACGTGTAGACATTTAATATATGATATTTATACCACATTCATCTACATCTGAATAAAAAGAAACTAATTATATATAATTTAAAATATAATAAAAACATTCTATAACACAAAATATATGTATGTACAGTTTTTCCATCACACTAGAAAAATATGTACCGTAGAAAAAAAAAACATTTATTTTTGCTATTAAAAAAAATTGTTTTTACGTCCACTTTCGTCTTAATATGCTCTCTGCCATCAATGAATAATTGGACGTAGTTATGCAAAATACGTCCAACCACAAAAAATACTTTTGAGAAAATAAGAGTTTTATTAAAATTGGTACATCAAAATAAGTTTTTGAAGTTATACTTCTTTTGCCACGTTTAGAAAAAAGTATGCGAGTAAAATTTTTATGTGCGCGCACAAACCGACAGCCAAAAAAGCGACATGATGAAGTTAGTTGCATTCCTTTTACAAACGGAGAGTTGTGACGTACGGGATGAAATCTTTAGCTATTTTTGTTCTGTTACGTCAAAGAAGTATAACTTCTTACGTGCGTACATAAGTACACACACACGTTTTCTTTTATAAGACGTTATCTAGGTTACCATTATACATTGTTCCATTTTAACTCGACGAAATTGCTTAATTTTTAGCGTCTGTATGTTTCAAAATGAAAAAAAAAACACTTTGCGGCTTGGATATTTTTTGCATATATCAAAGTGCCATATAGGTGCCATTTATGACAGTAACTCAAACGGTTTTTATGGGTTGGATCCATTTTGCATCTTCTCCCTGCCCATATCCCAATCACTTGGGGTCGGCGCAGTACACTTTCTGTACTGCTGATAGGATTTGGCAAAAGTTTTACGACCTATGCTATTATATATATTATATGCTATTATTATATTTTCTCTCTTTGTCTGAATGGTGTCGCGGAAGTCTTGTAATTATTATGTGCTTTCAATTTTTTTGTCTTTTAAAACATTTTTTATACTATTACTTAAATTTTTAATGTCATTTTCGGATATATTTTAAAATAAATTTTGCATAACAACGTCAAATTAATCATATTATCATTCCTTATGAGTTCACTCGATATAATGGTGACGCTGAAGCTATTGACGTAAAGTGGTCGACTATTGGTGTTTAACGTACAAAGAAACGTTTAAAAATATATTACCGATGCTGCCGACGATAACAAAAATGTTCTATGTATGCCTTAATGATATTTTTTAACAAATAAACAAAGTTATGTACGAAATATACAAAATGTGAAGTGCGAGTCGTGTTAGTCTTCCACCGATGTGAGACATCAGTTTTGTTTTAATACATAATGTTATGTTAGAGAATAACTAATTTTATTTCATTTCGAAGTATTTATATCTCGTTAAATACGTATACACTTTTTGTAATGTCGGTTAAATTTGTTTGTTTTTTTTTTACAGACGGACGTTCGATGTATATAATTGGTTATCGTTGTATTGTACACAATTTTGTTTTAAAAAATTGATTTAAAATGATTGGTTTTTATAACGTGTATGTATGTATAAATATTATGTTTTAACCGATTTTGTTCTAAAAGTAGGGTATTGTATTCATCCTGTTATTAAAAATATAAGTTTTGCCATTGCAATGGAAATTAAAAAAATAATCTAACAAAAAAAAAATGCAAAATTTTGACATTCCATGTTATATTATTTTGAAATTGAAGTTTTGTTAAAAAATTGAGCAAAATACAAACAATAATGACTAGATATGAATAAATAAAACTAATTTGGCCTAATGTCATATATATATATACAATGAAATAATTATTTCTTAGATTTACGCGAATATTTGACATTTTAAATAAAACTATCTTTTCGGATTTTTTCGCGGATTTATTTTGATTTTTGGTTCCCGACGTTTCGAATGCTTTACAGCGCACATGGTCACGGGAGAGACTTAGGTTTTATCAAAGGCGTTATATACTTGTTACAGACAGACTACCTACAAAATAACAAACTTAATTTAAAAAAAAAACTTAAAATTTTAGAAGTACTCTGGTGCCATTTTTAAATTTTTTGAATTCATTTTGTTATTTTTCTGACTGTCTGTAACAACTATATTATAACGCCTTTGAGACATCTAAAATCTAAGTCTCTCCCGTGACCATTCGTGTAGTGTGCGTGTAAAGCATTCGAAACGTCGGGAACCAAAAATCAAAATTAAGAAATCTCAATGCGAAAAAATCCGAAAAGATAGTTTTATTTAAAATATACAATCAAACGTAAAATATTCCTATCTTTTCTTTTACAAATAGCATTTTTATTTAAAAAAAATGAAATGTCGCGTACAAAAGTGATTAAATATTTAACATAGATACAAAATATGAGTACACAATAACCGCCATTGACCTGTGCAGTGCCAATATCGCTTAGAAATAAAATTATAAATTAATTATAACGAAATTATTGAAAATAAATAAATAATAATAATTAAATCGCATTTATTGTAAATATATACATATATTATATATACGGAGAGTCCATCATTAAATATCTATATATTGAATGTTGAAAATAAAAGTATTTTAAAATTATTCATTCTCAAATGTTGTAATAAGTTATATTTAAAACATATTATATGTTAGGACTCTCGACGTTAACGTTGGACGGACAGAAAATACTCTATATCATATGTATATATATTTTTGTATGTAATGTTAGCCATACAATTGTTTCACCATAGACTATATAGAATGATCGCAATTTTTTTTTAATTCAATTTCAGTGTTTCTGTGAATATAAATAAAAATCATTTTAAGGGATTGTAAGCAATTTGTAAATTATTTTTTCTGGTATTTCTTAAAATGAATTCAAAATGTCCGATTTATTTAATAATAATTTGTTGTTAATAAAGTTATTAAAAATACTGTAATTCGACCATTTATGTATGTATGTATTTATATATGTATATTTATGTATGTAAAGTTGTGTGTCATTCTATATACGTTTATACATTAAGTACCACTCGCACCAATTTGAACATGTCACATCATGAATATGTTCAGTGAAAGTCGCCACCAGCGAGAGAAACGTTGTAACTCTGTATTGAAATAATGAAAAATAATATAGAAATTGCAGGCCCACATTCCGCCATTTTTATTTTATTTTTTTAAACTTGAGTGCTCTATTTAATGAGTGTGTAAAAATAGAGAACGCTTCAATAAAATAAATTGTCACAAATATAATGTTCTAAACTGTCACATTTTCAAAATATTTTGAGGTAAAGAAAGATTGCTTATACGAGAACTGTGGAAATTATTTTTGTATACAACTGACATTACAGACAAGAAGAGAGCGAGAGAGAGTTAAAAAAGAGACAAATACAAATATATAGGATTAAGCTGGCGAGAGAATGAGATAGAATAGATTACCATGTTGCCATGGTAACCGTTGTTATTGTCGGACAAATATATAATATTATTTTCTTTCCGTATATGATATTCTATAAATATATGATAGTAATATGCCTAATATGCCTTAAGTAATTATTGTCAAAGAAGTTTTACTTCAAACGCGCGTAAAGGTTACATGCATCCATTTTTTATTTAGCAATATTTACTATTTAATATCTCTGAAAAGTGACAGCTTAGTTAATTATATTGTTGATATTTGTTTACTTAAATGTTCTCTATCCGTTCATGAGAGTTTCATCTTTCACCGCTAATTAAAAACAACTGGAATGACGGTAGGTTGTTTAAAGCTTCCATAGATAAATGTTAGACTTTTTCTCATACATTTAAAGTTTCAATTTAATATTCAATATATTTGATTGAGTTACAACGTTTTACTTCGCATATTACGGTATTGAAGAGTAAAATGTAACTGGAAGGTGCGAGAGGCGACGCGTGTACAAACTATCTTCCATTTTTGTTTTGTTAAATTAGAATGACGTGTGGCGTGCACTTTGACTTAGTAACATGACACGGGAATCAAACCCATACTTATAAATATATATGTATAGTATCAGTTCATGATAGCGTTATATAGGGGTGGTTTTTGAAGTGTCACTTGTAAGGTTTATCTTTTATAGATTTTCTATGCAGAATGTGATGTTGATAAGATTTATATGGATAACATGTAGGTAAGCTATTTCTTCTTAGCCATTTTTGAGTCTGTAGTTCTCGATTTTAACATCCGCGATCCACTTACAAAATCCACCCGTGTGTAGTCTACCGTCAAATTCTTATTTTAAGACATCGATCAAAACAGTACTAGATACACAATCCCATGCAAAGGTTCTCTTAAAACTGTCACCAATTGTGTTTAGGTAATTTTTCCAGTTGAAAATTTATATGTCAATGTAAATTGAACCTTAATAGTAACGCTTAACGTTGTTTTCACATGTTTTTAAATTAAAAGCACGCTCAAATGTTCAAATAGGCGCTCATTCGGTGAGGACATTTTTTTATCGTTGATTATGTATCTTAGTACATTTTGATCGATGTTTTAAGAGTTTTTTTTTTGTAATAAAAATGAAAAGGTCGCGCCACACGAATGGAATATCGCACAATGTTTAATTATAAGCTAAATTAAGTCCCGCCATACTGCCGTGACGCTTTCAACTACAGATTATAATTGTGTAGTTGATTTATTACTTGTTTTACATTTGGTGTGGTGGGTGAAGACACTTAATGAAAAAGGTTGGTTCAATGTGTTCGAAGATACATATATATGTATTTTATAACACCATGTAGAAATAATAAGAATTTTTTTTTATGTATATAGATAATTTACTAGCAGACATCCCCTACATCAGTATGAGTGATCCAGTACAAAATACCTACGTTGCCTTATACGATACCTGTCGAAAGCATTATGTATTATATGTATATATACTGTATATCGGTCGGTTTCTGTTGCTCTCCGCCTGACCCTTGACGTAGCCGGAAAAATTATAGTTAAACCTATTTTGATGAAAATTCCATTTTTTTATTATGTTTAAAAGTGGTTTAGTGTGTGTCTTTTTAGATTTAAGCCTCTATAATTGAAAGTGGAATTAATGGTACCTATAATTATAAATTTTTGTTTTTAATATATTTTCAAAACATCATCAAAATGTGTTCAACTGTTGATGCAATTATTATAAATTATAAGTGTCACGTACAGACAGACAGTATGTTACAGTATTGACGATAGTACAAATTTGTCGATGTCCGCGTCGTGCAAACATCTGTAGTTGAAAACGACAAGGTTTTAAGTTACTTGAGATAAGAACGACAGTGTGAAAGTGGCATAACTCTAAAATATCAAATGCCATTCAATTTTTTTTTAATTATTAAAATGACCTAGTTTTAAAGAGTTCCTTTTTAAATTATTACATACTTTAAAAAACCCCGTTAGTTTAATTTTTCAATCAGAGTTAGTAAGTGAAGTAAGATAGGCAACATTTTAATATATTATATGATGTATTATATAGATGTATTTAGACGTTTATAATATCATATTTATAATCTATACATAATGAACAATGTTAGTGATTTTTGTGTTATGCCACTTTCACACTGACTGTAAAATTATATTAGATGTAGCGCAGCGAGCTGAATATTGATGTTAAATGTATTTAATTGTGTTAAATCGTGTTATATTGTCTGTGAATTGGTGGAGAATAATAGTGCATAGATAGGTACTTCCCCCTTAATTATAGTTTTTTTTTTCAAATCGATTTTGTTTAAAAAGTTTAGTTAGGTTTAAAAAAAAATTCTGAACACTTGTATCGCCTACAAATTAATAGGACCAAATACAACCAAATCACAGTTAATAAAATATAGATTAAATATAGATTTTACAATGTATAAAAAAAAAGGTTAAATTAAGGTTAAATTGTAACATGAATGAGAGCGTGTCCGTTCTTATGTTCGAACCGATCTCGGTAACCATAACATTTAATTTTATAGCAATTGAATTAGTGTAAATTGTAAAATCTATGGATATTTTACTTATGTATATTGCTTAGTGTTGCAAGGTTCCAAGTGGCTCAGACGCGGTCGACACTTGGAACCTTGCGGCAGTAACCGCTTAGCGAGATATTTATATTGATGTTGAAATGTAGTAGTTCAATGTTTAAATTTGGTAGATTATTGAATGTGCAAGTGAGTGATGAGGAGGAATGTGGGGGGAGAGGGGAGGTAGGGGGAGGGTGGATATGTACAGGGTGTCTATCATAGTGTAAAACATTATTAAAGGCGAAAAAGAAATAATCATTTGTTAGGCGTTAAATGTTTTTGTCTATGGTGTCTACCAATTTAAATATCTCGTCCGATGTCGATACGGTTCGGTTATCCGAGATTTGTTTGATTCGGATTTCCGAATAAGTCGTTTCGAAGTTCAAATATAATTCGATTAACAGTTCGGATAATCGAGTCATCGGCGTCGACGCGTGCGCAGCCGACCGCGTGTGTTGAGTTTGGGAGTATGGAGTTTATATATTACTTTAATGGAGCGCTAGGCTCGCCCCGCGGCCGGCCTCGCAGTGTAAATATGCTTGGCGTTCGCCACTCATGTTACATAATCTATGGAATTGTCCACAGACCGCTGAAATGACCACAAAATAATAATAGATGTCTCTATGTAAAGTTATATATATGTATGTATGTAAGTCATAAGTCGGTAACCCCTGAATGGTTTTAGCGGTCTTCGCCTTAGAGACGTTTTAATTCAGACCGACCATAAACTATAGATGATTTTTATTGCGGATGGATATTAAATTAGATTTTGTGTATGGTCATCTGTGTTAGTTAAATGCGACGGTTGTAAATATAGAGTCGAGCGCAGTGTAGAAATATATTATACACACAGTTATAGTGGATTGTTTTATTGTTTGTTCCCTTGTTTCATTTGTACTGATAAATAAATTTTGTTGCAACATTAAAACACAGACCATCTAGTTCCATGGTAAGCTACGAGGCTTGTGTTATGAATACCAGGCAGTTGATACACTACACATATTATGTAACTTTAAATATATTCATATTATAAATATAAACACCCATGACTGAAGTACAAACGTTCGTAGTCATCACACGAATGCTCTCAGCGGGACTCGAACCCGCGACTGCTGGCACTGCAAGTAAGGTACTTACAAACTGAATGTGAGATGGCAGCGGTATGCCGATGTGGGTAGTAGTAGTGGTAGTGGGATCGATGCCTGCGCGTAGGTTTGGTTCTGATTTGATAAAGGCTGTGATTGAATAAAATAAACATAAACATTAACAACGACAAATCCTTAAAAGAATACCGGCTGTAATGAACTGCTTACTGGGTTAACTGGGTTATTTCAAGCGAGATTTTTGTTAATTCTTAAATTATGCCTTTGTTAGATTTTAATATTAATGGAAAAGGTTCTTTATTGAACAGATGTTTTTAAAAATAATATATTTTATTCAATAGCGAAAAATCCAACTTGTTTATACTTATAATGAAATCGTAGAGGGGCCGTGTCTGTACATTAAATAATTTCAATATTTTTCCAAGTAATTATTTAAATTAAAATTTAAAGATTAAGCGTCTATACTATAATATTATAAAGAGGTAAAGTTTGTGAATTTGTGACGTAGGCCGTAATCTCTAGATCTAATGAACCTATTTACATGAAATTTGGTAAGAAGATAGTTTGAGACCCTGGAAAGGACATAGGATACTTTTATCACGGAAATCATCCCTTAAGGGGTGAAAATGGGGATGAAAGTTTGCATAGGGTAGCCAGCTAGGGACGAACCCGAGCGAAGCGGGGGTGAGTCGCTAGTTATTGATATAGGCCATAAAAGTTTACAAAACAGTTTTTCTAAGTTTTTTTTTGTTTGTCTGTGTATCCATTTGTTCACATTTTAACAAACTACGGAAAGGATTTTGATCAAAATTTAATTTAATAACAGTATGTGTGCTTCGCCATATATCTGTATACAAATGCAAATTTCTTTTTTCAATATTGATATATCAGGAACACACGAGGGTGTCTGGGCTACCTGCCTTTACAAGTTTTCGCTTTAATAAAAAATTAAACACTGAAAAGCTCCAGTAGTTTCTGTAGAGTGTAGATTATTTAGGTGACAGACAACAATGTGTTTATTTCTGTTGCGATTGGCGAAGTGTAATTAGCCTAAAAATATAAAACTTTATAGATAATGCTCCTTCTAATGTTCAATGTTTTTTGCTATGTATAGATTGTTTCCACTTTACGCAGTAGATGTTTGTATTTTACAAATGATTGAATCTCCAAAGAAAGTTTCATCCCCATTTTCATCCCCTTATGGGATAATTTCCGGAATAAAAAGTATCCTATATCCTTCCCAGGGTCTCAAACTATCTTCTTTCCAAATTTCATCTAAATCGGTTCAGTAGATCCAGAGATTACGCCCTACAACGTCACAGTCACAAACTACCTCTACCTATAATATTAGTAAGTATAGATTAGGTAGATACATCTATACATATAATAAAATTCTAACTGAGTTGAATCTGTAAAAATTTTATTGAAATAGTCATTATTATTTATTATCGATACAGAGGCCGAATCTATAGTTTCTAGTATTTTTGTCTGTCTGTCTGTCTGTCTGGGAACGCATCACGAGAAAACCACTGGACAGATTTTGATGAAATTTGGTATGATATAGCTGGTTATCCGGATCAACATATAGGATACTTTTTACTGCGGGAAAATATCTCATTTCTGAGAAATCTATACTAAATGTTAAAACGTAACTAGGGGCGAAACCGAGCGGAGCGAGGGTGAGTCGCTAGTCTTATAATAAAAATGACATGTTGTGGGTATTACTTGGGAGTGGCTAACGATTTAGCATATATTTATAAGTACTAAAATTAAGTACCTAATTCTTTCTGAAATACCTTCTTACGTCTTGAAAACATTTATTTACGGAAAGTAAATATTAAGAAATTCGGGAGAAATTGAGCGTTTTAAATGCAATTTTGTATGCTCAAATAACTTTCGAGACAGGTCACAGGACAATCTCTGTCGGGTCAGCTAGTTTCCTAATTTTAATATCTAATACCTAATAACTATCGATTTTTTGGTTAAAATTGTAAAATAAAGAGCAACACAAAAGAAATTAAAACCTACACATTTATCATAACATATTAAGTTTTATAAATGAACAGACATGGAAAACCCTGAATTGAACGTTGAATGTGCATCGGAAAGCTATTAGGTACAAATCTAGTTCAATACTTGCGACCTACATCGTAAACAATTATAGATGGGCGACCTACCGCCTCGTAGGGTCGTCGATGCCCTAGTGGCACACTTTGCTCGAGCGCATGTGCACTCCAAGGTTTGAATGAAATCGCCCCGCGGCGGGGGTGGAAAATTTACATTGTTTCCTGGGAAAAGCATTCATTACGTTTATTTAAGTTCATTGATGTGAACGTTTTGTTAATCGCTGACGCTCTTTTGGGATCATTGGTCATTTGTTTATTGATGAAGGCTGATTAGCTTAGCTGTATTTAATATGTACGTAAAGAGTGACAGTTTTTTAAATTAAAAAAAAATTATATTACTATATTTTAATTGTATTATTCTTTATTAAATTCATAATTATTAGAAATATCGTAAGTACTATAAAACGGGGACGTAAATATTTATCCTAATTCAATTAAAGAAAGGGAAAATATATTTTTTTCGTGTAGCAACACGATATGAATCTAAAGAAAAATGGCCGACTCACGTAACGTCAAAACTCCCTGGGCGAGTGTCTACAAAAACGTGTGATTTTAATCGAAAACGAATCGAAAATTGCAATAAGAGTGCTCGTGGAGTGTACAAGTGTTTGTGTTTTTGTGTAATTTCATTGCTTCAAGATATTTGTTTCACGGTGGACGACGGAAACTTACAACTGCACTCTCACTTCTGATGCACAGTATGTATTTTGGTTACAATTTTCACCTCTAATCAATATTTAACATTATAATTTTTACTATTTATTATTATCTTTGTATACTATAAGCTGTATAACTTGTATACTACAAAGTAATCTATGCTTTAACAATATTAAGATACACCCTTGAGTGACGATTCTTCGGCTATCTTACAAAGAAAAATAATACGTATTATTACTTGATAAAACTATTGTATTCTTATGTCAATAAAAGGCTTTTTCTGCTTGCTAATGCAATAACTTAATATACTCCATACGAAGATGTCAGCCCCACAAATAGATGTTGTTTTAGAATGTACGATTTTGATAAATGTCGTATCGTATGCGTTTCGTTCTGCTATTTTGAGGATAATACTCCACATTTCTGTAATGGACAATCTGAAAAATTAATCTCAATCAATGCCACTTCTGTCATTCAAAATATACAGTAAATTTATGCATTATAAATATGACAGAGAAAAAAAATATATAAGTTAGCCTGTATTTTTAAATGACCCTATCATAGATATATATTGCAAAGTTTTCTTAAGTATTAGTTATTACAAGAAATTATACTTATTTACATTTAGTTTTATTTAGCAAAGATATTTTATTTGGTAAAAAATGCTTACAATATCATATATTTTTTTTAATTTAATTTTCATTCGGACACAGGTCCATAGTTTAATATGTATTACCTAACAACATTTAAAATTTAATATTTAACAATAACTTTGAACTTAATACTAATAGGAACCTTTATTTAATGTATTTAAATGATGATCTATGTATTTTTACTATTAATCTTATCAGAGGCATTTTTTTTGTTTTTACATTGTAATATCACATTTTTTATCTAAATTATACTGTTTCTTTAGGTAATATTTATTACTTTACGTCTAAAAATTTACCAAAAACTGCAAAAGCCAACAAAAGCAACTTATAAAGGTAACCAACAACAAACCAACTCGACTATGTAGTATCAGGAAAAATTTACAAAAGATTCCATTTATATATAGACTTATTAATAATGGTATTAAGGAAAGATATAATAGCATAGTGAGTTGCACAAATCAGTAGGCAGTTGATGAGAGATAGATATGAGACATGTTTTTAGTCCGCGATGACTCATCTGAAAGATTACACATGGTTGTTTATATTCACTCAGTAGTGTCTAAAGCCTTTACTCTAAAAGTTTATAAATTTGGTCTGTTTTATTTAATTTTTTAGTTTAAAAAGAGTTTTATGTGAGAATGTTACGACAAAGGTGTAGTGTTGTTGGATCTCTTTATATTGTCACTTTATTTGATTTAAGGTAAGTTTTATTTTTTTACTTCAATTTAATTTCTTAATTGTGCCTTTAGTTTTTTTAAATGATTTGATTTTTCCTTTGCTAAATATGTAGTTAAACATATATTTTTTACTGATCAAATAGGCATCTATGTATACTAATATTATAAATATGAAAGTTTGTGAGTATGGATGTATAGATGTTTGTTACTCTTTTGCGCCAGAACGGCTTAACGGATCTGGATGAAATATGAGACAGAGATAGATTATAGTCTGGAATAACACATATATATATACATATGTACATAAAAATGTTCAGAAAAAATAATGCATTTTAAATGTGCTGTTTCAAACAGAACTCATTATAGAGACCAATGTACCAGAGGATTGTTTTTACATTTTAATCACCTTCAAATAATATTATATTAATGATTTTAATTATCTTTATGTACAATTATTGTAACATAAATATTTTGTTATTGTATGTTGTATAAATAACTGCTTCCTGTTTTATTATCTGCTGTCAAATATTTATATTTTAAACTAGCGACACACACTTGGTCCACTCTTTCTCAGAGATGACATATTTTCCCACAGTAAAAAGTATCATAAATGTCATGCCAAATTTCATCAAAATCTGTCCAGTGGTTTTCTCATGATGCCTTCCCAGACAGAAAAACAAAAAGAAATTCTAAAACCTCTAGATTTGGTATCTGTATCAATATTACAATAAGATTTTCCAAAAAACTATTTATTGTGCAGATTTGTCTTAGTTAGAATTTTTAAAATTATTTTAAGTATTATAGATATAATATCTCTTCCTCATTATAAAATTATTCATTTTCTTAGTTCTTGCTAATTTTGTATTCTGTTCATTTTTTGAGACCTTGAACGTAGTCAGTGCTGACTTATAGTGGTATAAAAATATCTCACCTGATGTGAGTGTCACTCTGGTCTATGAACTCTGCATTGATTAATTTTCTATTATAAGACAATTTCCTTTACACATTGATTTAAAATTTATCTAAATTTAATAAATTGAGAACAAAAAATCAAATTTAAACTGTGAAAATATTAAAAAAAAAGTTTTAATTTAAATTTCATTAAAGTTCAAGTATTTAATATAACAGCTGAGATAATAAATCATGAATTGTTTTAATATTATTATTTATTATGTAGTATTTTTATAATCTTTCTTAAATTAAAAAAAAAACAACTGCCTTGTCTGATTTTTTTGGTAGATTTATGTTTTTATTTTTTTTCATAGATAACTTATATGGGACATGAAAAGTTGTAATAATTTGTAGCTAGAAGCTATTCTATCAGTTTACTATAAAACGTGTTATTACCTGATTGCAAATTATTAACCCCCGACGCAAAAACGACGGGGTGTTATGAGTTTAGCGTGCCTGTGTGTGTATGTGTCTGTCTCAGGCATCGTACCTCCCAAACGGATGAACCGATCTTCATTTTGTTTTTTTTTTTGTTTGATAGGTAAATTAATTGGGAGTGTTCTTAGCTATGTTTGATGAAAATCGGTCTGAGATGGACGGGGTTTTTTTAATTTTCAGTTTGTTTTAGTTATTTTGTGTTATTTTTTATATTATTTCTAAGAAAAAAACAAGAGTAATATTATGTATAGTTATTGCATAATTATTCAATGCAACAAGTCAACAATAAAACCAATGTTCATGAGTAATGTATATTATGTAGATAGAATATTGAGAAAAACCAAAATATTTTACCTGCTACCGTTGTATTATGAAATAATTATGTATGAACTAATTTAATATAGTTGACTGATGTTGCTACTAATTAAAAAAAAACCCTTTATACTAGCCACTTAACCTCGCTTTATCTGTGAGTGCATTCTGAGGCTAAGGCACCTAGCCTTTTTTAGTTATAACATTATTTATTATTATATGCAACACTACCTTTTGGATTTTTCCAAGTTATACCTCTTTTGGGACGTTTGGAAAAAAATATGAGATTAAAATTTTTACGGTGCGCGCGCACACCGACAGCCAAAAAGCGACATGATGAAGTTAGCTGATAACTGTTTGTTGCCATGTGACAAATGATATATAATATTATATTCTTTCCTTAAATGATACTCTGTAAATATATGAATTATGATTGTAATATGCCTAATATGCCTTATTTAATTATTTGATTAATTTATTATTCCTTTTACAAACAGAGAGTTGTGACATACAGAATGTACTTCTTATGTGGGTACATAAGTATACATACACGTTTTTTTTTTACTAACAGTACCCAGTGATGCTCCAGGTCGTAGGTTCTCTTTGTTTGAATTTCATCCATATCCATAATGATTTGTTGGTTTGTTCAAATATCAATGGAACGACAGATTGTTGTGATTTTCTTTCATATTAAGTATATATAATACTAGCGACTCACCCTCGCTCCTCTCGGGATCTTACCTAGTGGAAATTTAGCTTTGTATGTATTTTTAATGCTGAATCATAAAAGAATAAAAATAAAAATTGTTGCCCAAAAAATAAAAATAAACTCTTTTTTGGGTGGACCACCCTTATCACTTAGGGTATGAAAAATAGTTTATGTCCTATTCTTAGACCTATTGAATATACACACAAAATTTCATAAGAATCGGCCTTATTGGAGGAGTTTTGTTACAAACACTTTGACACGAGAATTTTATATATTAGTAGTAGTGGCAGAGAAAATAGAGTACTTTTTATACTGTCAATAGTTTCTGTTACATTTTAACACAATACATAAACTTTAAAAATTAAATTATTTCATTTACAAACATGACCTCCTTGATGTTTTATAACAAACATAAAAATATTTTTAAAGTATGATTGAGGAAGTATAAAATAATAAATATTTTTTCTTATTTTCTTTCAAGTTGTAGCTTTGTTATGCATAGATATAGCAATCAGGAAAAACAGACACTACTTACTATTATAAAGCTGAAAGGTTATGTGTGTTTGTACGTTTGTTATTCTTTCACATGAAACGGCTTAACAGATTTGGATCAAATCTATATATGTACATATCTATACTTATTATAAAAATAAGTCCCCCGGCCGCGTCTTTCTGTCCTCCTGTCTGTCTGTACGCGATAAACTCGAAAACTACTGAACGGATTTTTATACGGTTTTCAACAATAGAAAGAGTAATTCTTGAGGAAGGTTTAGGTATATAATTTATTATGCTTTTATGTAAATTAGCTGAAATACGGCGACAAATGTTGAAGAGGTCGCAAAAAATCTCGCCAAATGGGAACTTTCCACGCGAACGCCGCGTAAACTAGCAAAGATACAGTTAAGTAATGTACTAGAGAATTCAAAATCTATAAAAATGCTACAAAAAAGTCCGCGATAGCATATCTCTATCTCTTACGGTTGACTTACAATAACCACTTTTATGTTAACATTTTTAATTAAAAACATTACGTTATTTTCAAAGTTATTTTCTTTAGTTCGGTATTAATCCTTATCCAAATGAATATTTTAGTTAGCTTAGTCATTTAATGCAGATTAAAATTGCTCTTTACACTAAATCAATCAGATGAATAGTTTTTGAGATATCGTTGTTAGAAGTAATTAGTAGCGAAACATTTTTAATGCTTGGCGAGCATTGAGATGCCTACGGCGAGTCCATCCCCTCTGCCCCGCATCGCTCGACCGCCTGCTCAAGCTATATAAACCGGGCGATGTAGCGCGCGATCCTAGGATACTTTTTACCGCGGGAAAATATCTTATTTCTGAGGAAAAATACAAAAACTGCAATGTAAGAGTATACTAATATGTAACACCTAAGAATTTAGTTTTTGGTCATCTGAACGCGGGCGGAGCCGCGGGCAATGCTAGTGTACTATAAAACAAAGTTGGGTTTGTTACAACACTTATAACTCGAGAACTGCTGGACCGATTTTTATGATCTTTCTTTTGTTTGATTTGTCTTCACCCCGTATAGCAGTATAACTATTAAAATATCGAAAAAAAAATACGAAAAAAAAATTGTAAAAAAAAAACTATTCCTTACTAAACGTCTAAACGTACCTAGGGACGAACCTGAGCGGAGCGAGGGTAAGTCGCTAGTCTAGTATATAGAGAGGCTTGTGTACGGTAGTGAAATTTATAAAGAGACTAGCTCTCATCACCTTCGCTTCGCTCGGATCGTCCCAAGCTTGATTCCCCATACAAACTTTCATCCCCATTTTCACCCCCTCAATGGATGATTTCCGGAATAAAAAGTATGCTATATCCTTCCCAGGGAGACTCCCTACAACGTCACAAACTTACAAACTTTACGCCTTTATAATATTAATGTAGATGGCGCTACCAATGTACCTGTATGAAACTCACCCGAGCGAAACAAAGACCATTCTAGTAAATAATATAATCTAGTAAATAATATAATCTAGTAAATAATGAAATAAGGATATAAATAATAAAATAAATAACTAAAATATATAGTATAGCTGTAACCAGTCAATATTTTTTTATTTGAACTACTTTACATGTAAAATTCTCAATGAAGGTGAAACATTAATTCATTCAATAACAGTTTCAATGCACAGCCTTATTTTTATTGGAAACCAAATTTCTTGCACTTTTCATGGCTCTATCTTATCATACTTAAACAATTTATACTTCCTCAATTATACTTTAAAAATATTTTTATGCGTTTATAATATAACATCAAGGACGTCAAGTTTGTAAATGAAATATATTTTCTTTAAAAATTTGTTTAAGTATTGTGTTGGAAAAGACAGTGTTAGCCCAGTGGTAATGCGCTCGCTTGGGAAACCGAGTGAAGCGGGTTCAAATCCCGGGTGTCGTACCTCTGATATTTTCATGTGCGAATCATTTTCAACATGATTACCACTTGTCTTAACGTTGAAGGAAAACATCGTGAGTAAACCTGCATGTCTGAGGAGAACCTAGCAAGTTTTCAAAAGACATGTGAAGTCCGCCAACCCGCATTTGGCCAGCGTGGTGGTCTGATCCCCCTCGTATTGAAGGAAGCCCCACGCCAATAGACTAAATTGCGCAATCTTGTCAGTCATTTTGCAAAATTACAATTTTTTATGCAACTTATTTCATAACAATGCGATATTATAATAGTATTGTAAAGCCAACATTTCTCACGTTGATAATAATTGATATCGGTCACCCTCTATCTGTCAGCATTAAGTTGACAAATCGCTTGTTCTTATTACTGGTTTTAGTGCTACGACGTGAACGATTTGATGGTTACTTACTCTTACATTAAGTAATTTTTTGTACTTGTAAGCTTGTAAGCTTTTGTAAATCATGCCAGGAGGCGATGTAATCATTGCCTCGGAGGACATACCTCATCATCATTGATCACGGATTTACATTACTTACATTTAATTTTAATTTATAATGTTAAATTGACGATTCAAAAGTGCTTTTAAAATTGAATCTATCTGAATAAAGTATATTTTGATTTTTATTTTGATACCTTCACGGGTTTGCGCATAACCACATGATTACGTTGTATGAAGCCTTGCCTCTTAAGGGACATTAACGTCAGTGGTATAAATACATTAATCTAAATACATTCATAGTTTTTCACATTTACAATACTTACAAAGTTTTCCCAATTCTTTGCAGATGTGAGGGTGGTGGCATGTGGGGCGCGCAGGCGGGGTGGTGGTGCGGCGCGCTGGCGGCCGCGCTGGTCGCGCTGCTCGCGCTGTGCCGCCGCGCCAAGCGAGCGCCGCCCGTCCACGCGCCGCCTGTCACACAGGTATGGTACAATGCCAATGTACATTTTCTGGTATAGCGGTATTGCTACAGCTCACTGTCGCCGCGGTGGCCTAGCTATAAACTTCCTTGGTAGCTAGCCACCTGCCAACGGAATACAACTTTTTTATCCGTTGTCGCCAAGGACAAGCTTTTTAAATAAACTATCGTTAGAGATTCTCCCATAATCATGATTGCTGAACAGCATTTGACACGACAGGAACCAAAAATCAAAATAAATTCACGAAAATATTCGAAAGGATTGTTTTATTCGCGTTAATTTATAAGAAAGCATTACAAGCATCCCCCTTCTCTCATGTTACATGTGGAAAATAGACGGAGCTTTTCTGCAAAGCACTTTTTTTAAACTCCTTCTCTTGTATGTAAACTAGCTTACAGCGAAATATGCTAAACGACCGTCTTTTTTGTTTTCCTTTTTTGTAATGACTTAAGTTTAACGAAAAATTTAAAATTATTTGTGACGCTTGAATTTTAAAGTTTTCCAAATTCATATTTCTCTAGAAAAAATCATTATGTTTATGCTATTATATCTCGTACATATTAATTGTGTTACTAAAATAATGTGGTTTTTAATTCTAGGTGCACATAGTGTGTGGTGGAGTAGCGCGTGTGACCCGTGCGGGGACTCCCCCTGAGCCAACACGTGCCTGCGCCACCTTCACCGCAGCGCCTGCGCCCGACCCCCCACAGCCCCCTGCCAACCCCCCGCAACCCCCTCATATTCTTATCGTACAAAACTACTCTCAAAATACAGTCCCCCAACAATCTGATAGTCCTCAACCTTCAAGTTCGCAAGGTTCAAAGCAGTTCGACTATCGGGGAATCCCCAAATTACCTCTTCCTGAACAGTGGCTTCATAAACGCCCTTTCGACTACAAATATTCTGCCATTCCTCGGCCCTTAGCCCAAATTGTCAGCTCGGATCTCCTTTTGGACCAGCAAAGGGAATCGCGTGCGAAAAAATACAGTGCGACGAGATCGCCTTCCTTGGAAAAAGACGAAAAGTCGCCTTTCGTGAGCAGCGCGAAGTTGGAAGATAGAGAAGTTTTCGGATTCGATACGGAATCTGTACGAAAATTGAGCGAAGAGAGTGAGAAATCTAAGGAAATGAGTGATCGCGCGCCCTCGTCTCCTCACGAGAGCGACAAAGACATGTCTCCAAGTAACTTGAGGAGATTTCGCTCTGTGAGTACAAGACTCAACATGTGCAGTGTCAACGAAGGCCTGCCCACTGAAGGCCAGCAGGAAAGACTAGAGATGCAAAATTCGCCCCGTGTTATCGAATGTAGTTCTGCTAAAGTACCAGGAACCAAATTCGATTTTTCACCAAAGCTTTTAGCAGAAACTATGAGTTCACCTCGTTTCTTTACTCCGCCCGAAATGTCGTCGCCCATGTTCTTCGCAGAACCTTCCCCAAAATCAGTTTATTATGACAGTGTAAGATCTCCGAAATTCTTCCCTGAAACCCCACGTGATGCCGAAGTCCCCCAATCGCCAAAGGCGTTAGGTGACCACCGAAATCGAACGAATGGCATATCAGATAAGCCCAGCTCACCTAGACTATTAAGTGCTCGACCTAGCCCTAAAGTTCATAGCTATAATAAGGAAAACTACTTCACATTTGAACAAAGTTGTATCGAAGAAAATGCAGCGCGCATGTCCCAGCGACCGAGACGATATGGAGGCAGAAACTCTATTGAAAGAGAAAGATTCACTCCACCCGCTGATAAAGAAGTTAAAAGATATAGGCGACATAATAGTTGTGATACAAATTTCAAAAATGTCGAAGTAAATATAACAAAATGTGATGATATTAAGGAAAATGAAAGTGGACCTAAAATTGAAGTATTAGACAAAGATGTAGTAGATTGCTGTGCTAAACTAGATGCTGTTCATTTAGATTCTATTGAAGATAGACATGAATTAATGGTTTCGAATTCAGCTCAAGCGAGGAGACAGAGATTGAAATCGATATCTCTAGATTCAGATAATGCTAAAATAATTGAACAAAACTTAGGACTTCCAATCGCCAAGCAAATGAAGGATCAAATGAATGAAGCATATAAAAATCAGGAAGTTAGCACATCTTGTGAAAGTATGGACAGGCACCCAAAATCTCCATCAAAAGAACGTCCAGCGTTTAAATTTGATGCTGAACAAAAAGATAAAAGTGAAGTGGAACCTAAGTCTCCAGATCTTAAACAAAAGAAAAGTTTACGTCAAAGTTCAGACACTCAATCATTTTTAGATATGCCCAGATTTTCGCCAAAAGAATTCGAAATTACAGTAACTTCAGAAGAGGGTGCCACTACTTCTGCCGAAACACAGAATAAACCAAAAGTAAAGAATTTACGAAATCTAACAATCGATTTGTCAAAACGTGACAGTGATTTGGAAAAAGAGTTATTAGAATTTGAGAAATTATATACAGATGCTGAAGAGAAAAAAGTTAAAACACCTACATTGAAAGTGAAGGCAACGTCATTAGATTCCTCTGAGACAGTTAATCTTTCGCTACCACAAAAGAAGTCTTTGGAAGTCCCACAGAATTCGATATCGGTCCCAAATACACCAAAGCGCCAGATAAAGCGGATATTAGCTCAAAAGAAACACGACTTGTCAGGCGGTAAAATGGGCTACAATTCGATACAATCAAGTGCTGAACAACGTCGGTTGTTCATGAAAGGCCAAGACAGTGGCATATTCCTACGAGAGAACCACGCGAGTTTAATGTTATACCAGCCAGGGACATCTCGCATGGGATCGCGGACTATGGGATCTTTTGATGAAAATATGAGCGATAATGCTCCAGAAATAAATATTTCAGGAGTGGACAGCCGACCAGGTTTTCATCCAGAATCTGGTCAGACGCTTGGCTCAAATCTTCTCAATTATAAGCAAAATCTAAGCGTGTCTAGTACGAATTTGAAGACATTGCCAGAAGGAGTACCTTCTGATGATTTCGAACCTAGTGCAGAGGACGAGAAGGTAGTTAAAAAATTACATCGAAGGAACTCCAATCAAAGTTTAATGCTAAGCACTCATAGTCTTCAGGGCTCGAATTGTTCGTTAAGCAGCGCAGGCGCATCCTGCCATAATTTAGCTACCGTGAGGACAAGTATTTCGAATTTTAGTTTAAACAATGATAGAACACAAAAGAAATTGTCATTAGAAAGACGAGATTCTAACGTTTCTATCAATCCCAGTGAACATTTAACACCAACAACTAGGGTCATATGTTCGTCAAATACAAATCTTTCGGGAGAAGTTTCCAAAAATTGCTTATTGCAGCGTCGTGGGTCAAATAACAGTTTAACATTAAATATACTGTCATCAAACAATTTAAGTCGACATTCAAGCAACAGTTCTCTGAACAAAGATGCAAAACTCGCCCAGAAAAAGGGATTGTTAGAACGACGAAGTTCAAACACATCTTTAACTTTAAACATTAATACGTCGAATCCCCAGTTGTCAACCAATAAGGGTCTGAGTATCTCAAACTATAACTTAAACGGGTCCACGTGCAACCTCAGCCGATACAACAGCAACCACAGTATCGATAACGAACCGAGAAAGGGAATTTTAGAGAGACGCAGCTCGAATACCTCTCTTACTTTGAACATTCAACCCCAAGAGCCTAGAGACTTGGAGATAGACGAAACGATGATAGATGCGAACTTGAAAGATATACCGCATAGAGATAAACATAGAAAGTCTTTAAGCACCGAAAATTTAATACCAAAGTCATACAAAAATCGAACAAGACTACGATCAACGGAGAAAGGTATAGGTTTTGGATCTCACGATAATCTCTGGTCAGCGTCATTTAATGAGCAAGAATACGCGCAGAATTTAACATATGTGTGTGGGGATCAGGAGAATGAGATTATTTACGCCTTCGGGCGCCAGGAGGACCCGAATTACCAACCAGGGTTCGTCAGAAACATCACTACCAAGCCACTAAGTCCCCAGAGCACATCAGAAGATTTCAGACTATATTTAGCCAATATGCAACATCTCCAAAACGCCTCAAGCGTTCTAACACGACAACAATTGAAGGACATAAATGAAGTTTTTCAAAATGGCTATTCGAAAGTCAAATGTCTGACAACAAATGAAGGCCAACTTTGTTGTAACGGCCGAGTAAATGAAGACATCGCAAAGGAAAATCCGCAAATGGTCATACCAGAGCCTGTCTTAACCCAACCGTGTTCTGAGTACCAAAAATTGTTGTTGCGGAATCTTCATCAAGAATTTTGGGATATGCCCACAAATTTTCAGGAAAAACCGATAGTGTCCGGGTCTCATCCTAAGAATAGGTATAAGACGATCCTACCTAATGAGCATTCGCGGTTCATTTTAAGAGCTGACGAAGGAAATATCGAAGGTTATATAAATGCCAATTATATTAAGGTGAGTTATAATACATTTATACTAAAAAAAAATATCTTACTATTTTTATATTTTATTTATTATATATTATTTATATATATTATTTAATTTTTATTTTGATATTATATTTATGAGCCTTAGGGTTTATAAATATGCTAACTTTATACTCATATTGTGGGCCCTTATATTTTGTGTTTGTCTGTCTAGTATAATTACTGTGTCGATTCCCGAATTGTATAAAACATTATATTGACCATACTAATACCATCGTGTTAAAAACAAACTACCATCATTGTTTATGGTGCTTTAAAAGCTTTAAAAAATAGTTATTTAAATTCTATCTCCAAATACTCTAGTGTCTTCTCGGACAATAGCTTATTAAATTTTGAATTCAATTTTATATTGTACTAGTGACTCACCCTCACTTCGCTCGGGTTCGTCCCTAGGTTACTTCCCCATACGAACTATCATCCCCATTTTCAACCCCTTAACTGATGACTTCCGAGATAAAAACTATCCTATGTCCTTCCCGAGGTCTCAAACTATTTTCTTACCAAATCTCATCTTAATCGGTTCAGTAGTTTCGGAGCCTATTCGGTGCAAACAAACAAATAATTTTTCCTCTTCGTATTATTAGTATAGATAATTTCAACTTATATAATTTAAAAACAATTCCAGGGGCATGAATACACGAAAAATAGTTACATCGCAACACAGGGACCTCTTCAAAATACGATGTATGACTTTTGGCTGATGGTTCGACAGAACAACGCTGAGTTCCGCTTACAGAAGCCCGAAGCAACTGAAATAATACAAAAAATCGTTATGCTAACAAACTTCATAGAAAACAGTCGACAAAAATGTGAAAAATACTTCCCATTAGAGAAAGATGAAGAAATAAGCATCAAAAGTCCAGGTTTAGTTGAAACGGGTTTTTACTTGGAGGGAACGCCAAAGAATTGCTTTTTGATCAAAAACTTGGGAGTCATCAAGAAATCTGGTTATACCATCAGAAAATTGGAAATGATATATACATCCTGCGATGTATCTGAAGATAGTTTAACGGTGTATCATTATTGGTTTCATAATTGGGCTGACCATAAATGTCCTAAGGATGTGAATGCTCTGTTAAATCTAAGTCTAGATATCCTGCGCGAGGGTAGTTGTGATTTTAGTGACAATAGTGATGTGACAGAGGAACAGTGCAAGTGTAGTGACAGTCCCAAACCGGGCTCCAAGTTTGTTTTTCCACCGTTGGAAGAGCAAATCCCCTGTCCAGTCCAGGTTAGTGTGTCATCACCTTTAAATTTTTCGATAGACAACCCATCGCCACCCACCATAGTGCACTGTAGTGCGGGTATTGGCAGGACTGGCTGCCTTATAGCTATTCTGAATGGCATCAAGCAATTGACAAATGAACAAAAGGTTGACGTTTTAGGTATAGTGTGTAACATGCGGTTAAATAGAGGCGGTATGGTCCAAAACTCGGAACAGTACGAACTGATACATAAAGTTCTATGTCTTTTCGAACAGGCCTGCTTGCCCGAGTTATAGCTAGAACGTGTGTAAGATTTCCAAATATTAGGGTTTTATTGTAATTTTCTAAATTTGCTTCCTAATGAAATGTTTAAATTAATTATTTTTATTGTAAAAATATAGATTATAAATTTCCTACAAGTGGAACTCATTTTGTTTTTTATGTTTTTAGTTCTCTCTAACGTAATATATCTATATATAATTATAATATATTTAATTCCTATGGGTTCCATTTTTTACTGTATATTGTATTTTTTATCTGACCATTTTGTTTTCTTTTTTCACTTTTTATTACTATTTTATTCAAATCGCCATTTTAATTCATTTTGACTTCTAAGAAGAAAGTAAAAAAATACATTTAATTATGTAAATAAAATTCTATATTTTCTCTTTCTACAATATATCTTATAAGGGGTGTTCTATTTTTACTACAGATAATTAAAAATGTATGATGTATGGAGTGAAAAGTTCAAAATATATACTTTGGTGCAAGTGATTTTTAAACAAAATGTACCATCGGCATACAATATAATAATTGATATAGATAAGAGACATCTTATTTTACGCACATATTTATTGTAGTTTAAGTACATATTGACAACATAGCATATTTATATTATATTTTTAATGAACTCACCCGTCTTGGTAAGTTCTATGTATATGAAATATTGGTTTTAATTGATTTACCTTTAATTATTCTAACATATAAATAATAATATAAAATATAATTGTGTAGCATCTCATGAAAATGATTAAAAGCCACATTATTAGCCTAATTTTTTATCTTTCCACCTACTACAGAGTATATTTGACAAATGCTCCTAAGTAGTTGTGATATATATCGAGTAGGCTGAACTTTCAAATATAAAGATATTAATTTTGGCCATTATATAAATAATTGCTGTCTAGGATTTGAATGACTTGTTATACATTTTATTTTTCGATTTTGTTTTGCCTTTTTTATCACTATATTTATAAAAGAACTTGCTTGTTAATGAAATATTCGATTTTATATTCATATATTTAAATGATTTATGTGTGAAGTTGAAATAAATAAAATACATGAAATGTTTGTTAGTTTATAAGGATACAAATATTTTAATATTAAAAAGAGCTATTTAAAAATATCATACTGTATAAAGAATGTACTTTCCAGTTGTTGATATTTGTAGAAATGTAATTATTGGAGGTGTTCTATAAGTTTTTTTTTTATAAATATAGAATATAACGAGCAAATATTAAATATTTAAAATATTTAAATAGCTCTTTTACAACCTCATTACTAGTATATTTACAGAGAGATATTAGAAAATAATTGGATGGATAAATAGGTAAATTCTATTATAGTTCACTACTTATAAAGTGGCAACACTTTTCTACAGACTAAAAAATATGTTTTTTAAATATTCTACAGAGTAACATAGTATCAAAATCGTTATTACTTTTATTGGCTACTTATCACCTCATATTAAAATATTACTTAAATTAAATAATTGGTTATTTTCTTTTTTATATAGATACCTACATATGTATTATATAACATGCAACAAGAACATACAAAATTTTACCTCAGTGTTGCCATTCAAATGAATTATTTTTAGGGGGCATTACATCGTTTTAGTTTTTAACATGTCAGCACAAATTTAGATGTTAATAATTAAGTAGGTGTGTACATAAAATAAGTGACTTAGCATTATTTATGTTAGGTAGAAAAATTAACTATTTATTTATATGAAAAATTTCGGCTTACGTTTTTGTATGAGGCTTCGGTTGCTTGTGAAATTATCTTAATTTTCTAATAAAAGGTTTCATTCAAATAACTCGGTAAAGCAGTTTAATAGCATATTATAGTCTACAGTCGACGGTATTTTTAATGACTAATAACAAGCTAAGATTTCATGTGTAGCTTCTTTTTGACGAAACGCCCAATTTTTCTTTTTTTGAAAATTTGATAGTGGGTGGTATATACAATTGTGGATTGATACGGAACATGTCGAAATGGTGATTGTCTAAAATTTATTACTAATAGATTGTTTTACAATTTAATCTTGAGATAACCAAACATTAAACAAGAAAAAATAAGTTGTTCTACAAAAAATGGTAGGATTTGTCAGTCCTACGCTCGAATATTGTCTCCTGCATGGTGAACGACTTGTTCGGATTTCGACATGTTCCGTATCAATCATCGATCAAAAAAGTAACTATACATAATCCCATACAAAAGTTCTCTTAAAACTGTCACCAATTGTGTTTAGGTAATTGTTCTAGTTGAAATAAATATAATACAATGTAAATTGAACCTTAAATTAAATGCTTAAAGTTGTTTTCACAAAAAAATATTTGCGCTCAAATATTCAAATGAGCGCTCATTCAGTGAGGACATTTTTTGTCGCTGATCATGTATCTAGTACTTTTTTGATCAATGGGATCTCAATCCACAATTCTATTTACTATCAAATTTTCGTAAAAAGAAAAGTTCTGAGTGAAGTTCTTTGTAAAGTTTTAGCTTGTTATTATAAATTAAAAAAAACACGTGGCCACCTGTAGACTATTATGTTATTGGTTTAAAGGTAGCGGGTTCAAAACCTCAAAAGCTATATAAATAAATGAAAGTTTCTTTGTTTATTTTTTTTATTCAAAAGAATATTTCATAACCAACCATGGCCAAGACATTGATGTGGCCGAGCCTAAGATTTTTAGTCATTTAAATATGTATTAAATTATCAACTGTAAATATTATGTGTGTCTAAAGCATATTGATATAATTTTTTTTTTAATTTTTATTAAATATTTTACGGCGATATTTGCGGAAATATACAGTATAGTACAATATATATTTTTTATTTTTTTTATTACTTATCCTTTTTTTCTTTTTGTTTGAAGAGAAATTTTTGAAAGCGTTTGGTTCCTAATGAAAACTATATTTGAGTATTATTTATTAAACTTTTAATGAGATTTTTTGTTTAAACGACTTAGTCTGTCATTGGGTAAATATTTTTAAGTATTTAAAACCCCCTCAATACGCTCCAGCCTATTGATTACCAAATTAAAGAAAGCTCTGCGTTGCTTCACTTTAACGTATATTTTAGAAATTATGAACAACTCACCCTTACATGGAATAAGTCACCCTTAATGTGTATCTTTTGGTTATAGCCTCTCTGTATTTTTCATCCAAATACGTCCAGCATTTTCAGCGTTAAGTAGTTACAAACATGCAAACTTTCACAATTATAATATTAGTCCAATAATAACATCGATAGATTTCCGCAAAAATTGAAACGTATCTATTAGATATATGGATTTCGCCCAGGTGAAACATTGTTTACTTCTTAAAATTTATTACTAAATTCATAAAGCAATTTCAACTGATCTTCGATCAAACCGATCAATATCGCTGATACCATCATCTATGCGAACGATATTGATAGTACACAAATACGTGTCAAATACGTGCGCTAAGAATCGTACATTCTCTATTTTCATGAGGAAGGTCGTTAATCCCCATGCTGCAATTCCCATTTTGTCTACCAATACCCCAATTCGCTAGTGAGAATTTATCGATAAAACTCGATCCTAGCTGATCATGCACAACTAAAACCTAGATTTTCATGATCTGCCTTACAAGCTAGCCTCCAGAGCAACCGGACAGTTTTAATTTTAAAACTACCATATATATAAAAGAAAGTGAATTATAAAGTCAAGGTAAAGGTTTTTGGCAACAGGTGGAGCCGACCAGTCCGCCTTCGCAATCGGCTCGAAGGGTCGAAAGTCGTGACCCACTTTATTTCATCATTATGTCTGAGTACTTGAAGATAAACATTTCAATGTATTGCGGGTTTGTAGCATATTTAAGAAGTGGAAGGTCACGGTCGTTTAAACTACTTTCCAGAACCGGTTTTAGTTACAGCGACAGCAGTAAGCATCTTTTTTCTTCAGAATTCTGTTTGTAGCTAAACAGGCAAATTATGCACATTGTATCATCTTCTAAAGTTGGCAATTTTTCTTTGCAAGGTTATTTAGGTAATTTTAACTCATTTAGATTAGGATCTGTACGGTCAATAAAATATTTGCTTTGTCCGGGAATTGAAGCTGGACCAATAAAAATATAATAAAACGTATAAAAGCTTTTCACCTGTTGCGTTTGTCTCATTCAATATGCCGAATTTCGTTTGAATCTGCTCCTCGGTTGGCGCACCTGTTGAAAGGCTCTTGATCCCGATTCATGGAAGAATCTAGTGCAAGTATTTTACTGTTATTAATTTAACGTAATACTTTTTAGCTATCGTTAGAAGTTATTTTATATAAAGCATCTCGGTTTGTATTATATTATTGGAAATTTGTATCTTATTTTTCATTTACTATAATAATAATAATAAATTATTATTATAGTTTTATATTTTTGCTCACAAAATCTGTTGGACTTGGCTCTTTTTTGCTTTTCTCTTAGCTTAAGTATGATTATTTTAATTTTCACCATTACACGTTATGACGAGGAAGTATTTCAGCTGCCACTCCTTAAAAAAGTAAAAAATCTTCATGGCGTTTCGAAGGTTTTCTAGTAAATTATATTGTAAAATTAAGTTGTACGTTGATATTGAAATATTTTGATGACAGAAGCATGTAACAAGTTTTTGTACGTGTTAATCGAAATATAAAACGTGGAGAGTATGTTGAATGCTGAATTACATTTTCGCATTTAAAAAATTAGTAACTTTTAAATCAAACTATTTTTTCGGATTTCCTCGCGGATTTATTATAATTTTTGGTTCCCGAAGTTACCAACCTGAGATTGGACTTAAAGATTGGACCTAGAGAGAGACCTAAGATTTTTTCGGGTTTTATTTTATTAAAAATGTCAAACTGCGTTCTTGGTCTAATGGTTGACATGCATGGTTGCGGATCCGAAGGTACTTGGTTCGAGCCCCGGGTCAGGAAAAATATAGTTAATGGGGGTTTCTGTCACGAAAGCCTGAGTAACTGCCTGGAATTGGGAAGTTGACAGTGTTACACCCTCG